CTGTCTCTCTCTCTGTCTCTCTCTCTGTCTCTCTCTCTGTCTCTCTCTCTGTCTCTCTCTCTGTCTCTCTCTCTGTCTCTCTCTCTGTCTCTCTCCTCTTAAGAGGTCTTGGAAGACCAAATGATATTACTTTTAAGTGAACTGCTTGGATTGTTTCTTATTGCTGGCACATAACCCAGGAGCATAAGCAAAACACACCACAAGCCAGGGAGGGAGGGAGCCACCGCTGCTCGGGACCGCCTGGACACTTAAAGTTCCAATGCAATCCTCTAGCGTTTCAGTTTGTTCCATAAAAAATATAAAATGTGCAACTCCTAAGTAAACCCTTGAGCACAGGGTACCAGATACCAGTGCTGCTCCATCTGAGAAGCAAAAGTCAGTGTTTTTGTCACCTCTTGTTACTGCTCCTTTTTTAAAGTTTCATACTTGCTTATTTATGCTCTTCAAAGTACTTTTGGAAGCAGTGAAATGCTCCATAGTGTTATACTCGGAGTTCCTCTGTCTCTTTCCAACATTTCAGGTAGGTTTTTCCCTCTTTCTCTTTCCCCAGCTGGATTCTGGAAAGCCAAAATGCTTCAGTGTTGCTATTGCAGTGGCCAAGCAGTTCAAGCCTAGGCCTGAGTGCGGGGTTTTTGGGAAGTGCGTCACATGTAGCCATTCAAAGGAAAAAAGCCATCCCATTGGGCTCAAAACAGAGCCTACTTCCCAGAGTGATCTGTCACATCCTGCCCTATTTATAGCCTGCTGTGGGGTTCAGAGATGATGAGTACAAATGGGCCGGCAAATATCTCTAAATAAGTGGAATTCTGTACAAAGTAGGCTTGCATGACTGCCAGTTTTCTCCTTAAAAGTATTACAAAACCTCTCCACAAAGGCACGCAGCCTAGAGGCAGGCCTTAAAATGTAAATGAAATTTATATTTATTTGGCTGGTTGGCTCTCAAAGTAATGCAGAGGCAGAATTTGGATGGGAAGGTGGTGTGACAGATTCACTGGGGCAAGTGTGCAGTTGTGTTGCTAGGTAGCTCGGCCGTGTTGCCTTAGCACCAAGTATTAATAGACTTGAGAAGACCATGGCTGCTATTTTGACGTTATCATTTTTAATTAATTTCACAGCATGAGAGTGAAAAACAAGAGAAAGCCCAATAATTACTAAAAGGTTGCCAAGTATATGAGGACAGGATATGTGCTTGATAATCACATGTGAGACAGCTAAAAATATGGCTATTGAGGTCATCTTGTGTGGCTGCACTTTGAAGGCGCCTGCTCCTCTTTTCCCTTTTCCACTTCTCTTGTATCTGGTCCTTCTCTTCCCCTGTCCCTCCGTTAAGCAGTTGTCACCCTTGTCACACTCAACCTGCTCTTCTCCACTGTTGTAAAAATGTGTGCGTGAGGTTCCTGCTGCCAGACTGCTTGGCTGGCCCCAGAGAGGAAAAGAGAAAAAGGGAAGTGGGGAAGAAAAGGCAAATTCTAGGGCCTGGGTTGAGGGATAGCAGCACAGGGGAAGCGTTGGCTGGTTTGGGTTGCGTTTGGTCCACATTGGCTGGTGATTTGTGTAGCCTCTAGGCTGCTTATCCGTCTGTGCTGGCTCAATCCAAACCTTCCTGCAATCCCAGGGGAGCTGCAGGAGGTTGGGCCACGCGGGAGTAACGCTGTAGTAGCCACCCACATAGCAAAGACTTTCACAGCAAAGACTTTCCGAGAGTGCAGGCGCTTAAAGGACAAGCTAGAGTAAAGCTCCGTGGAAAACAAGCTGCCTGAATGTAAAATGTTTTCCTCCTATGGAGAACAATACTGAGGGATAGTGTTTATTTAGAAAAGTAAGTTTATCTGCACCATTGAGGCTTTTTCTGCAGAAACTCTACTCGTCTGAGTACATGGAAATGGTCAGAGAGAGCAAATAGCTCTGCTCTTTCCCTTTTATAGCCTTGAACATCCCCTGCCAGATGATTTTAATAGCATGAAAGCCTTTTCCATAAAGGGCAGGTAGTAAATTTCATGGATTTACATTATCAGCCTACAGGATCTTGGCCTGGTGGTAAGGACGTGTATGGAGATCTCGGTGTCCCCAGGGATCTCCCTTGTTGTCACCTGTGTGGCTCCAACCCAGCCCGTGGATGTACAGCTCTCTCTGAGCTCTCCCTGCTAAGGGTTTAGAGGGTGGGATGGCCTTAGCTGAGGAGCCTCTGCCCTGCAGCTGTGGGAAGGAACCAACGCCTGGTTGTCCTCACTCCCTAGTTATGCCATCGCGGACAACTCGTATCGCTCGCTGCGTATGGAGAGGAAGGACCAGTGCATCCTGATATCCGGGGAGAGCGGAGCTGGCAAGACCGAGGCCACCAAGAAGATCCTGCAGTATTATGCCGTGACCTGCCCGGCCAGCGAGCAGGTGGAGACGGTGAAGGATCGTCTGCTGCAATCCAACCCCGTGCTCGAGGTAAGGCAGAGCCGCCGGGCACCAAGGCACCCAGGGGTGCCCGTGTTTCCTGCCCGAGGGTGGAGGCAGCTGGACCCCCCCAGCATGTCCAGCGTGACCGAGCTGCACATGCACCGTGGCAAGCGTGGCTTGGGAGCACCGGGTTGCTGCACACGGGCAGGTTGCTCGTAATGGGGAAGCCCTGGCACCTCCTGAGCCAAGGCAGCTGCTGCCAAATTCCCATAGTCATTTCGTGCCCAACGGGAGCACCGAGTGAAGTGGGAAGAGCCCTGGTGGGCTGTGTGAGCCTGAAGGCCAGACAGGGACACGTCTGCCAAGGGCGGCTTTGCCCTTTGGTAAACACGTTTATGGCCACGTTCTCTAGTGCTGTGGTGTCCTCTAGTGTCCAGTCCCAAGCTGCCTTGGTCGTTGCTTTTCCTCTTTCTGCTCTTTATTCACATTGGTGTTGGGAGCAAGGACACAACTCCCCGGGTGCCTTCCCAGGAAGAGGAGGAAGCCCGGTAGGCCCAGGGCCTCTGCGAGCAGAGCTTGGCTTTCTGTGCGCCAGCAGCTGTGATGAAGGAGGAAGCTTTGAGGCTCTCACATGTGACATGTGCTGTCAGCACTGAAATGGCATTAAAATAAACTCTCTGCAAGGGCTGGAAGTGTTTGCAGAAGCTTCTGCAACACTCGAGTATAAACATCAACACTAGCATTTGGGAAGTTCCATGTTTCCTTCTCGGTTCCCCTTGCAAAAATGAGAAATTGGGTTTAATTGCCCCACTTAGGCACCTGGCAGCCTCACCAAAGTGTTTATAATTCTTTTTTGTTTTGTTTTGTTTTTCTCTCTCTTAATACATCCTCACTTCAGGCCTTTGGAAATGCAAAAACCCTTCGGAATGATAACTCCAGCCGATTTGGAAAATACATGGACGTGCAGTTTGATTACAGGGTAACTTGAAATCTTTTTTATACTTCAGAATTGGTCCCAGTCATAGCAGGACTCTCTTGTCTCTGCTTGCTTGTACTGATGCCTGCTTGGAGCTGTTGGTTTGCATTCCTCTGCAGACTGCATCATTAGCACCTATGTCTGGCAAAATTTGAATGCAGAGGAGTTTTAGAACACCTTTTCCTTTTCAAAACACAATATGTAATCCTTCCACGCTCATTTTCTTTTTGCTGCTTTTATGTGAAATCCCTTCTGAAAGGGGGAACATAAAAGTGAAAGTATTCAATATGTGCTGTAGCAATTATATCTATAATGGTGTTGTATTTTCATTTTATATCTCATTTTGCATGCACTTCAGAAGTCAAATTACCACTGTGTATTTTCTGTATGAGAGAGATTGTGATATAAAATAACAGTTTTCTTCTTGATTTTGTAGGTTGTCATTTTATATCATTTTTGTCTAGAGATTTTCCCCTCTCTGATCTATTCCAATTTATCTGGTTTGATTTAGGGGGCACCTGTTGGGGGCCACATCTTGAACTACCTCCTGGAAAAGTCTCGCGTTGTGCACCAGAACCACGGAGAGAGGAATTTCCACATTTTCTACCAGCTGCTAGAAGGAGGGGAGGAGGACTTGCTGCGAAGGCTGGGCCTCGAAAAGAACCCCCAGCAGTACCACTACCTAGTAAAGGTTGGCATTAACTTGTAACCATCATTGGCTTTATATTACAGGACAAATATATTCTCAGTTGACTTTATAGGTTCCTTCCCTCACTTCAAAAATACCTGAGGTGATTCTGCTATAAAAAGAAGCTTATGGCAGAAATGCATTCAGCAGAAGCAATCTATCTCTAACAATATATATATTTTTTCTAACACTGTTTTTTAGGGTCAGTGTGCAAGGGTCAGTTCCATAAGTGATAAAAATGATTGGAAGATTGTGCGAAGGGCTTTGACCATTATCAGCTTCAATGACAATGAGGTGGAGGTAAGACATGTCTGATGGCAAAGCTGTACTCCCTGCCCTTAAAAATAGCAGGAAATTTCCTGCTTCAATTTGTTATTTCTGACCAAGAGCAGCCTTTGCAATGAATGCATTCCCTGCAAAATCCTGAAATGAAATGTATGGCCTGATAACTAGGACAATTAACACACAATTCTCCCTGCCTTTGGTAGGTTTGCTTTCTTTCTGTACTTGTTTCTGACTCACAATGCTGATTTCTCCTTGTTGGTTTCCTCCTAGGATTTGCTGAGCATTGTGGCTAGTGTTCTGCATCTGGGGAATGTGCAGTTTGCTGCTGATGAGCAAGGAAATGCTCAGGTCACTACAGAGAATCAGATTAAATATCTGGCTAGGGTAAGTATCATCTATTAGAGATGCAACATAAAAAATGCATTAGAGAGATTTTCCATATTTTGAATTTGATACCTTTTTTTTTTTTTTCATTTTGGAATATACTTTAGGCCTTCTGTGGCAAAATTACTCTTACTTGACCTAAATACAGTGCAAACATTAACATTAAAACTCTTCTTAAATAACAGTTCCTCTATTTACTACTCAATCCACCACTGACTGAGATTTTGCCTTTTAAAATGGGGGCAGGAATGGTCTTTCTCTGGAGAGGACTTGAAGAAAGAAGAGCCCTCGTGGTTCTGCTCAGTCAGTTCTTTGGGCAGGAATAGCCAAGCCTGGGTAGTGGTATTTTTGTTAGATCATATCACTGGGAAGGGAGTTGTTGGGAGGGAGGAAAGGAAGGATTGACATGAAAGTCTTGCCAGTTTAAATGGGGAGTAGAAGATGGTGTCACTGCATCGTAGTTTTGTGAACAAGACGTAGTATTGGTTTTTTTTAATAGAGTTCATTTTTCCCTGCTTTGCAGCTTCTAGCAGTTGAGGGCTCTGTCCTTCGAGACTCATTGATCCACAAGAAGATCATAGCAAAAGGAGAGGAGGTAAGAAGATGCTCCGGGGGCTCGGGGGGCTGCAAGGAGCAGCCACCAGCTCCCGTGTGCAGTGGCCCACTTCATTTCTCACACTTCTCAAAGGAGGTTGTCAGTGCAAGTCCCATCTAACCCGGTGGTGACTCAGCCAGCGTGCCTGGGAGACAGTGATATGAGCTGAGCCCAGACAGGATGCTCTTAAGTGGCTGTTTATTAACAATGAACTAGGGAAACTTAATCTCTCACTGGAATGGCTGCTGAAGGGCTTTTATTTATTTATTTTTTTCTTCTCTTTCTGCGTACAGTTAATCAGTCCTCTGAACCTGGAGCAGGCAGCCTATGCCAGGGATGCTCTTGCTAAGGCAATATATGGACGCACTTTCTCCTGGCTTGTGAACAAGGTTAACAAATCTCTTGCTTATAAGGTAAATGAACCTATTCTTCTTTTTATTTATTTATTTATTTTCCTGGCATACAACCAAGTGTCAAGGGTTTTTCAAACCTTGTAGCTGCCAAGCAGAGAAATGCCCAGTTAAGTGCCGCAGTACCATGCATACACACAGTAGTTTCCAAACAAATTTTTATTCCACTAAGAGGAGGGTAAGGAGTAAATAATTAAATGGGGAAGATCACTGAGGCATCATAGCATGACTATATATGAACATTTTTTTTTCCCCTGTGGTAGGAGGGAGAATTTCCAGGCTGGAGAAGTACCACAGTTCTAGGGTTGCTTGATATCTATGGATTTGAAGTTTTCCAGCACAACAGGTTAGTTTCCATCAGTCTTTTGGAGTTTTGAGTAAGCCGTGCATGACTTAGTGCTCACAGTGTTTTTCTCCAATGCAAAATAAGACATTTTCCATGTCTGGTACTTCTTAGTAAGAGAGAAAGAGATGATGATTCTACTTGAGGAAGTCAGCTGAAAACTGATCATCGTAAGGCAGCTGAAAGACCTAAGTTCCACATTTCTAAGTAGGAGCTTCTAATACCTGAGATGTAAATGCTAAATATTAGCTGTATAATTATTTATCACTCTGGTATTTAAAGAGACTGTTGTCTCTTGGGGGCATATTCATCTAATATCTTAAAGCATGCTTTTGTATAGATCTGTAGTACTGTTATGATTGTTGCTGTGCTTTCTTTTTGTGGAAGTGTAAATGGGAAAATACAATTATTGAACAACTTAAGAGATTATGTCAGTGTGGAACAAACTCTGAGAGATAGCAAGGAACCCAGACACTACTATTTATGCTATTTGTGGGTCTTTCTTAAAAGTTTTTGTCTTCCTCTGTGTCACTTCTCATGTTTATTTTTCATTCCTTCTGGAACTTTCATGAGATTCACTAAATAATAAATGTAATAACATTATAAATTCACTAAACCTCTTATATGTCTCTTGATTTAAGCATAGATGTATTCATGCTGCTGTCAACTGATTACAGGTTATGCTACATGCAGCACAGTGTTAGTGATTATTTTTCTCTGTGTTTTTTTTCTTTGTCTGCAGCTTTGAGCAATTTTGTATTAATTATTGTAATGAAAAATTGCAACAGCTCTTCATAGAGCTCACTTTAAAGTCAGAACAAGAGGAATACGAGTCAGAGGGCATAGCGGTAAGAGCCAGCATCACCACACTTCCTCTCTCTCCTTTGTATCACTCCTGTGAGCCACAAGACAGATGATTAGAAATGGAGCTGCTAATAACAAGGGTCTCCAAACTAAAAGCTCAAGGAGCTTTTCCTTTCTTTTTCAACTGTGTTGGTATCAGTGGGTGAAACGTCTGGAAGTAATGCCATTGTATGCTTTGATAGAAAGGGAGGGAGTGCTCTTAATGGGAACATTAAGAAAATAAATGTTAGGAATGAAAAAACTTAAGGTATCAAATCTGACAGAAGGACTACTTAAATTATGTGTTGTCTGAAATATACTGAATTTTGCATGGAGTTTTTTTGGCAGTCTAGAATTGTTGTCATTCAAGTGAGATTTCTTACCTTTGCAGTGGGAACCAGTTCAGTACTTCAACAACAAAATCATTTGCGATTTGGTGGAAGAGAAATTCAAAGGCATCATTTCAATTTTGGTGAGTTGACAGCACCTTTTCAAATGCAAATCTTGAGGCAGCATGGCGGAAAGCAAGGAGAAAATAACGTAGGAAGAAAAGATTAACGCTTACGTAAAGATTGTTCATGCTGGAGGGCAGAGCACTAGTGCACAGACCAGTGACACCATCAAAAGTCAGTGCATCCATCTTTTCCTGCTCTCGGGAAAGAAGCTTCCAGTCCAGGCAGTCTAGAAGGAATTCTCCTTCTCAGCTCAACAGTTCTCATTTGTTGAACTAAGTGAAGTGAAGCCTCGCCGTTGCAAGGCCAAAGATTCAAATGAAGGTGGTGTTTCAGTGAGAATTAGAGGTGGCCTCTGTGCTGACAAGCATGCAAAGAAGCCAGTGCTGGAGTGCACGTGTTTGCCAACTTCTTTTTAGGATGAAGAGTGCCTGAGACCTGGGGATGCCACAGATATGACATTCTTGGAGAAGCTTGAGGAAACCGTGAAGAATCATCCTCATTTTCTCACGTGAGTGTTTCCATAGCTGACAACAGTCACACGAGCAAGATCCAAGTGTGTGACAGAGCTATTGATATCGACTGCCTTGCTCTTTTGAAGGCTAACCTTCAAAATACAATAGGAACAATAAAACATTCCTTACTTTCTGCCTTCTTTGCTTATCTCTTCCTGGCATCCCTATGCTAATGTGTCCAAGGAATTTGCAGGCTTGCAGTTTCTTGGCTGCTCTAAGATCTGGCCTAATGCTGTAGGTGTGATGAACTCTGCTTCTCCTCTGCTGCTTCAGACTCTTAGGGCAGATCATTCCTCAGCATTTGATGGCTTCCTGGGGAAAGATGACTCAAGTCTAGTGAGGGAATAACTAGAGCATGGAGCAGAATTCTGCTCTTTTATAAAAGTGTTCAGAGGAATATAGGCATTAGAGTGATTTAAGTAGTGCTGGTATTTTTGAAATTGCTGTGCCTTGGAGTTTAATATCGCACTCATTCCCCACTGTGTGTGTCTGCTTCCCAGATAATCTTCTCTTTGACTTGGTTAAACTACCCATATTGCCATCTCTCTGGTGTAATTGGTGTGAATTCCGTGTTTGTAGCTCTCAAGACTGCTTCAGTTTCGAGTGATTATTAACACATTGCAGCTCCAAATGTCCTGTCTCTTCCTATCAAACACTGCTTTGCTCTTATCCGAGTCTCGGGAGTGTGCCAGCTTGCTGCCAGGAAGCTGAAATTTCCTTTATTTGAAATAAAGGTAAACAGATTTTTGTGAATGGGAGCCGACAGGCTAGTTGGAGACTGACTTCTTTATTTCCAGTGCTGAAGATGAACAATTGTGATATGTCTTTTCCCTCCCCTTGAGTTCATACAGTCTCACTCAGGGCTCAGAGAGCACAGTGGCTTTGGGGCCAGGTCCCGCCACGCGCAGCTCACGAAGCCTCCCTGTTTTCTCGCCAGGCACAAGCTCGCAGACCAGAAGACCCGCAAGTCCCTGGGCAGGGAGGAATTCCGGCTCCTGCACTACGCCGGCGAGGTCACCTACAGCGTCGCAGGCAAGCGCGGACACCGAACGGGCTGCCTCTCCCTTCCTCTCCCATCTCCTCTCCTTTTCATTAAAACATTGCTAGATAACAAAGATCAGTGTGGGCATAGAACACCTCCACATGTCAGTTGATTAGCTGCATGAATCTCTCATGTTAAATTCCTGTCTTGTTAAGTTCCTATGGGACAGCAGGGGTAGCCTGAGCTCTTTTTTCTCCTTTTCTCACCTAGGTTTTCTAGATAAAAACAACGACCTTCTCTTTCGGAACCTGAAGGAGGTGAGTGTGGATAGGAATGCTTGTTTCACTGTGTTTTGGATCAGTTGGGTGCAAAATGGGACGGCAGCGGAGGGAAATCCTGCTTTTAGACTCTGTCTGGAGAATGTGCACTCACAGGGACTGCACCATGAAAAGGAAAGTTGAGGTGCCTGTTAAAACAACCACAAACAAGCAAAACACCCAGTTTTCATCCATGTTCTTCTGATGCTTCATCTCTGAAAATGTCTTTCTCTGCAGACCATGTGCAACTCCGAGAATCCCATCATAAATCAGTGCTTTGACAGGACAGAGCTGACGGACAAGAAGAGACCTGAAACGGTAAGAACATGGGAGCTGGATGTTTTTAAAATCAAATCCCACCGAGCGCAGCAATCGGAGCTCAAGCCTCCCGTGTGCGTGGCAGGGAGGCCGTGCGCTTTGTTCCTGGGCACGTGCCCGCTGCCAGCACCACTTCACACGCAGCTGTTCTCCTGTTTTCCCTTTTTTCCCTAGGCAGCAACTCAGTTTAAAAACAGCCTCTCCAAGCTCATGGAAATCCTGATGTCCAAAGAACCCTCGTACATTCGTTGCATGAAACCTAACGACTCCAAACAGGCTGGTAAGGCTTTGGGGCCACTTCCTCTCCCTGGTTTGGAAGGCAGCTGCATAGGCCACTAGATCCCATCCAGTGGGGCAGGGAGAGGCACTGGGATGACTAAATCCTGCAAGATTTTTCATTCTGGGCCGATGCCAGGGCTTGCGGGCAGGCAGGGGCAGCACCAGTAACCAGGAGACGTGTGGGAAGTGATGGGCTAGGGTCGTGTTTAAGGTGAAGAATGCGAAGATGCGTCACTTCCTTTTAATGATCTCCTTTATTCTCCCTCATTTCCTCTTCCTGTTCACAAAGAGCATAAAGGAGACCATCTATTTGGAAATAAATAAGTGTATATTAAAGTGTACATAAATACGTATGTTTAAGGGTACATTAAATAACGTATATTAAAAAGTGGGGAGAAGAACATGGGACACCAAGGCAGTTGTGTCAGATTTACACAGTGAGGATGGGGTAGAGGTGAAAACTAATCTATTAACATAACACCAGGAGCTGACAGCCCCTTCCCCATATGAAGGGGCGTGTTAGTAACGTTCCTCCGTTTTCATGCTCTCTCAAGATCGATTTGATGAAGTTTTAATCCGACATCAGGTGAAATACCTGGGCTTGATGGAAAACCTGCGAGTGCGCAGAGCTGGGTTCGCCTACCGGAGGAAGTACGAGGTTTTCCTGCAGAGGTAGGAATGAAGCCCTTGGCTCCCCTCCCTCGGCCTGCAAGGTGTGAGCAGCAAACGGGGGCAGCCCCTGAACCTCAGAGACTTTCTTTGAGGGAGAAGGGAGGATGAGGATGGCACTTCCATAGCACTGCATGGGCTGGGCTTCCTCCTACTAATGTTTCTCTGCTGCTAATTTACAGGTACAAATCACTCTGTCCAGAAACGTGGCCCACCTGGGATGGGCGGCCCCACGACGGCGTGGCTGTGCTGGTGAAACACCTTGGCTACAAACCAGAAGAGTACAAAATGGGACGGTTAGTTCCTCTATGTTCTTAATTTGGGAACATGAATTATTGGAAGTCAGCGCCACTGGTTTTAAATAAGGCTTCTCTGTCTAATGGGTGGGGGAAAGATTAGAGGTCCCAAAAGGGATGCTGAGGACAGGAAGCAGACTTCTCTGGCATGCTAAACATAATTCTGCATTTCTATTTCTAGAACAAAGATTTTTATCCGTTTTCCCAAGACTTTGTTTGCAACGGAAGATGCTCTGGAAGTAAGGAAGCAAAGTCTTGGTGAGTCACACACAGCACAGAAGCTTCACGGACAGCCGGCTGCCTTGTGCTTTTTATGAAGGAAAAAAAAAGTCTTTATCTAAAAAAAAAAAAAAAAAAAAAAAAAAAAAAAAAAAAAACTCATATTTGACCACATTTTCTAATTGCTCTTTCTCTTGCCATTTCAGCAACAAAAATGCAGGCCACGTGGAGAGGTTTTTATCGACGGAAAAAATTCTTGCACATGAAACACTCAGGTATGAGAGAACTGAAACTGCAGTAGACACCTGCATAGCTAGAAATGGCCACAGTGATTTTGGAGGAGAGGTCAGAGATGACTTGTGTTTGCTGCGCAAGAAAATTGTGGTTTTTATTGAGATTAGTTATTTATTCATTGTATCACATAGTGAAGAAATTATGTTCTTTCCGATATACCACTGTAAAGGCTTATGTTCTTGGAGGCGATTTCTTGATACCTCTTCATTTTCAACTCATGTACAGAGTCAATATTTGTAGTAAGGGGCTTGCTTAGTGTGCAAAATCTTTTTTTTACTATTATTATTTTTAGCAATAGCCATCCAGGCCTGGTGGCGGGGAACCTTGGGACGCCGAAAAGCTGCCAAAAAGAAGTGGGCAGCAGAGACGATTAGAAGGTGCGTTTAAAAAAAAAAAAAATTTAAAAATCCATCCATTGAGTACTTATTGTCTAACAAAAAGATGATTAAAAGAACAGGGCCTGGAATCTTTCAATAGCCATGACACATTTTTTGTTAATAAATAAAGCTCAGGAAATGGGGGAGGCTGTTACTTGAAAACAGGCTATTTTGTGCCGTTTGAGTAAGCGTGTCTGTCTGAAGCCAGGGAAAGCTTTTTGGCTAGCCTGCTAGCAGAGGCAACAGAGAAAATTTAGAAAGCAGCTTTCCATATTTTATTATTGTGAAAACATCCCTTTTGGCAGTCAGCGCCTCCGAGTTATCCATTGGCTCTTGCCAGTCCTGGGATTCCCTAATGAAACTCAAGTTCCTGGTTCTTACAAATTGCAGTTCCTTTTTCCTCCCAGCTAATTTTGAAGACTTGCCCCAGTGCATTTAATGCCCCCAACCCATCTTAAGTGTTAACTCACCTTTTATCCTCGCTGTATCTTAAAGCTCCCTGGGGACCCAGGGGTGACTGCATTAGGAGAGCCCTCTCAGATGCCGATTAACCTTTTTCTTTTCTTTTGCCTTTTTTTCCCTCCCTGCCACCAGGTTCATTAAAGGTTTTATTTACCGGAACTACCCTCGCTGCCCCGAGAATGAGTATTTCCTGGATTATATCCGCTTTTCCTTCCTGATGAACCTTAAGCGTAATTTGCCAAAGACTGTTCTGGACAAATCTTGGCCAACTCCTCCTCCGTCGCTCTGTGAGGTAGGCAGAACCAGCAGCCAACAAGAAGGGCTTTTTTCACTTGATGAAAAATAAGATCGTGGAAAGCTCCAGTTCTCTTATCCAAAGTTCCTTGTTTGCTTGATCATAGTGAGAAAAGGAATAACCAGGCAAAGGGGAATATTCCCCAGGCTTTATTCTGCATTCTGAATTGGCAGAGGAAATAGTGCAGGATAAGCTTTCTTAAAAGACAGTAGGAAATGAAATTCCAATTATTTATTTCCAAAACTTAGTCCGTTGGTAAAATATGTTTAATTCAGTCTTATATTTTCTGCGATTCCCTCTGTCTTTGCTTAGACTCTTGGCTTAGCTTTGTGACGTGGAGCCATTGTCCCTGACCCTGTGACTTGTCCCGCAGGCCTCGCAGCTGCTGCGGCAGCTCTGCATGCAGAACATGGTGTGGAGCTACTGCAAGAGAATCAGCCCCGAGTGGAAGCAGCAGGTAGGGGCCAAGTGTATTCTTTGAGTAGTTTAAATATTGATATTTCTTGAACAGTTATATGTAAGCTGTTTTTGTCTTTAATATTGCATTGCTAAAGTATGTTGCTTCTGAAAGCCAAAATACTAAGCAGCCGTAATGAAAAACTGTAGATTAGCTACTGAGTTAGGTGTCATTAGCCTGTTATTAAGGGCACAGAATTAAAAGCTGCCATTGCTAAATTGGAGGTGGAAACAGAGCAGGATTCTCCCCCCGAAGCAACCCAGCCCTGCAGCCACCAAATTTCCAATTTCTTCTCTCAGCTGCTGCGTACGCTGCAGTGCCGGCCCTTTGCCCTCGCTCGGCAAAGGGAATTGCTCCTTTCCTTCGTTCTTCCAAGGAAATGCCTGGTAGGAGCTCGGGGTGCGGATTCCCTCTCCCAGGGCCGGTCCTCCGGGATCCGAGGATTGTGGTGCCGAATGGTCTAAGCAGGAGCTCCCAGGCCCAGGGGAGTCACCCTGCTGGGCACTGTTGAGGAGAGAGGGGAGCTCTCCTGATTGTGCTGCATGGCAGCAGAGGGGCCTAATGGGTTTTTTTTTCTTTAGTACTTTACTAAAAAAGTTGACCAGCTTAAAAGGCTTCAGAAAAAAATATGAAACAAGGAGGGGAAAAAAGTCCAGTAGCAGGAAGGATCAGGCTGGCTTGGTAAGGAAAAGGTTAAGAGAGTCGCTGCACTGGAAAGACTCTTCACCTGAAGAAAGGCATTAACTGAATGGTTAACAGGTTAATGGCAGAGAATGGTTGCAATAGGTCTGTAAACTTGAACCAGAACTAGGCTGAATGGTTTTGAAAGAGGTTTCAAAAAAAAGGCAGAAAATGAGGCACCTGAGAGACTGTTTTGCTGCCAGCCCACTCTGTAAAGAGGGAAGCCATTGAAAGGATAGGGAGTATTTTGTGCAGTTTTGTACCTGGTATGATTCACAGTGTCAGAACTAGATGATTATTGTTAAATGTATCTTTAAGGCAAACATTTCCTTTTGTTTAAAGAAAGTTTTCATACTAAAAAAAAAAAAAAAAACACAAACATCTCTTGTCCTTGCAGCTGGAACAAAAAGTGATCGCCAGTGAGATTTTTAAGGGTAAAAAAGACAATTATCCTCAGAGTGTTCCTAGGCTCTTCATCAACACTCGGCTTGGTGAGTAGGTGTTGCACATCTGAACAGGAAGAAAGAGGGACTCATCTGCTCTTTTCTTCCTAGACATTGCTCTTTCTGACACCTCCTCTTTGCTTTTCATTTAGGAACTGAGGAGATAAATGCTAAAGTCCTTCAGGCTTTAGAAAATGAAGCAATTAAGGTGAGATATGTGTCCTAATACTTTTGTTGTTAAGCTCCTAGAATTATTCAGCAGAATTGTAATCATTATTAGAAGATTGCACTGCCAACTGAAATGCATTAGGAATATTAGATGAAGGTCAGCCTTCAGGGGCCCGTGTCCATCCCAGCTCCCAAAGCAGCGGGGTCAGGGCCTCGTGGAGCTCTCCAAGCTGCAGGGATGGCTGCTGTCATCGCGGCACGCGCCCTGCTGAGCCCTGGCCCCGCTTTTTCAGTACGCGGTGCCTGTAACCAAGTATGACCGGAAAGGGTACAAAGCGAGAGCGCGGCAGCTGCTGCTCACCCAGAGCGCGGTCGTCATCGTTGAAGACTCCAAGATCAAGCAGCGGATCGACTACGCCAATCTGACAGGTGAGAGACCGGGGAGCGGGCTCTCGCTGACTTGATTACAGCCAAGGAACGACTGCGGTCAGGGGAAAATAGTTAAGAAAAATAATTTGAGTTTGTTCTGGCCAAGACTTGACCTGATTCCAATAAGCAATTCAAGTTTTGTGATTCCTAATGCTCCAGAGAGGGACCCTCCAAAGGGAATCCCCCAGAAAAACGTCCCCCTGTACCACAGTCATGACTCACGTGCCCAGCTCCGCTGCAGGGGAGCTGCACGGCTACCCACAGCAGCTGCCCGGGGCCCTGCAAAGGCATTTAGCCCTCAGTATTTGACGCTGGCTTCATACAGGGGGTAAGGAGGGAAAATCTTGTTGAGGGTGGGAAAAAAAACCTTGTCTTGGAGGCAGCATAGTCATTACTGGGCTTTTTCATCTGCAACCTCTCAGCATTGCTGGAGTTCCTCTTCAGAGCCCGGGTTGGTGTTCAGAGTCGCGTCAGGGCAATGTGGAAGCCATCAGCTGTCAGCATTTAAGATGTTTTCCGAGAGCAGCTCAGCCTCAGCCTCCCTTGAGGGCTTCCTGCAGAGCGATACAGGCGGCTGCCTTGGCGCTGCGCTGGCTCGAGCTGCACAGCTAACCCAGTGCATCAAGATATTAAGTAAAATCCCCCAAGAAACGGTGAAGAACCAGACCCTGCAGCAGCAGAGTGTTCCATAATTAATCCATGTTCCCGAGGGAGGTGGGTCCAGTTCCTACCCAGCAGTTACAGCCCTGATCCAGGTCCATGTTTAGAATTAAGCATCTTGCTGTGGGGACAGGGGAAGTCATGGGTTAGTTGCTGGTACAGAGGAGTTGGCTCTTCCAAGTTCATAAGGACTGTCCTTCTTTCTGATGGATGCAGTAGAGAATTTTGACGTGTTGAGAGGTAGTTAACTGATTTTTGTCACCTTGCAGCCATGTCATTGCTCTGCTGCTCTCCCCCTACAGAGCTGCTGGGCAGGTTGCAGCAGTTGGGTTTCCTGCTGGGGCTTTGACAGGGGCCGCGTTCCCGGGAGAGGCTCTAAAAGGCCTGTGAGAATCCTGGGATTGTGGGCACCAAAGGGCTCGTCTCTGTTACAGGCATCTCTGTGAGCAGCCTGAGCGATAACTTGTTCGTGCTGCACGTGCACTGCGAGGACAACAAACAGAAGGTAGCGGCACTTGCTTCATTTCTCCATCTACCTCTAGTGAGAATTTAACAGGCTGGGGAGAGAAGATACAGCACAAAAAGGGGTGGTGGGGCTGATTTATGAGTGAGCGGCTTCTTTACCTAACACTGTGCTTTCTTCTAACTGGAATTCTGTTTCTTTTACTTTCATATTTACACTCCATTCCGCAGATGCTCCTTTGTCCTCATTACTGCTAACACACCAGGCCCAGGGTAGTTGCTCAAGCTGCAGAATGTGAGACAGAGGCCCTAGACACCTCCAGCACCCACATTCATGTTCTCCTCTCCTACAGAGAGCGTTTCCGCTCTTAATTACTATGAGTTTGTCATGTAGTCTGTGAAAAGCCCTGACTGCAAACACTGTGTGTGGGTTTGCCCTTGCAGGGGGACGTTGTGCTTCAGAGCGACCACGTCATTGAGACGCTAACGAAAACAGCCATGCGGGCGGACAAAGTCAATAACGTCAACATCAACCAGGGCAGGTGAGCAACGCTGTCCTGCTTTGCTCGGGTTTGGTCTGAAAAGGGGTTCTGCTTTAGCCTTGCAGCTCCAGGAAACCACAACCAGGGCTCCAGTTCCACAAATAAGCAGATTCACTGCAGCCCAGCATCAATAAAAAGCATCTATTTCTATACAAAGGGGTAAAAGTGGGTTGATGGTCACAGATGCTCAGTCTATTCTCACCTTTCTCTTTGCAGCATAAAATTTACAGTGGGGCAAGGCAAAGAAGGCATCATTGACTTTATATCGGGCTCAGAACTGCTTATAGCCAAAGCCAAGAACGGCCATCTAACTGTGGTGAGTAGGGGCTGCTCCTGCCCAGGGCGGGCCGCTCTCTTGCAGGGCGCTCGCAAGGAAGCAGCGGTCTCACTGTGGCCCTCCTTCCTACCCCGTTTTCCTGTCACTCACATAGGTAGAAGCTTTAGCGCAGTCACAGAAGGGGCACACAGGGGACTTTGCCACGGGCTCCTCTGCCCTTGCGGGTCATCCCAAGAACAGCCCCTGTCTGTACCTCAGACTCGAGGGGGGGCTTCGCTTACCGTAGCGCCACGCACGGCTCATTCCTGAGCCGAGCCAGGCACCGTAACAGCACCGACCGGCTCCAGCTGTTGTGGCGTCTTCTTCAGGGCCGTTTTTAGCTTGTCGCTCTTCTGCAGGTTGCTCCTCGTTTGAATTCTCGATGATGAAACGTCCCACCAGAACACGACCCTTTCTTCCATCAATCAGCCCGACTGCCCCCTCGACAATTGGCTGGACAACGCTCCCAGCAAAATCCCCTTTCCTTCCTCTCTTTGCTCATTTTATTGTTACCAAAGACCTGCACTTTCAGAAAAACAAAATACAACTTGCTTTCTTGTCTTAATATGAAAGTTCCGAAAGAAAGGCCTTCTCTTCCTTACCTTAGTGGCAAACGCACGGGTCCAAGGCACTGTCTGTGAAACTGCGGCTCACGACACTTGTGTATTGAGCTGGGCTTTGAGGGCGGGAGCTCTGACTCCAGGAGAGTTTAAGCTCTGATGGAAACGACCAAAATTTGTGCTTCTATCATCAATCAAAAAAAAGCACAATCGCAGGAAACGAGCACTGCTGCCGCTGTCAGCCAAATCAATGAGATGCCAAACTTTATATTTAGAAAGAATGTTTTATGAAGAATTTTGCTCTGAGACTTTTTGATGCTTTGTGTTACAATATTAAAGCCATATTGTGTAAATGAGTAAAACCCTGTAAATACTTTATAGCTAAGTATGAGAGATGCACTACAAGAAATGGAGTAGATGTGGAAACTTTGTTTTGGATTTGAATTTTATGTTGTTTTTAGTTGATGACTAGAAGGTGTTAAACTGAGAATCCCCCTTCGGTAACTGCTTTCTTAATCTCAATCCAGGGTTGCTTCTTTTTAAGGCACCTCTCCCATTTCTTGCTCTATGGTATTTTTATACTGCAGTAACTTTTTCATATCTACACATCCGAACAACAGCACGTGCAAACTACAGGAGGTCACCATTCCTCTCTGCCCCCTAGGCTGGACCTGAAGCCTGTAGTCCTTGGGCACAGCATGTGCACAGCAGCATCTCTGCCACCTTGTACCTGTCTGGAAGGGGCCCTGGCCCTTCCCCTGCACAGCTCCTCAGCCTCAGAGCAGCACCTCCACAGTGAAGGCTTCTCCTCCTCTTTATGTTTTCAGGGATAACTGGAAGTTTGAGCTCTCACAATAAAGCTCCACCATGTTTAGATAACCTCTCCATACTGCCTTAAAGGGGCAAGAGGGCTAGTGCAGCACTGCTGGCCTTGCCCCCCAAATAGCTCCTGGCTCCTCTGCATCTTCCCCAGGAAGCTCTAGCTCTGTCACGTCACCGGTTATAACTAAGTGCTAGAAGGACGCAGGCTTCCAACCACAGCCGCTCTCAAGCCGCGGCAGAGGAGGTTGAGTATCAAGCACTTTCATTCAAGAACAAACCCAAACGGCTCCAGGGCAGAGCGCTAAGTGTCAAACACTGCAGTCTGGCCAGGGCTTTCCATCATCTACTTGCCTTGCAGTCCTTTGTGGTTCCCCCCTCTACCCCCCATGCAGTAGCTACAGGCTACACTAGGCCCCCCCCCACACACAGCCAAACATGTTGCCAGTGACACACAACAGGCAGAGGCTCCTGCTTTCTGCCATCAGGCAGTATCAAACACTGCAGCAGGCCTGGAATGCTCTATACACTGTAGTATATATGCACACACAGACACCCCCATACTACTGTATATGCTAGAGTGTATATACTGTACAACGCTGTATACGCTATTATAACCTCAAGACTACGCTAAATAAATTTTTACAATAAAAACCACACCTTGTCTTTATCGTAGAAATGGTTTCATCGTATCTCTTAGTTTCTGAAGGGGAAGCGATTTTTCCTCCTTTGGTTTTTGCCCTCGCTGCTCCTGTGACAAGACATCCTCGTACAGCCGAGTCCAGGGGGCTGCCCCACGGCGCCGTGACTGCGCTGACACCAGCTACAGAAGGTACAAACCACTGCTGGGCACCGCCAGCAAACTGGCATTCAACAGCCCGTTTGTCTCTCGCTCGTTCTTGGCCCCAGAAAATTATTCCTGCTGAAATAATTAAAAGAAAGTCATAGTAGTATTTGGCATTTTTAATTTAGGTTTGTTTTATTTAAGTTTAATGTTAATTCCATGCTGTGTTTCAGTAAGAACAATACAGATTCTGTATCTGTGGCTCCAGTCAGATATCCAGTAGTACAAATTAGCTTCAAGTTACACATACTGAACAAAAGAGGTTGAGCGAGCGAAGGGAGATGGGGAAAGGGGAGGGAAAAAGAAAAAATATTGAACACGCATGCAGGCTTATCAATGCCACCTTCAATGCTAACCTGCTTGGAGGAAAAGTAAAGAGTAGGCAAGAATGAGCAGCCACGGATTGTTGAACTGTTACCAGCACCATGTTTTTCAGCAACATTTCAGCAGTTTGGAAACTTTACAGTAAAACCACTACAATGTGTCCCAATGCAACCTGTAACTTCAAGCTAAACACCCAATTAAGTTTAAACATTGGTATAAAATTCAGTTTAAACAGTTATAAAAAAGAAAAATGCCACCACATGCGCGCTACCATGCGATTACAGATCTCCCCTACACGTCTACCGGCCTTCAGATGTAACATTCACTGCTAAGGGTGACCTCCCCACGTCGGGCGGAGGACAATACAGTAATGCTGAAAGAGCCTTTACAAAGTCCTGTTAGTGTCTTAACCTAAAAGCTGGCACCAGTAAAATCCACAGAAATTCACTCTTGCCTTTAAGAACTTTTAAACTGTGTAAAAAAAAAATAAAAATAAAGAAACCCAACAGGGCAGGAACCTAAATTCTGAGACCCAATGTAAAAGTCAGATTTGGTGGTTCTCAGAGTGACACTGAGGGATTTTGTGGGGAAGGGGAAGGGTGGTCAGAGATGGGTTCTCTTGTTGGCCTTTGTGTCTCACTGGTTTTCATCTTCCACATCCTGCAGCGCTTCTTTATTCTGTTCTTCACCTACGAGAGTTTTTAAAAGAGGAAAATTTTTAAAATGACATTGACAGAACGGCTTAAGACGCATCTGCAGATTAATAGTTTCATGCAGTTGCACACACGCTCGCTTGCACCCCTGCATGAACAGCACACACGCACTCATGACGCAGCCAGTCCTGAACTGAAGCCTCTCCATGGAAACTGAGCCTTGTAATCAACCCGTCATGTTTCATAAAGACAGTTATAGCACAGGCTATTAGAACACAGACCCTGGCGTAAGGACAAACAAGAAACCAGCACTGCTGAAAACTGGACCTCGGCACATGATCAGATCAAACACGTACAGCCAAGATAAAGTTACCAGAATGGCTGTATATCAACATCCTTAAATCAGAACATACCTCTCAAAAGAAAAACCCTAATTTCTACCCAGAGAGCTAAGAGCATCTGTGCACTAACAAGAGCACCAAAACCAAAATGGATTTTCAGAAGTGAGTTTTTTTTCTGCCTAAATCCGCTTAGTCTCAATGAGAGTAGAATCCTACAGTCAGTTTTGGAAGATGACACTGATGGTATGGATTTAGTTTACACAAACAAGTATGAATAAGGTTCTGTACTTCACAAGTTGGACATGACAAGAAATCCTAGGTTTGAGGCTGCTAAGGACAATACTTCGTGGAAATTCACTTCTTTAAAGAAGGTCAATCAGTTTGGAGCTATTTCAGTAGGCTGCAACATGCAAGGAAAGGGTTTTAATGAAGAGACTCATCATAAACACTGTTTTACTTCAGTTACCTCTAGCCAAATTTCTACTGCAACAGGAGAAGTTTAACGTACTTCAGCTAGTACCATAACACATGCAAGACTGAGTTAATTGACAGAAGAAACTGAAGAATGTTTTTACAGCTATCCTTAGCTCTGTGAGGTGGTATTGCCTTAAGGACAATAAATAAACTATCCACTCCAATTAGTTTGCAATAAAATCCAGTCAAATGAGACTAATGACTTTCAGCATATAATCAGAATGCCTGCTGAGAGCATGTCCAGATTCAGCATTATCATCAGCTGCAATGCAAGGTATATTTGAAGAGGTAGCCTAGGAATGTAAGATAAGACATTCAACAACAACAAAATTAATGGTCAGAATTACGTAACAAATTATTTAAGAGAAGAAAGCAGAGGCCTTGACCCAGGAAGATGATTAAAAAGATCTGAGCATGCTCTAGCCAATGCACTTATGCAAATACTCCTATAACAGGCCATAGTGAAAATGCTTTTCATGCCCAAATATTCTTAATATCCATCCAGGTGTGCAGCGCAATTATCAAATGTTTAAGTTCTTTTGGATATCAGTTATGCTTATTTGGACCTGGATAGGAGTAACAGGTCACCAACTGGTTGAATATTGCTTAGCCCTGGAATGGAGTCAAAGATACAAGCAATTTATGAACAGCAAGAGAGTGAAAGAGGCAAGCATGATTAGTGATCAGAAAATTGATGTTGAAAAGTTCATTGAGCCATGACAAAGACTTACAAAGTAGAGTTTTTAGGAAATGAACAGTTGGACTTTCCTTTAGGAATCTATATAGCAGGAAAGAAGGGGAAAACAGGAATCATGAAGACGACATTACAAGCGTGAAAATTAACTCAACAGCTCGTCTATGATATGGTTAGAAGATACAATAAATGAGATGGAGAAACAGCAGCTCAGTAACAGTTCATATAGGAAAGTCACTGCCTATAACCTGCACAAGGCAAACACAGAAGCTTTACACAAAAGAATGAGTCATTTTCAAATCTTTTTCCTCTTCAGAAACTAATAATTGTGACCATGTTTCTCAATGCCATTGCTAACATTAACTGTCATAGGACATCAGAAGCTTTACCTAATTTTAGAAGTAACCACAGCGTTCTGAAAGCAAAAGTTTTAATTAAATTAAGTCAACATATTAGCAAGCTATGAGTAAAAGGAAGGAATAATTACTTTTGTGTAAATATTAAGCATAAACATCAATTTCTCTGTGGACAGACACAGCAGCATGATTTTAAATTGGTTGTAGGTTTTTTGATGGTTTTTAAGTTTACAGCTGTTGTTATCTTCATGGCAAGTGTCCGAAACACATAGAATGACCTGAATTTCAGCAAGGACAAAGTGCCTGTCTACTCTGTTATGGAACCCGTGACGAAACAACAAATTTGGAGGGAGCTAGGTTAAACAAAAGGTAACTACAGAGCCTCTGTAAAGGCTTCTTGGCTTAAATTGCAGAAATTAGAGGAATAATTTCCCCCAAATGCAACAAGGAATGCATCTAAAGGCTGCAGTATTTAGAACAGTGCCTGCACTGAGCCAAATACATAGGCTGTATGTGTAAGGGTAATTATATGGACTTGTTGCAATTTGCAAAATATACCCACAAAAGCAGTATACAGTCTCTTTCAAGAATCTCTGTACTGGGATGTAGGGTAGATTAAGAGCCAAGGCCCATCATGCTTGGAGCTTCTTCATAGGAGTGTCAAAGGCCAAAGACACAGGGATAAGTGTAAATTGCTCAATATTGGTTATCTACTTCAAGAGCTAGGAAGTAGACAAAATATTACAAAGAACCTCACTAGCCACGTGGTAACAGAGGCAGTATGAAAAAAGGAAATGGACTCTGCAATTGCTTTCAAATGGGAGACTACACCAATAAAGTACTCCAGAACAATGTCACATAAGTACATGGTTATGCTTCAAACACCTTACATGACAAAAAAATCGAAAACATTCGTTTCTTTAGAAATAATCCCTCCTTTCTTCAGAAATTATTTATGTAGAAATCAATTTAAATCTTGTTTCAAACCTTGGGGAATACGTATGTACATAAATATATTCTAAACAGGATTGAAGAATTTTCTCTAAGTTAAGAATAAAGTCAGTCATATCTTCCTGCTTGTCTCTAATCTTTCTAAAGAATGTTTAATTCACTGATATCAGTAACCGGTAAATCAGCATTTATGCTAAAAAAACCGACGGAGGACATTTAAATTCATTGACATCCCTGAAAGAGAAAAAAACCACCCCACCTAGAAGGTCAAAAATAGCCTTTTAAGTAACTATCAGATGCTAGCAAACAGATGTGTCTCACCCATAGATAGTGTCAGAAGACACATTCAGCATTGCTAAGGCAACAGTCCACTTCGAGACATTCACTGGGAGCATAAAATGGACTACACAAATGCCAAAGATGCTTTTAATGTCCCAAATAGCTAATTAGATGTCCACAACCAGTAATTAAGTAGTTCACAAGATCCTTTTCCTTTTTTCTCTTCACATTCAATGCCTCCCAAGAGAATGGACAGTTACAGAGTTATGTAAAGTGCTTTAAGGTAATTAGCATGACAGCAGAAAGTCATCTGCCACTGAAATGCCCACAGAAATATTGAGTGACATTTGCAAGCACTTTCTCCTGCACTGGAGGTTCACACTGGATTGTAATGACAACTGTAAGGCAAGTATCACAAGCCTCTGAAGAAAAACTGAATTAAACGAAGAGTTTCTACTACATTTAAAGTAGTCACTGATGAAACCAAATATTTGTTCTAGAAAGGGGGAAGTGGCGAGAAGCCTCTCAAAAGAAACTGTGTCACTGCTATCAACTTATCTAATGATAAGAAAGGACAAAAATTCTGTGAGGTCAAATATCAGGAAAAAGAGACAGAAGCAGTAGAACACAAAGGCAGTCTACACATTTCCATGCTTTCCTTTTTTGCTTTGTTGGAGGGAAAGCAGTTGACCATGAGGAGGGTACAGCAGGTTTAGGGCAGGTTTACTTACCATCACCCTGCATGTCTGAAGTCCATAGTGTCAGATTATCACGTAACAACTGCATGATAAGTGTAGAGTCCTTATAGCTTTCTTCACTCAGTGTATCCAGTTCTGCAATAGCATCATCGAAAGCTGCTTTTGCCAACCTGCAAGTACAGAATATGAGACATGTAGAAGCATATTGCTGAACAGAATCCTGAAGGACACAAATTAAACCTGTATTACAGAATATCTGTCTTCTGGTTTGGCTATGTGACATTTTAAGCACCTTCCCCACACCCCCCAAGAGGTTGCTAGATGTTTCTCTAAACTTCTCAAATATTCAAAACTGGCCACTGTAGGTGCTTACCATAAACAGGATATTCAGAATTTTGTCTATTGAAAATTCCTGTATCTTGTGATACAGCTCATCAAGGTCTGTTAAGAGTTTGAAAAGATATACCTGTCACCTGCACTGACAGCAGTAATAAAATGTAATTGCTTCAATCTGTATTTTTATGTTCATAAGCAATCTTTTTCCTTAGAGATAAGCCACTGTGATTTACATATGCTCACAGCCACAGAAATGCCTAGTAATGTGACCCCTGCACCTCTGCCAACAGCTGAAGACCTAAGTTAAACTACCTCACTCTTTTGGCAGAACATGGGCACATGCAGTCAGGGAGCAAGCTAAGCTGCCTAGCTGCCATCAGTTGATCAATACAAGATTACTGCTATTTTGCTTCTCATACTTTATCTATTTTCAGATCAACAAATGCATCCAGAGTCAAAAGTTCAAAAGCTTTCTTATGAGTCAACCTCATACGGCATGAAGACATCAACTAACAGCAGACAAAAAGCAGCACAGCACTTTTGTTAAAGGAAAACAAGAACCCCAGTAACAATTACTTTTGACTTATTTGGTCACACAAGATTTCTGTCTTATGATTCATCACTTACCTGCAGGCACGATCAGGAGAATTAAGAATTTCGTAGTAGAATACAGAGAAGTTGAGAGCAAGTCCTAAGCGGATAGGATGTGTTGGCGGGAGTTCTGTCATTGCAATATCACTAGCAGCTTTGTAAGCCACCAAGCTATTCTCTGCAGCCTCCTTCCTGTCATTTCCTGTGGCAAATTCAGCCAGATACCTATGGTAGTCCCCCTTCCTGAAAACAGGAACAGAACAAGCAGCCGTTAGCAGTCCTTATTTCCCACACCACCATTATACAATTTCCTTAGCCCTGAAATCAATGTTTATACATTCCCATAAAGAGTCTTACATCTGAATTACTATCAAGAAAATAATATCTCAGTATTTAAGTGAACTTTTAAAAAAATCAGATATGATAAAAAACACTTTGGTTTCAGCTATTTTACTCCGCTGGATTTCAGGGTACTAGGTTCCCTATTACCCACCTATTTCTCTGGACAACAAATCTCATCTAAGCAAATTTTTACTCTAAATGGAGAGAATCTAATCAAAGGGGAATAGGCTTTGATAATTGCAATTTTAAATATGCTTCAGAAAGTGCAAAAGTATCACAAGCTAATAACTACAGCGATACACTCCAAGAAAGTGCAGTTTGATTTGAAAATGCAATTTGGAAGCTAACAAGACAGCCATCTACCCAATTTTCTTTCGCTTCACAGAAGGTGTACAGTTCACACCAGAAAAGACTTAAGCAAGGAAGTGATCTCTACTTTATTAGTTGCATTAAAGAAATAGCTCATCACATTTAAGACCTGTGCAAGAGCTTCTGCTGGCTTTACAACAAACTGGTGTCTCTATCCCTTCTATCCAAGCCCACGCTGTCAAACAGGATGCTAAGCCCACCAGTTGTATTCAAAAAAGGAAATACTATGACTGAGTGAATCCTATAGACATATATATACACACACAGAAATATAGACATATATACACACATTGCTACTTTCTGTTACTTAGTCCAGATACAAACAGGATGTCCTCATCTCACGAGGTAACACTTACATTTTGTAATAGAAAACCTTGGACTCGCCAGTGTTCGCGGCTGGAATGAGGTGTTTGTCCAGTACATCCAGAATGTCACAACAAATTAATTTCAGCTCAGTCTCAACCTAAAAACAAACAAAAGGAAAAAAAAAAAAGAGGGAATAGTATGGAAGATTAAAATTTTGTTTTATAACAAAAAAATCAATATGCAACAGGAGAAATCATAACAATACAAGGACTAAAAAAGAAAAAAAATATAGAACACATTCAGCTGCTCCACAGATATTATTATTAAGCAAAGCAGTATTGGGTAATTAGCTGCCACACATTAAAAAAGTCAAGGATTTATGTATGAAGAAATGCAAGTTCAGCTAAAACAATAAATTCCCTGGAAGATACATTACTACTAAGTTAGATTAGGTCCGTCTCAGGACGCAGTTCCTGCAAGGCTTGCAGCTAATGCAAAACTTGCAGAACTTCCACTTCAAATTTTTGACCCTAGAAAGTAACCCTAAAAGTGACAACAGTGAAAGGGACATTTTCAAGGCAATTACTTAGTTATTTCAAGTCAGCTAGACTTCATTCCATTTCACCATTAAATAGCATCTTCAGAAGTTTCTAATTATTACTTAGGGAACACAGCTCTAAGAGAAGCTCCCAAGGGAGCCTCTTTCAGAACAGCACAAAGGTATACCACACAAGTAAAAGGGTCAGATATAAAAAGACAAAAAAGCAGTTGGGAAAAAAAAAAGGAAGAAACTGTCAACATAATGAATGCAGTCAGTGGCCAAAGAAAACCAAAATATAAACCTTCTTTAAAAATAACTACTGGATTTTAATCACCAAAGTTGAAGACTTTGTCACGTTACCTTCATTTATTTATTTTTCCTTTAGAAAGATAAAAGAAGGCTGTAAGGTTAGGTGCAAAGAAAAGTTTCAGGCCTCAAAGGAAAGGAATTACATATATCTAGAAATTAAAAACTGCCTTCTGATAAGCATCAACAAAATCAGACTTGCAGTTTGTAGAAGAATTCTCTCTACTGAGTACCTCAAATCACTCAAAGAGACCGGTTAAATGCAAACAGCAGTTGCTTGCTGCTCTCATAATTTGGCAGAGATTTTTCACAATTACAGCTGAAACCTATTCTGGCTCAAGCTACCTTTAGGTACTGTAAAACAGAAGTTTTTCAAGAAAAAAAAAAAAAAAGCAGTGTCAACTACAAGAAATCACAAGATTAGCCAGGTTCAGTCTATTACTCCTCTTTCCTCCCCTCGAAGTTTGTTTTTCCCTACACATTCTTCTTGCTATGTAATATTCTTTATCACTATATAACCCCAAAACTACTATGGTTTGTAAACAAAATAACTAGCCTCAAAAGCTAGCAATTTGAAGTTACAGATTCAAAACTTGATATTAAATTAGCAGGTACACACATACCTATTTGTGAAGAGCATGTTAGCAATTTGTAGCAGTTCCTACAGAAAGCTCATCTACAGCAAAATTCATACATAAACAACATCAGAATGCCCTAAAACTCAAAGGAAGGTTTAGATTCTACACAAATTATAGAACAAGTGCTTAAGTACTGATATACGGCCATTGGAAAAAAGTCTACTTCATATAATCTTGGGCTACAAAAGCTATGAAACCTTTGCCAGCAGCCAGTTCCTGCAAACTTCTTTCCTCTTGATCCTCTTTTTCAATGACTTCTTGCAGAGAGATCTTCAGCAAACTGCAAAGAATTAAATCAGTTTCTAATCTTCTTTTGTTGACAAACATACAAACTTCCATTTCATCTCAGACAGTCCTTTTTCAGCTTTGCTTAAAGCATCAGCCACACCAGCAAGTTATCAGAGATCATCCACTGCCCAAGACAATTTATATACCCTGATCTAGTCTATTTTAATAACAGTTAATACAAACTGAGTTGATAAAAAAACACTACTCACACATTAAGACCTCTCATACAGAAAGGATCTACTGTAGACAGTGATTCACTAAGTATCTGCACAAGAGCCTGATCTGCAGTTCCTGAGAGCAGTACAAGTAGTTTTAGGGCCTATCACAATTTCCACTCTGCACATGGCACAATTTCCACTCTGCACAGGATATAACTGGCAAGGAGAGTCAGGTCACACCGAAGGCCACATTGTGACTCCCACAGTCACAGGCATCCAGCCTGCCAGTCAGAGGCATCAGCTTGCCTCCCTTTATTTTAGTGGCAGTCAGCCTTAAGCAGATTCCAGGCTGCCTTCTTAGCTCTGCTGTTACAGAAGTTTTGTAATACCATCTGGTGACTTAAATAAGGAAGCTTATGAAGAGGCAAGGGAGAAAGTTAATATGCATACCTATTTAACCTGTTTACACACAGCCCCCAAAACAGCTGCGTATCACAACTGAGGTGCAACACAGAACTAGGAGAAATGGAGTTGTTAAAGCCTGTACACCATCTCCTATTAAAGCAAACATAAACTTAAGTCAACCTGACACATATAGATGAGAGAAGGGAGCGCCCTGCAGCTATCCCAGAATATACCACTCAGGTTATAAAAATCAAAGCACTAGAAATGTTCACAGCCTATGCCACAAACACAGGCCAATAAGATGATGAGAGTCCTGTGCAATTAAAGACGCCTTTGATCCTACTTGAAGAAAGTGAAATTGCACTATGTGCTGGGACATTCACTACCTCATCCTCTCAAGGACAAGCAAAGAAATCCTCATTGCATGTTCTCATTCAAACAGGTATAGTCAGATGAGAGCTGGAAAGCCAGAGGTTTCACTTCTATGCATCCAAAATGCCACCAGATTCAGAAAAGCAGCCTGTTCACAAAGCAAGTAGCATTTTCCCCAAAGGTTTTTGTTTTTCTGGCTACATTTATTTTAAGTAACGACCTGGGTAATGATACAGGTTGGCTTCTTCCATCACTGCTCAGTGTTGCTCTACATATGTCCCTATACCGAGAGCTAGCCTGGCCCTAAACTGACAAAAGAGTCATTCCTCAAAGCCTGCCCCAAGACAGACTGGCTAGTAGTTCAAATATTTGGAATAAAAGTCACAGTCAAAATCATAATATAAACACTGATGTGGACCAAAATCTCAAGTATTTACTTTCAAAAAAGCTACACCTTCCATTTCAAGTCAAGTAACAATTTGTAAGTGTGCAAGCCCATGCTAGTTTGGGGGAGGGGGAGAATGGAAAGGTGGCAAGTGACAAGCATCTTTTCCAAAGATTCCTCTCCCACATCTCCAGCACTTCAAGCTTGTTCTGTATGCCCCAGACAGAGAAGCATTTTCCCTCAGCCCAAGGAAGGCTGTCCAAACAGTACTGATCTTGACTCTGAGAAACACCATGCCATGCCAATGGGTATCTGTTGACATGGAAAGTAAGCAAAACTTCCATGTGGAAACAGAAGCACTCAGCATGACAAGAACACAGCTCTACTTGCACATCTTGCTTTAACATTTACAGCAAGTGACAAGCTTCATCCAAACCTCTGCGTAAGTTCTTCAAGTCATGAACTCTCCAAACCTGTCCTTACAAGTCTCTCCTTACTGTGAGCTAGCATCCACTCTAAGTCTTCCAGCAGCTGGTGCCAGGAGATGGTTTTCAGCTATAGCAGGTAAGTGTTCGCCTCTGGAAAAACTCAGCCTAGAGTTATGTAGTCTTCCTCATGTATGGAAATACATTACTGTCCTCCATAGCATTCTTCTACCCTAAAGCCAACATTCACCCTAAAGCACCTCTGATGGGTGCTTCCTTTGAAAATCTGGCAGCTGAAGATACTGCTGGCAGAACACAGTGCTCCATGCAACATATACATAGCCCTTGAAATAGTATACATAGATCTTTCACACCAATTTGTTCTGTGCTATATTTTCCTCTTTGCTCAAAAAGGGAACAAAGCCTCATTTTTACATTCTCTCAAAGTAATATAAATCTCTGATACTAATGTACCTTTGTCAGAAGATAATGACTGCACACAAAATATTAGGCAAAAAGATAAAAAAAGGTTTCAAGCAAGTAATACTGGAAGCATGCAGTGAAAGACAAAATCAAGGAACAACAGATACGCAGTACTTACATGCTTTGTTAAAAAGCTTAGACACCCACCAAGGAACAGTATTTGCAAACAAGTTAGATGGTATGCACCTGGAAGAGCTTTATCTCATAAGCATATCAGCATAACTAGAAGTTCTTAACTAATAAAACCCATGGAGTAACAAAACACACTCAGATTAACAAAAATTAAAAACACCCACAATGGCACTCCTGATAACAAGAACTGAGATTTCCAAGCCAGTATCATTGCCGTGGGTGGTTTACGAATCAGTGCCAGGTGGTATAAAAGACTTTGCTTTTCCTCTGAAAGTGACGATCTGAACCATATGGACGCACTTATCCCCAAATGACAGAATAAGTCTCACTAAGAAAGAGTGCAGCAGAACTTAAAGAGCACTATGCCTCCTCCAAACTAAAGGAGAGTGAGGGAGGGAATGATAGTGACTCATTTTTCTAAGAGGTGAGGATTTCACTCACCCTTACTGATAAAAGGCCAAAGATTTCTCCAAACTCCTTGTCTTAGGTGAATTACAGAAACTGATCAGGCTCACCACAAAGTTGTTTGAACCATTTTCCCCCTCATTTCTGAAGCCAGAGAAAATAGCAAGACCCTGGAGACTGACACACACAAGTTTCACAGTTGGGATATCATGACATCTTAACTTTCGCCTCAGGAACATGGAACCTCAAATTTGATGCCTGAGTACTATCAGTTTAAGTGACCAGCCTAGAGACAAAAATGTGTTTTAAGAACTAAATGCTGTCAGACAAAGGGTATTATCCCAATGTTTATTTCAACATAGGTATTGCTGCCCGAGCAATTGACAGGTCTGTCAATTCAATTCAGCTGCAGAGTATTCGGCTTGCAGTAACTCCTGCTAAGTTTTCATTTGTGAGACAGAGTAACAAACAGGATCAACATACAAAAAATCCAACTATCACAGTGGGAAAAGATGCAAATAAGATGATCTGAATATAGTGGTGATCTTTATGCCAAGAGAAGATACTTTTTTTTAGTATTTCAAAATGTTAAGCATGTTACTTGAACTCCATAGTAGTTCATGATTCCAGTTCACAGTAGTCATGCGTCCAGCAACAGTGCCAAATGTCTCACTTGGTATGCTCTAAAGCAATCTTCACCAGAAAGAGACAACAGTTCAAGAGCAAAACACTTTCTCAGACATATTATGTCGCCAAAGCTGCTCAGTATTACCGATATTAGAGGAAAAAGGCTTCCTGAGCATGCAGCATGACACTTGGGCAAGCTGGAAAGAATGTTCTTATGCTGAGCAGATATGCAGGCACAGAAAGAAGCCTTCCCTTTCTTCTTTCGGGAGCTACTCATTTGAGCACTTACAGAAGGACATCCATTCTCCCTTTATCACCAAATACTTTCTCCAGATAGGGAAGAAATCTCTTCAAGATTATCATTCTTTAAAAAATATTATGCTGCAGGCAAACTATAATACGATGGCAGTCTGTGATAACAAAACAAGGATCTAGCTCTTTTTAAAACCATATGGCATTATGCCATAACATCAACTAAGCCTTACCATTTGCCGATACTCCCGAATCATTTTTAATTTATCTTCTCCACCTTTGTTTTCTTCTTTCTGTTCGATGCTGCTGATTATTCTCCAAGAAGCTCTTCTGGCTCCAATCACGTTTTTATATGCAACAGAAAGCAGGTTTCTCTCTTCCACTGTCAACTCCACATCCATTCCAGCTACTTTCTTCATTGATTCAACCATTTCTAGGAAGGAAAACAGTCAATTATTCTCAGAGCCAAAGCATTTTTGAGCTATTCAATAGAAACTGCACATTATTTTTAATTTCTCAAAATAGGTTCCCTCTTCATACAATTATCCTTGCTTAATGTTTGAAAGAAGCCACTGAGCATAAACACAAAAGATGTATCTGACATTCTATGAAAGGAAATGAAAGCATTTCTCGAAAACTCTTTAAAGACAGTTTGTTAAAGACAGGGAAGAAAAGGTTGAGCCATAAGTGCTCAGTTTTCAGAGAGGATAACAGTTAACAGTACTATCCTACAGGAATGTGTGTTCAAGACACTCCAGAAAAGGTGGCAAACAGCAAAGAAAGCAACAGGCAATTTAATATGCTAAGAACAAACTGAAGAACTACAAAATACAAGACTGAGTTCTCAGCTAACATGACTATCATAACTTTTTCAGGAACAGAAAAAGTCATCCTTAGGGCAACCAGAGTCATCACAGTTAGCCCTGCCAAGCAGTTATTTGCACTGGAGAGGAAAAAAAGAGAAAAAAAAAAAAAGAAAAAAAAGGATAAAATACATGTTAATGCATATTTGTCATTTAAACCATTTGTAGAGACTTCTAAACTGGGGAGAGGAAGGAAGTGGTTGTGAGGGAGTGATAAATTATTTAATATAGCATTCCAAAACTCAAGTGGAAGCAAAGGCCTTAACTACTTAAAGAAGGTTATAATTCCTTCATTATCTGACACATTACAATTGCCTGTTACGTATCAGAAAAACAAAAGCCAAAATGATTACATATATCCTATATAAGAAACTAGTATGAAACATACAGGAAGTCCGGCCCTGCAGTATTTTCTTTCCTTCATCATTTGCCTTCCAACTTCTGCAGAGGATGAGGATCCCATAGTCTCCTTCAATTAACAGCCTTTACTTCCTAAGTCTCAACTACCCTTATCTACTCATCAGGAGAAGCCTTTTGTATTTCCTTTCGGTCGATACTGTGGTAAAGCCATCAAGTCAAGTCTCCCCTAATGTGACCATTTAATGGGAGAACAAAGGAAACAAATGGCAAATGAGTAAAGTTTAACTTGTCCACTTGTCCTCCCACCCCCACCATTTCAACTCCCTGGGAATATGTTCCACTGTATCATGGCAGCACAGGCAATACAAAACAAATGAAGCTTAACAGCCTATTTTATCCTCAGGTGCCAGAGCTTAAACTATAGCAGGCATTAGCTGTCTCAGCGATGGCAACTGTAGGCTCAATCTTCTTCCCAAAAGGAAAAATTTTACCAGCCTCCAGCAGGTCTCCACATGTGTAAGTCAAAGTTTCTTAACGGCTTGATTCCCTATCACAAAGGTGGAGAGGTATAATATGCAATTTAAATGATGACTGCTATGAGTTATTTCCTAAAGGACAATCCTATATTATTATATAATCTAATTAAATAATTTATTTCCAGTAACCTTTTTTAAGTGCAAGTTCAGTCATCCCAGATTCTGAAGTTTCTTAAACAGTAGAGCTACATCCATAATCCATACACCGCTTCCCAGTGCTCAGTTCTGGGAAGTCCTGCTTGCTGGAGTCCAAGCTCCAACAAGAAAGACATCTTGTCTTTAAGCTTAATGTTTAACAGCCATCAGATGAGAGCAATTGAAACTGTACCACAATTCAGTTTAAGAAATTCATCTGTACTGGGGAATACACAGTCCTCTCTCCAGTGTTTAGCTGGAGTGGATCAAGAACTTACCCTGTAGGGAGATAAAGGTAAGTGAAAGTGCAGGAGAAGGAAGGGGTGCAGTCACACCATCCTGTTCACCTACTACATCAAGACCTTTTGTCTGATCCAGTATGACACTATGCTGTAAATAAGCAGGCATGGTTTTAGTTACATGGCAAGTCTAACCAAGACCACATTAGCTTTGCCCCATCAGGCTTTTTCTGAAGTTGCTGCTCAGTTTCCTCAGATTTTTTTTTTCCCTCTCAATAGTCAGTTTTGGAGAGAAGTGAAGAACATCCTGTCTTACTTGCTTACACTAACAACCTTCAGCCCTACTGCCCTACTGTAATGCTGGACAGACATACAGCAAAATATTACAAGAGATCTAGGTTTTCTTCAAAACAGAATTCACGTTCTTCTGTGATTTACCAAGTGGGATTAGCTACAGTCTCAGACAGGTATGTACTAGGCTTGCTGCCTCTCTTACATCTTCTGCAAAACTCAACAGTTAAGATATTCCAGAATCACCTAAAGTAACTAGTCTCAAATGCTAGGAACTATTACCAGAAAAAAAAACAGGCCCTGTAACCTCCAGTCTCTTACCCCATGAATTGACAGTAAGTCAAATACACTTTATGCCAAGGAGAAGCCATCAAAATACAAAAAGGTGTTTTTTGAAAAAGAAATGTTCATCTTGTTACTATGATGAGATGATAGAATGTTCCCCCACCCACTCTCCAACCTTGAACAACCAGCTTCCCTAAAGATAAAAGATTTAACAGCCTATCCATAAGAGAGGTTTCTAGGTTGGCGAGGAGCTCAATTCTACTAACATACAAAACAAAAGAATCTATTCCAACAGGGCTGGATGATATTATGTATATAGCCTGGTACTCTATAGCAAAGACACAACCTTGCCCTGAAACTTTAAGCCTGATGAATAGTATTAAGAAATCAGGCAATGCAGTAAGATTACAGAACTCTCTTTTCCGCAATAAATAATAATAATTAGTTATATACAAAAATAAAGCCATATATGTCAGCAAATAGAGCAATTATTTCATGTTCTGAGTGTAGATTTACCTCTGTGGAAAGCTCCGTAAAGACAACAAAAAGTTTTAAAGACCATTCACAACAAAAGCCAGTTTATCTTTCAAGGAGGAGGATTACTGCAGTAATGACAACTCATTGCATACACAATTCATAGACACTTATACTGTATTATGGAAAAGCAGTGTTATGCAGACTCAGAAAGACAGACTGTAATTTAAGTGGTTACATTCCAGTCTTTCAGTTGATAATGGCTGTCACTATATTATGGAGCTGTCAGATCATGCCACTAGAGCAGGAAATCCCCAAATTTTAAGTTATGGAAGAAGAACTGGAGAATGTTCTAGAGAAACACAAGCTTGCCCTAGATTTATGCTCTTCTCTAGAAATTTGCTGTTGGCTGTTTTAAGACATAACATGCTAAACGGATGTTTGGCCTGAACAGGTACTGTAGTTTTATATTCTTATGGTCAGGAGCGAGGGCATTTGACAAAACCAATTGTCTTAAGATGCAAAGGTCCGTGCATTTTTTCCCTGCATTCTATTACTCCACTAAAGATGGAATATGGATTTCTGTAAAGAACAATAGCATCTCAGAGATATATTGCACTGGTTTGACAAGTCAGGCATATGAACAAGGAAGACATGACTGATATAGTCTACTTGAATTTCCCAAAGGCATTTGACAAGGTACCTCATCAAAGGTTAAGGAACTGCCATAGGATGGGAAAGCAAAAGCATGGATTGTGCACATTCCATCCGTGCAAGGAGCATATTCCTCACATGGATAAATACTTGGCTGAAATGCAGGAAATAGGGTATGAATATAGGCTCAGCTTTCAGAATGGAGGGAGATCACCAATGGAAAACTAGACAGGAGGAAATAGGGTATGAATATAGGCTCAGCTTTCAGAATGCAGGGAGATCACCAAGGGAAAACTAGACAGCAATGCTGGGAAATACACTACCGTTCAAAAGTGATTTAGAGAAAAAAAAACAAACAGCAATTCAGTGTAACAGTAAACTGCTAAGATCAGTAAAGACAAGGACTGAAAGAACTAGAGAACCTCAAAAAAGTTTATAGAATCTGCATCTTCATACTTCTTTATGAAGTGGCAAGTATGGACATAATGATTTACTATCCATAGATTATGTTCTCCCCAAATCTACAGCTCTCCATCTGGTCAGCAGCCGCCATCCCATTCACTACAATGATCAGCATGGAATCCAAGACAAGAGAAAGATTTATTCTTTCTATCCATTACAAGTTTTTGTTCCGAATGCATTGCTATTACACGGCCCATATTAGGTTCTTCTGTTCTCCTAGATTTGGAGGGCAGAAGGGAGGAAGGGAAGCAAACACAAGTGCTTGGTGCCTTTCCTTCCTGTCCACATCAACTCCCTCATGCCACTGTTGAAGATGTCCTTACATTTTAGAGAAATGGACTCATTCTACGGGTTGGACTAGAATTCAAGTATACAAAACAGCAAGGGAAGAGGAGCCATCCTCTCTCAACAGCAAAGAGCTATCAGAGTAGGTCATTCCACCTTGCAGCACTGCGCCTTTCCTTTTTTACAGCTAAAATGAACTTAATGTTTATTCATGCACATTACACAGCTTACCCCCCCCTCAGGTCTTCATACACGTTCAGCACCCTAAGAAAACTATTACAGATATTTGAAACTTGTAACTACCAAGGTACTAAATATTGATAAAACCCCATAATAATATCCCCCTTATTATGGGGATAATCCCCCCATAAGTGATCTCCCCGTGTTGTTAAGTTTAAATAAATAATAATAATAATAATAATAATAATAATAAAACATAGAAGAATGAGCTATCTCTAGAGGTGAAGACAACCAAACAGGTAAGCCAAAAAGACTTAACAATATCCCATTCTGTTTGGTGGCTCAGATGATCATTGTGTGGAGAAGCAGCAGGACATGCTGCTGTTCCCTTTACAAGACACTTCCCAACATTTGATAATATGCCTCTGCAACATACAGTCCTATAAAGCATACTTGTACTTTCATATGATCAGAAAAATGGACAGATTAAGGCCAAATTATCTATGCGACAGTGATATTTTTGCACAATCAGTCCTACAGAGCATCTCAAGTATTTCCTGCAACAAGACCAAGATTTCTAGGTCATCTCTACCATCACTTCCAGCTCCAAAGAAGTCTTAAGTTAAAAAAAAAAAAAAAAAATCTCTAGTATTTGTAACAAAAAATCAGCTTGAAAGAAGATGAAGGCAAAGCTACGGACCAAGTTTCATCATATATTTCTCTGTTTGATCAAAGTTGACTTTTAAATGAGTTTCAAATGCAAGTACTCAAATAACACACCGGACTCTCTGCAGGGCATCAAACCATGTAAGGTCATAGGTTCATCTCCTTTGTTTAATCTGGTATTCCAGATTCAAGAAACTAGTTATGGAGATAGATCCTTTCTCAAACAGCTCATCATGATCAGGATTTTCATTTTCCAAAATATGAGCATCCATAACTCAATTTCTCAAACACTGTCTTGCTCATGCCATTTTCTTGGGGATTTTTCTTTCTTTTAGCACTTTCACTCATACCCAATTCAGAGACAAAAACAGTAGTTTATACTCCATACAACCAGAACAGTAAGACCTTGAACTGAAAGGTATCACTACTAACCACTAATATAGAAAAAAGCCTCAAGATTACCTAATGCATTTGCTGAAAGAGACAGGTCTTCTGCAAACTGAATACAGCTTACGTTGTCATTTCTGATGTAGAATCAGTGTAGCTCAGTGATTGAGCTGTAATTTCTAGACCTAGAAGCACACTATATGACTATACACCTTATATGACTAACAAAAAATTGTCATTCCATGAGTACATCCGAGTTACATGACAGATTTTATTCCTATGTATTTGCAGACAATACTTACCATCACAGGATTTAATATACTGCAATTACTAAGTGTGACCTTAGAATTGCCTGTCTTACAGGTCACCATGATAAAGAATAAATTAAGATTAAGTTATACTTCAACATACTTTCTCCAACTTTGCTTGCACGAGTATTTAGCAGTATCAACTATGACCTTTGCAGATCTATAGCATTTCAGCTCTGTGTGTGTGTGTATACACACACACACAAAAAGGAACTAAATCAGTATTTTTAATTTGACTGAACAGGAATACAAATCTAGGTGCTAAACCATAGTTACAATATATTGTCTTCCAGGCCAGGGCCAAGAGACACAAAGATGTACTTAGAACTTGTGCCTCTTATTTTTTTTTAATCCAACAAACAATTTTTAATTCCAACAAACTTCACAAAAATCTACGGGAAGAAAAAAAGGCATTTTAAATGTGCCAACTAGAAGGTATACAGCTTCTTCCTCTAGAAGTATCATGAAGAGACCGTCTACATCTTGATCTAGCCAGACTGTATAGCCAACACTCAAGACAGTGGTGTAAGAGAAAACCAACAGGGAAATGCTGCCCCAACTCAATCCCTACCAACTTATTCTTCCTAGCTAACAGGAAGTCTGATCTCTACTCTGGTGTACAGTTTGATTCTTTCTTGACTAACAGGAATAATCTACCACTGATTCAGAAGAACACAGAAAGGTAGTTTTGCCTCAAAAGTTTCCGAAGATAATGAATCCTTTAGGATGCTAGTTAAGCATCCCACTTTTGGTTTCCACTCAAACCAAAGCCAATGCTTCTGGTTTCACCGATTCATCTACACTGGGTGGAGAGTTTCCCCTCTTAAAAGACCCTACAAACAAAGAAATAACTCTAGGAGTGCTGCTGAAAGGGTCTGTTTTTCTGGTTGCTTTGTTTTGCTGATATGGATTATCCCACCCCACAGTGTAGGGTAGTAATAACAGACTAACAAATATATAATAATTTGTTACTATTAGAAGTTGCAAGCCTACTCTGCAATACTGGAATGGATGCGCACCCTCCCCTCCCCCACCACCTTTATCCCACCTCCGCCCCACAATCAAGTCAGTCTCACCCTAAGATCTCATTTTGAGGCTTTTTTTTTCCACAATCCCTTTCAGTTATTGTGATAGGATGATTTAAACTGCTCTCATTTACTAGAATCGTTATTTCTTCCCCATTTCCCTTGTGAACAGTCACAAAAGAAAGTTTCATTTGGGCCTTTTTTTTTTTTTTTTAAATTGTTGTTGTTGCACTTTATTTTCCTCTCCAAAAATGTGCATTTCTCTGATGCCTGAAAATAGTGCTATCAGAACTACTCCATGCAGCAACCTCGTTCTTGCCAACTGAGGTCCTTTTGCCATGAAAATGACAAACAAGGGAAGTATTTGAGGTGTCTTCCTACCTCTAAATGAAGCATAAATATGTTCACAGTTTGTACGTACAAAGGTATTTATTTCAGTTCATATGCATAAACATTAGGTCTCAAGTCAAAAGTAACAGTCCTTGGAAATTAACATCAAGAAAATTAAAGGTCTTTTCTACTAGACGTGAGAGAAACAGTTGCAGGGCAGGCATATTTTGGACAAGAGACATCATCCAAGGTTGCCAGTTCAGCCCTCTCCCCCAACACCTTGGAAGCCATCGGGCATAGTGCTGGAACTTTACAGGCAAAAAAAGAAAAAAAAAAAGGAGAAGAAAATGCCGGGACAGAAGGTCTCTAGCAAGTTCCACCGCATAAAGAAAGCATGTGCACTCCCTTCAGGCAGGGAAGGATGGCCTCGGCGGCTCCAGGGTGAGAGCTCCCTCTCTCTTTGCACTCGCCAGGGGCAGCGGTGTCCCCAGCACGGGCGAAGGAGGAGGAAGGAAGGCGCCAGCCCCTTCCCCGTGGCGGCCGGGGCGAGCGGGCCGCTCCCCGGCGTCGCCTCCGGGGGGCTGGGCGCGGCGGGCACCCACCTTGCGGAGCGCAGCGCGCTGGGCGTTGTCTGCGGCGAACCGAGCTCGGCCGCCGGGCTCCGCGGGCAGCGGCACCGAGCGGCACCGCCTCAGGCCCGACACGACAAGGGGCCGCGGGGTCTCTTTGTCGGCGACCCCCTTCCCAGGCCGGGGACGGCTCCTTCCCCCCCCCGCCCGGGACTCGCCCTTCGCGGCCGCCATTTTACTCCCGGTTTCAGCCGCCACCGCCCCCCGCAGCGGCCCCGCCCCGGCCCAGGCGGCCCGTTCCTTCGTGCCCCCCAGCCCCACGGGCCCCTCGGGGCGCTCCCAGTCGCCATTTTGTCCGTGTCCCCCCCTCCTCCGCCCCTGCCCCCCTCCCCCGCCCAGCCGCCATTTTGTGGCCGCTCCCTCCCTCCCGCTCCCCTTGGCCTTGCACGGCCTCGCCAGCCGGCGCTCACCATCGTAGCGCTCAGCCTGCTCGGCCAACTTGGCCTGATAGACGAGGTCCTCCCGATCGTCCATGTCCTGCAGGCGGGGCGGCGTCGGGGACTGCGCGGGGCGGATGGAAGGCGATGGGTCTGGGGGGCTCCGCAGCTACCAGCTCGCTGCTCTCCGGGCAAATATGGCGGCAGCACCTCCTCCCGCTGCATCCGGGCACTTCCGCCGCTCTGCGCATGCGCCCTGCGCCCGCCCATGGCAACGGCGGCTCCTTGGCAACGGGCGGGAGGTGCCAGGCCGGGCCTGGAGCCCGGGGTGGCGGGGAGGGGGGCGGGCGGCGGGCGGCGGGGTTGCCGTCGCGCCGTTTTTACCGGTGGCTTCGTGGGGTCCCGATCGATGTAGAGGGTGATTCCTTATCTGAGGGGACACCAAAGGAAAAGCGACGTGGTTGAGGGTAGAGGGGGCGGAGTGCGAGTCTCCGCCAGGCTGCTGCCAGGGGGAGCCCCTTCCCCGCCTGAGAGTGTCGGGGGTGGGTAGGAAAACGTGTTTTTTCTTTCTTTTTTCTTTTTTTTTTTTTTCCTTTGTCACGCATCCCGTATCTCCCTCTCAGGCAGCGCGTTTCTGCCGCCCTCAGACACTGACAGTATTATTTTAGTACCTCTTGGTGCGTTTTTTAATTTTATTTTTACAAAGCACGCCATACGTTCTTTACATCACGGTGTACCTAGAAGCAAACATGAAGGTCACGCCAAGCAGGTTTCTCTCCCCAGGGCTTACTGCTTAAGAGAAATAGCACCTCCAAAGCCCTGTCTGAGGCAGGATGCAACGATTTCAGCTTTCAAAAGACCCACAATCTGGGCCAAATGACTCAGAAGTTCCTCACTGAGCATTTCTGAAGTATTTGGAGCAGGGATTTAAAGAGCTGGGGCAAAGCCTGGATTTCCTAACTCTGCGAGGTCCTTATGAAAGTGAGGAAGGGCCCTGAGATAGGACAGGGGCTGAGCAGGACCCAGATGCCCCAGGCACCGTCCCGGGCATCCTTCTTTTTTGCTCTTTTCTCTTGTTCCCACTCAAATGGGCTCCTTGGTCTGTAACTGCGACCATATGGCCAAATTCCAATTTAAAACACATTTTTTTTAAATGGTTTGTATTTTTTTTCCTGATTGCTTTTAACTGATTTTAATTAGTGAGCAAAGAGCTTCGGAGTAGATATAATTAACACATCTTTAAGGTCTTCTTACAAATATATCTTAGAATGTAACAGACTGTTTTTTTTATAGTGCTGTTTGCCTGACTTTCCTTGTGACGTTCTAGGCCACAGTTCAGAAATCTCAGCATTTCTAATAAGAAATTCATACAAAAGCCCCAAAGATACTATCGTGTTCTGGGCTAAGGTGAAACTTAAGTGTCAAAACTGGGAAAATAATGTTTAAAAATCTCTATTTTCAATTTAAGTACAGTCAGAAGATGATACAGAAGAGTCCAGCACCACAGAGTCATGGTCTATTTGTGTGAATATACAAAACCTCATCAAGTGTCTGACTTGCAAATCACTTCTATGCTTGAGAAATCCCGGCCATAAAAACCTTTTTTTTTTTTTTTTAGCAGCTGAGACTTTGCGTGGGAGCTGTGCACAAGAAATCAGATTTGGATCACATTTAGTGTCTTTTCTGTGATCCTCATTTGAGCAGGTACTCACGTTGTACAGAGATTAATGTTGCAAATAAACCAGGTCATGTTAAGAATATTTATTTGCTGAAAGCAAGCTGCACACTTGATAATCTTGCTGAATTGTAGCATATTACTTGAATGCTTGAAATATTTTTGAATGCACTAGTTACAGAGGGCACACAAATGTTTGGAAATCGGTCAGGGATTTGTTGGAGCATTGGGAGTAAACAGTCTAATGCAGGGAAACGATCCAAGCAGAATTTCCGGCTGCAGTATTTGCCTTGTCCCTTGCAGCAGCAACCTTTACACGAGTTGGTTCCATAGAATCATAGAAGGAATCATAGAATCATAGAAAGAAAAGTCTGGAATCCCAGACCCTACGGACAAGAAAAGAAGCGTGCAGAGAAGACTTACCCTGGGTAGAGGAAGATCTTGGGTCAGAGAGCACTTAGGGAAACTTGATTCCCACAAACACATGGGCCCTGACGGGATGCACCTCAGAGTGCTGTGTGAGCTGGTGGATGTCATTGCTCAGCTGCTCTCCATCATCTTGGAAAGGTCCTGGAGAACAGGGGGGTTGCCAGGGGACTAGAAGAAAGCCAGTGTCACACCAGTCTTCAAAAAGGTCAAGAAGGAGGACCTGAGCAACTGCAGGCCAGTCAGCCTCACCTCCATCCCTGGAAAAGTGATGGAACAGCCCATCCTGGCTGTTGTCTCCAAGCCATTGTTTTGGCTTAGACGCAGCCCTGTGCCATATGCTCTAGGTGACCCTGCATGTGCAGGGGGGTTGGATAGATGATCTCTAAAGGTTCCTTCCAACCTTAAGGATTCTGTGATTCTACGATTCAATTGCTATTGCAGTGGAAAACCATCGCCAGGAGGAGGCAGACAAGGAAAGAGAGGCAAATGTTTTCTGTGCAAGTCCTGAGCAACATCAGCTCAGAGAAAACCAGCTAAGTACTGGTCCATGTTAAGAGTTAGGACATGGCTGTCTGGGATGTGTGGGTAGGCGCACAGGACCTCTCTCTTCTTGCTGTGTTAAATCATCCCGGTCATGCCACGGAAAGGCAGGGTTTGGTTGCAGTTCCCCTGCAGCCAAACGGGAAGAACACTGGAGCAAAACTGGGCAGAATCGCAGCCCATAAAAATTTACTTTTACCACCTGAAGCTGATAGCAGCATTTCAAGGAAATGTAGTTGACACCTCAGGATGGTTAAATACAAAGTTACTCACTTAAATTCCCACTTGAAGACTATGCCACACAGTATTAATGGAGAAAATTATCTGTATTAATCATCTAGCTGGCATGAATCAACTTACATATAAGAAGCTATCACTGTGATATTGTGACCAAGAGAAATGCCATCCTTTTGCTTATAAGCAAGGGAAACTATTAACTGCAGTGCTAACATTATAAAGGCTACTCCTTGGATACGTTTAGAAAAAAATGGATAGTGAATTAAGTAAAGCTTTAATGGGAATATTCAGTAGGGCTTCTTTAGCCCTACTAGCTTTAAATAGCAGACTGAACAAACGAGCCTCCGAGCAGCAAGAGGTGGTTGAGCACCTCCAGAAGGCCAAATGCTTGGAGGGATTTTGAATGCCTGAAAGAAATGTCATTTCTTCTGCTCCATAATTAACCATGGTTTAAGTAGTAGTGCAGTGAAGCTATAACTGTTCTTTAGTGCACACAAGTTCATATTGCCCGTTTTTACAGTAATAGCATCATTACAGACATCTTTCCATTTCCTTTTTCAGAGTATGTCTCTAAACTTTTTTTTAATTAAATAGATGGTCTTAAAGCTAAATTGATTCTCATCACTGGGCGAGGCCTGAAGTTCTCTTCCCATTGCAGCTTTTAAGGACTGGTAGGAAAAGCAAGTCTAACACAGGGGCGTGTTTGAAATGTACGCCACATGGAAGATCAGACCCACTCCTCATTTTCTGTGTACTCCATGCCCTGACACAGCACTGCAGCTCTTGTTCTTTCACTGAAACCTTGCTCTCCCACTGCTACAATTGCAAAGAAACCCTGGTAAACCAGTAGTAAACTCTGGTGCGACAAAGTTCTTGCTATTATTTGTATACTTAAATACTCACTTCTGCTGACGATTTAAATATCGGATAGGAAGCGTTTCATCCTTCCAAACTCACGCTCCTCATCCAAAGCAGCCTAACACTATCTCTTCTCATACACCAGCAAGACTATGAAGTTTTTTTTTGCAAATGAGTAATAAATTTTGTTAGCTGTCTTGGTTTATCTTATTTCTGCAAGTATTATGCTCAATTGTTTTCACACAATACGGGCAATTGAAAACTAGAGACAACTGTAATATTTCTATATTATTAAATGCAAATAATCCAATGGCAGCTGAATGACAAGGACAATGTTTTGGCTATACTTTTATTTACTTCACGTACTATGAACATATACATTACATGCTACAAAAAAAATAAAAAAAGACTTTAACTGTCAAGAAAGTGGATAGTGTTATAATACAATGGCACATGTTCATATTTTTCTTCAAACTGGTTTGGTTAGAATCCTTCCTCACAACCATTTAAAAAAAAAGTGTTTTATTCTTAAGATGATTAGAAATATTTGCATTATTAACAAATACAATTCAAACAGATTAACAAGATTTAACCAGGTCAAATATTAGTAAAAAGGCTGGGGTTTACCAAAATGAAATATATATTAAAAAAAAAAAACATAGCAGCCAGTTGTACTTTTAGTGTGATATTATGTGTAAATGCACCAGAAGAACACAGTGTAATTGAGCATTCTGCTTTCACGGTGTTTCTAGAAATGATTATTCTAGTTCTAACACCTGCCTATGCACAATAGACCAAAAAAACACAGCCAAGTAGAGACAAAAGATTGTGACCAACATTCTGAGCAATGATTTTTTTGCACGCATTGGGGAGAAGGAACAAACAGAAGAGGAACAAAGGCCACAAGAGGATTTCTCCATAAACAGGAACATATGTTCTAGCTACTTTCTTTTAAGAGTTCAATAAGTTGAAATGTCTATTTTGTACAAAAGCAAACATAGTAACTTCTATCACCTATGAAACAGAATCACATTTCAGCTTAAAACAGAATAGTGGAAAACGGTTGCATAATGTACCAGATGACTAAGAAAAACCGCTTGACAAGAACTTTGAATTCTAGTGCAACAGCAACTATTAAGACTCCTCTAGTTACTTTTTCTGCTCTCTCAAAGTGTACAAATATTGCAATTTATACAGTCTTCACGAAAAAAAATCTACAAAGTTTTCTGAGTATTTGCTAGTTAACAATTTGATTTGTTTTCATAGTAAAAATGCAAGGTTTGCATAATAAAATTCCTTTCAGAAAGAAAATAAAAGTTTTGGTATCTTAAAATAACTGCTGACTGGAAAATTACAAACACAGGGACTTTCATTAATTGTGATTGGAAAAAAAAATCCTTCAGAACAAACTGTGTTATTTGAAGAACACAGTTCATTAGGCTGCTTATGCAATACCTGAAGAAAAATATAAGCATATATGGGCAAACTGATAAGCTTAGTATGCAAGTCTGTACGTAACGACTATGACTACTGAAAATTCTGTTGCATTAAATATCAGAGGAAAAATACAAATTAGACTTTAAAAAAAAATCAATGTGTTACTGAACCTAGAGTTCCTCCATTTTTCCTCCGAAGTAGACTTTGTACTAAGCTAAAAGTGATTCCACAATTAAAGACTGGCATATCATCTTCACCAGAATAGCAATCCAAGCTAGAATAGCACTGCAATTACCCTGTTACCATTCTTCTCAGAACATTGCCACAAAAAAAAAAAAAAAAAAAAAAAAAAAAAAAAAAAAAACACCAAACAGACCCACTGTCAGTTTTCTAATAATCTTTTGTAGTGCTTAGAACATTGGTGACGGAAAAGTACGATTCATGTACACTGGCAATAGTCTACAGTATTACTGGGTGCCCATTACCTGAAACTTGGTCAGACTTGCTGATGAGTTAGTTCTGAAGTAAAACAACTAGTACTTAAATAGAGCAAGTGTTATTTCCAGCATGTTACACAGTTCTGAGGTAAAGTGTTACCAGTATTCTGTTTTATGGGTTCATGCCTTGCAGCAATAGCCTCTGCAGTGAGAACTAGTCCTCGCAGCATTTACAGCCAATGAGACATTCTAGTCACACGGTTTCTATTGACCAAAAAAATGTTTTCGGTTTAATGCTATTTACAAAAACTGTTCTGTATGGATTACAAAGCAATCAAAGTTACAAAACTGATTTGCTTAAGTTTGGTCACTAGAGTGTCGCATTTGGGTACAGACAAGGGATAGTAACTTCAGTGTTTAATTTTAGTTTACAAAACTTACTGAATCCATTCTGATTTATACTAGAGCAAACCAGATAATGAGAAGAACAGCACGAGAAAGCAAATCAAGCAGTGCACAATATCACTATTCAATGCACTGATTTTCATTATGAACTATGAAACTGTAATTATTCTATTATGCCTTTTGAGAATCAATCCAGAAGCACACAGGTATTTTTCATTAGTTTATTAAAAATAAAATCCTCATGAATTAACTATCAGATATTTTTACAAATGGGAATTAAACCAGTAGAGCCCCCAGAGTAACTTTAAAATAAAAGCCATATTTGGTTTGTCAGTTCACCATGTTTGACACTGATTTGTACAGTAACATGTAAGAATATGAAAAACTCTAAAAAATATTAAACTGGCCCTACCTAATTCAATTTTATCTGAAAGCAGTGCCAATATTTTAGTATATTTAGTGAATCAAACACTGCTTTAAAGCTATGCATTAAAGTGCACATTTTTCAGCACTGATATGGACGTTTACACTTCCATAAGCCTTATATTTGTGGGTAAGAGAGATACTGCTGTGTTATCAAAAATTTTAATTTAAATCAGCTGCTATGTTTGAAGCATCAACAGTACTGAAGAAATCAAATCTAGTGTCCACAAACTTAGAGAATTCTGAGGTTGATTTGATCTGTCATTTACCATTAAAATGGTAAGCATCTCTAAATCATACAGCTGTCCCCAATGTGCTTTAAAAAACCTGTAATGTGTGCAGTTAACTCACCATGCAGAGCACTACACATAGCTTTTCTAGGACAGAGAATTCAGAATGGAAAAAAAAATGGAGAAAGCTCCAGGATAAATTTGTGGAATTTCTACCTACACATTGAATTGTCTACGGTTGATGTTTATTGCCTGAGGAAGAAGCAACACAGGAAATAGGACTGGAGAGAGCTATAAATGCTGTAATAGCATCTATGTTACTGCCTTCTCCAACTGATGCTGCTGGCAAGGTCCAGTCTGCTGTGCTCATGGACATAAGCAGGCATTACAACCTATAATCATGTACTAGTTCTGCCACTTGACACACAAGTTATCTACTGTCGTACCCTGAATTACATGACCCTTGATTAAGGAATGGTGGTGTTCAGTCCCAGGGGTTTGCAGGTTATCATCAGAATGCTTACGCAAGCAATACCGCTTTCAACATCTGTCAGAACATAGTCTTGATGGCATCCGCATTAAAACAAGTTGAGATTGTTCCCATCTGCAAGCGAAACTGTTGAGCCACACTCAGCTGAAGTCCTCATCAGGATTCTGTTGATCCAGCAGGCGGACATGTGTGAATGGAAAGTGACCACATTTACCATTACATTCTCCTTCCCACTGACCACTCACATTAATCTTTGTGACCTTTACAAGCTCACCGACCTATAGAATAAGAAATAAGTAAGCATTAGACCACAAAGTTCACATACAGTGATCTGCTACCCTTCCCTCTGGAGTCTTATACCTCCAAGTACATCAGAGATGCTTCTATTAACAAAAACAGGTAAGGGCAATTACCAACGGTCTTGAGAATGGCTATTTTAATACGGAACAGAGCATTGTTGAAGCAATTTAACGGCTAAAAAAAAAACAAAAAAAAAAAAAGAAGGATTTTAATCTTAACCATTTTCAATACAGCAGCCTACCTTATGTTATTCACTTAAGAAGAGAGTATGAAGAGAAAGTAGTATACCTATTTTAAATAAGAACTAAGTTGAAAATTTGCAAGCCAACACCAATATGTTTCAGAGCCTTTTCGGATGCTTGGGATTTGACAGATCAGTCTCCACCACAATACATGGAATTGGCAGAATTGATAAAGACGTTTGCATTCTGCTTGTACTAGACAAGCAATTTCATTAAGATGGGGTGGTTTTCAGGTGTATAAAATAAATCTGGAAGCTAAAAAGTTCCTCAATTTTCATTTTGAAAGTTGCCCAACCAGCTGTATTTCTTCCCCTCCATGCACAATCTAATCAATACTCTTATTTACAATGTAACATAGAAAGGTTTTCAGAACACTTCCTGGGTCACAGGATGCAGAATACTGCAGAGAGTTATATTCTCCATTTACATCTCTCAACACTATAAAGTCTCAGCCTTACTGCATTTCATCCAAAGATTCCCTGAATATACAATCACTAGTTACAAAGATGCTCAACACTGTGACCCAACACAGAATCTCTTTATTCTCACCTTCTAGGCAGTGAGAGAAGAACAAGGAAAACAAATTAAAATGTTAGTCTGTTAGCTTTACAGGTTTTAATCATTTGCAATCTTTTGCCAGAACTGTTTTTAACAATTCATAAATTCAAAACATTACATGGGCATTTAATTAATCTCCTATGCCTCTGAGAGTTACTTATCTAGCGATGAGAGCTACACTGGAGACTCTTGCTATCTTTTGGGTTTTTTTTTTGGTAAACACCGGTATAGACACTTTCATGAATCAGATTTTGAAGAAAAAATCCTCTTATATGTTTGCTACAGGCCAAAATGAAGCTTTTCTTGTACTAAATGCTAGTTCTGCTCTTCATAAACCTTGCATTACGTATAATTTGCTACTGCTCACTGGGAGTTTTGCACCCAGGAAAAAGTCCAGCAGAGCAATACATCAACTTTTATTTCCTAAGCACAACTGTTACAAGAATACTACACTAGATAATCTTAAAAGGTTTCAGATCTGAATATAATCCTTGCATGAGCTTCTAAAATAAGAACATAAGCTCCAAACTAACAGAAAAAAAAAAACCCAAAGTTTGTCATCTTGTCCATCAGACCAACAGCACGAGATATCTATGTAACATCAGTGATTAAAGTGAGGCTTGCCAGTATCTGTGTGCTATACAAGTGGCCCTGTATTGTAGTATTTTTCAAGCTAGAAGAGCTCTTTTTTTTTCTAATTGATCTTTTATAACTTTACTTCAATTATTTTTATTTACAGCAAAACTAAAAAAATTACCTAACACATTCACTGTTTTAACTTTGTCACAGGGTCATTCCTCCTAGTGTTTTTTATTTCCATCTTTACAGGAATTGAATTTTTTATTTATTTTGGAGTCATTTTCCTTTTGTTCACATTCTGTTTATATGTACATAAATATATATATATAATCAACTGAAGCAGGACTGATTTTTAAGAAAGTATGTGTCATGTGAACATTTCATACAAGCTAACTTAACAAAGTGGCTCCATGACTTCCTTGATAACTTACAGGCCTTTCTAGATCTGCTTTGGAACACTACATTCTACTTTGCATTTCAGATACTCTCCTGAAGATTAGGTACAGGCTTCTGCAAAACTACTTACTACAATTGCAGGACTTGTCAGCTTTTAGACCAAAGATAGCTGTTCACTGAATTCTCCCTAATTTTAGTGTTGACTTATGGTATCAGTAGTCTATTGTGCATCATTCCACCAAGAAGGGTTCTCAAGTAAAGCACTTGCACCCTGCTACATGGTCAGATCGATCCCAATCTTCATCAGAAATTTTAAAACCAAATATAATCCATATGTTCCAAAGCAAAATAAAGCTTCATGTGAAGCCTTCCATATGAAGTAGTTTTATTGCAGGTACTCCCCTTTGGTAAGGTCAAAATGGTAGAGCTCTACTACTGTTACAAAGAAAATACACTCTTTTAAACACTGTAGTGAAAAAGGCAAGATATTTTTTCCAGTCATTTACCACATTGGTATTTTTCTTCCCTCTAAGTAAAAACAGACTCTCTAAACTCCTTGAATAGGTCTAATTACAAGCAAAAAGCCAAATAAAAGATAAAAATGTTAAAAGTGGTTCCCATAATGCAGCACAGCCTTGATTAGAACATCATTTGCCCTGATCCTCCATCCTTAGCTCTTGGAAACCATGTCAACTTTAACTTAATGGATCAGTACAGATATGCTCTTTGTAGTTTGGTTCAAAATGAAAAAAAAATAAAAGTTTGATGTGAAGGATCTATCTGCCTAAAGTAACCCATGGGCTCCACCTCCACTTATGCATACTGGCAGGTTTAAGATTAAGAGTTCTCATTTTGGGGAAAAAAACTCAATTTATAGTTAAGAGGCCTTGGCAAAAATGGACTGACAAAACTTATATAATGCTTTCTATCAAGTCATTTAAGAAAGAGATCTCAAGTAGAACAGGAATGCCACAAAGTGAAATAGAATGTGAAAAAAAAAAAAAAAAGAAAAAAGGAAGGAGACAACATAGAACAGCAGTTAGACAGACTGGATGAAGAAATATTTGGAGAAAGAAGTGCACATTGCTTTTTTTTCCCCCTCCCCTGTACAGACCTTGAAAGCAACTAACATGATTTTAAATGATAAAGAAAGGAAGAAAGCTAGGAAGGTCTATTAGAATCAGTGATAACCACCTCCATTTATAAGACTTGTAATAAAATACAAATCTTTAAGTCTGCAAATAGGTATTTAAGGCTGCAGGTTCTACAAAGGACAGTGCTCCAATGCAAAGGTAGAAAGACAGCACAAATCTTATATTCTGACACAGAGTCAGGATACAGGTCAGGATTCATACTTTTGAATTCCTCTCTCTCAAACATTTAAAGCTGATCAGTAGAAGTCAGTAAAAGACACTAGCGGTACAAGTTAGTGTAGAAAAGAGATGATGCTCTCCATGAAACTGGACGTTCTAAGCACAACATAACTGACAGTATGTGAGAGTTGATAAGAGGATTAGGATAATAGAAGATCAGCTGTGGCAATAAAAGGCTGCTCTTCAGCGTGGAAAGGCTTTCACTTTCACTTAAAACAACCTACACTTCCAATATTTTCTGACTCTCCCTGTTTCACTCCATTCTACCAAACTGCTGGGCAGCTTGGGAGTGTTAAAGTGTTCTGCTGAAGTCCTGCTTTATGTGAAAGCAAAGGCAAAGTTAAGCTTAAGAGAACACTGATAGTTCACTGGAGTCAATAAAAGCTTAAAAACAAAACCCATAAAATAAACCAAAATATTTTGGTAAATATGCCAAGACATGATCTCCAACATCTTGAACAAAACCCAAAAGTTGGTAATTGTAATAGTCCCCATGTAAACTTCAGGAGGTGGATGGATTAGGAGAGTGAGGGGAAAAAAAAAAAAAAAAAAGAGGTCATTTTAGGCTGCTTGAAAGTCTGAGGGTTAAAATCTGTGTATGTTCCCACAAAAGCATGTGATTTGGCATGAATATCAATGCACACTTCTTAATCCCCCCAAAGTACTGAATGCTTTTGATTCAGAAACGTAACAGAACATAGAGTAACTCAGACTGTATTCACATTGCTGCCTAGACAAATTATACTTGTAACATATATACTTATAACTTACAAAGCAACTTTATACCTCATGAGCTAAAAATCAGTTATCATATCTGTAGATTGTGCTACTTTTGCTAACTCTATACTTGAGAAATACGTACACTTACCACTGCTCTGAAGTACCAACATGCATTTTATACTATGGAAGGTTAAACTTAGTATTTTGAGACTGGAGGGGAGATACTCTGACTCAGCACAGAAACTGTTTTTCCCCAAGTACTTAAAATGTTATATAAACAGGAAGTCAATTAGGTATCAGGAAATTCCAGAGCCTTTAGCTCAAAGAAAGCCTAGATTAAAGGATATAATTTACATATCATCCTAAGGGAAAGGTCTGCCACTGAGAATACCTTAGATTCAATTTCCTCAAATGTGACTTGGGGGATAACTATCTGATGCCTAGAGATAGAGCATTCTATTCCCCTTTTAAGAGGAAATATCAAAAAAGGCATGTACAAGTATTTAATTGTATGAGGAAGTGAATCAACCCCAGGGAAACTCACCATTTTATTACAAATCATACTCCATCAATCATTGCTTTACAGGAGACCTCCCTAATGAGTAGTAATGTATGTTCCTACTCAACAAACTAAAAACAATGCAACTTTCTGCTTGAGGTCAAGGTCTTACTATAAAACTCAGTGTGATCCTCATCATCTTTGTGTAATTTTAAAGAGACCTATCAATGCTTCCACCGATTGCTTTTAAAACACACTTATCTGAGATTAGAGAAAAAAAACAGCACACCTTTAAAGACTGGGGTGAGGCAATCAACAGTAAACATAGGCTCAGACATACCACACCACTCCCTCTCCCTCCCCCATAAAACAGAAAGACTTTAGAAGTGAAAACATGGATGGAAACACTTATGTTAGTGACACTTGACAAAAGACAGGATACTGATTCAGTAGCTAAACAGGTTATAATAATCAAATGCTTTCCTAGTCACTTATTAATTTCAAAAACAAAATCTTTTATCCATAACTTATTAATCATGATGCAAAATCAGTTTAACAATATTTTTCTTTCTTATTCCTACAAAACTATAATGTGATTGAAAGGGAAAGCCCTTGAACAGATCTCTTCCTTCTAAGTTTTGCCCATTATGTACCTCCAAAGCCAAGGCTGTCTTGTCGTAGGCATTAGGGACTCGCTTCTGGATAACCCGGGCATAAATAGGGCCATTCTGAAGGTTAGGGAGCGGAGTGTTGATGCTGGGCTGGGCATAGGGCCCTGGCTCCGGCCCACCCAGTGGTTGTGGGTGGGAACTATCCTGGTTACCTCCAATCAGAGTAGATACTGAAGCAGAGGAAGGTCTACACTTCTCCACGTAAGGAACAGGTATCATTCCCCTCTTTCCTTCCTTGTCTTCTGCATTCCACCATTGCTCTTCAGGTTTATCCCGGATTTTCAGTATGTCTCCTTTCTTAAATGGAAGATCTTCTTCATCGTTTCCATTAAAGTCAAAGAGAGCTCGCACATATTCGGCCTCCTCCTGTCTGAGGATAACGCCGCTATTCTGCCTAGATCGGGAAATTGGTTCTATCAAGGTTGTAGTATCCAAATAGTGTATTTTGTAGAATTCTAGTAAAGATGGCAAAGAATCAAACTCCTGGTCGCCTATTCGAAATCTGGTGGGATTCAGCCCTGGAAAAAAAAGAAGGCAATGTATCAACAGAGTATACAGCAGTGACAACTGTAAACTAAACACTTAAGCAGTATATTCACAGATAGGCGATTTAATGCAGAATGCTCACCTCCGGACCATCAACATTCATCATGTCTAGTCTATGTGATGTGAAAATGGAAGGACAATTCTTAATAATCAAAATTACTTGCAAATAGTCATAGTTTGGGACTTGCCAATATTCAAAAAATCTGTAATTACCAGTTGGTTTAGTGTGGCAGCAAAGTAACGCTCTTCTGCACCTTTTTAATCAAAGAAAACACTATTCTAATCCTGCAGATAGTTTCATTGCACAGGTTTTGTCAAAGATGGGGAAAAAGTATACAACAGACAAATGATTTGGCACTGTCAAACTTCATTAAGTAGGAAAAAAGTATTCTGCTTCCTTGGATGTTATACAAACCCCACAGATAAAGTTAGAATATCTGAGTTTCCAAGGCACATATGCAGTTTTCACTACAAGACATTTCCTTTTTTATTGTTCTACATTCTAAATCTAGAAAGCAAATTAAATTTTGGTATTATTCCAAGAAGGTGATTAAAAAACAAACAAACAAAAAAAACCACCCCACACTTTTCCCTTCACATTTTAATTTTGTTTCAAAAAGACAACACTGCAGTACTTTTCATTTACATGTTGTAACAAACCTTGAGTTAGAGACACTGCCACTAAGAAAACAGCTTAGAATAGCAAACTTGTGTGAATGGTCAAAATAATCTTTTAATCTCAAATCTTCTAGTTTTTCTGCATATTAAATAGAGCATAAGTTACACATTAACTGATCCTGAAATATATTGAAATTGATCGTGTTCATACTGGAGACGTAAGTATGAAAGTATCAATACTCATTTCAGTTTTCAACCAGTTCTTTATTTTTTTTTTCCAATGTAGTGTTCTTCAGGCTTAGTTGGGGGAAAAAAAGAACATATGCAAGATGCTGTATTTCCACCATGCTATACACTGTGTGATCAGTTATGGGAAGAACTGTGGAAGAGTGGAGGAGGGCAAGGGAGAGGAAAAGATTTATGCTTTAATGAGTAACTCCTCTAGAAAGAATGAGAGGCTTCCTTTGCAAGTCTGTTTCTCTGCAGGGAATATCTAACCATTCTGAGACTTAACTCAAGCAGAAAGCTAGCAGAATTCTTCAAGCTGTCACGGATCCAAAACAACCTTCAAAGTAGCACTGTCAGCATGGAATGCTAATGCTACAAGAAATTCCTTCAAGGGAGCGAAAAAGGATTCCAATAGTGAAACCGGATTCTATAAGATAAACATTGACAAACACTCAATAAATAAGTTTTAAAGTACCCTGAAGGAACTCGAACATCAGGGAAGCTGGTTACCGGAAATTCAAAGAAGTAGAATTAAGTAATGGGAAAAATGCACATTTGAACATACTGGCAGGGCTGAAAGACTCTGAAAAGAAACCAGTGCAACTGCAATGAGCCAAGAAACAAAATCATATGCTAATAAAATACAAAACAAAAATGCTACCAATAGATAAGGAAGTTGCTGTAAATATCAGTAGGAAGTGTGAACGGGGCATAAAAGAGGAGTAAGATTCCTTGTTATTCTCCCAAAGCACAATATATTACCATGAAAACAATGGGCTACCTGAAAAAGAACAAAGACCAAAAGCAACTTTTTTGGTGAAACGTAACTCAGCTCTGGAAGTAGCAAGAGCTCTGAAATTTCACCTGGTGGCAGCTCTTAGCTCTGTGCTCCTACAGTAGGTGCCACCTATGCAGCCAAAATACATCCCTACACTGCTTCAAAATAGCTTGAGTTCACAATCTAAGCATTTAACACACAAACACTCGGCAATGTTGGACTTCAGCTATACAGTGAGCAGTGGGACACAGTGGGAAGACATGTTTACAAGAAGTGACAGAGATACCAAGCTTCACACAGAAATGTGTGTGTATCTGTTATTTTATATATGGGAGCCTTTAAACTTAACATTGACACATATCAAAAGAAAAAGTCATAGAAAGTACAAATGTGTCAGAATACCAGAGATTTTCAGAGAAGTCACATGGGAGAAGAACAGTTCCCTAATGACCAAAGTTACTTTAGCAGAGTATTGACATGGAACTGATTTCTCATGACAAATCTGGAGCTTACCTTTGCAAAACCTGCTACAAACTGAGTCAGTAGGTTAAGATTTTTGCCTCCAGCAAGATAACTGTACACAGAAAAAGTTTAAACTCATAGGAAACAAGCACTTCAACAGGAACATTCATCAGCAGGATGAATAAAGATTTATTTTTTGTTTTGATGGGACTGGAAATGTTTAAGAGGTTCAAATGAACCTTACAGCAAGGAGCTGAAAACAGTCCTGTTGAATTAATGCGTAACAGTCTGAAAAGGCTGCCAAAAGTAGCTGGATAAAACCTCAGTTGGACTCTAAGAGGAAGAACCTACTTTGAACCACTGTGAGGAAAGAGTGAGACTAAACATTTAAAAGATAGTTTAAAATACTTTAAAATGCAGGTTGGGAATAAAATACAGCCACAGCTTATCAAGTAGGTGGTAAATTCTCCATTTATTTTCCCCCAAAATCCTGGGACATGTTTCTTGAAGGCGTAATTTCTAGCAGCATACTGTCTGCATCTTCTGAGGGCCTTCAGGAAGAGGAGAACATATGTAAACGCAAGTCTAGATAGTGGAGAAACTTTAGTCATTTCCTACTGAAGTTGGACAAGCAAAAAGCACCAGATGTTCTCTTCCCTCCTCCCCAACTCTGCACAGCCAAAGAAAGAGTAGGTGCTCAGCTTGCCCCTGTAGCAGAGCTACTCATCTCTGTAAAACAACTCCTTTGAATCACAGGGAAGTATCTCCTTTCTTCCTCACTCCGCCCTAGCTGAGTTCATACACTTCCAAAGCTTCCAGCAACTTTGAGATCTTCTCAAGAATTTGAGATCTTAAAAAATTATAAGAAATGTCCAAGTTAAAGCATATTCCTCACTTGTATCTAAAGTAATTTCATTATACAAACAGCTAGGTATGGATATCATTGAGTAAAGTTTACACGATTCCAGGAAGTACCATCTGAATTTTATGAAATCACAGTGGAAGTGATATAAAAGTTTAAGTTAGGAAGTCTATTCTTGAAACACACACCTTCAGAAAGCACCATCTTTTACACTGTGTTGGTCATACTTTCCTACTTCAGAGACAAATTTTATGACTCCATAAGGTTTCCGAATTTGTCACATTGTGCTTTCAACAGGAAATATGTTTTACTTCAGATATTTTAGGCATTTTGCTTTAGCGCATTTCTTACATTTTTAGCCTGGATCCATCAGTCAAATTGCAAACATATGATGCATTGAAATATTTCCTTTATAGTCCACTACCATGATGATGTCCACATTTAAGATAAAGAAACACAAAATTAAACTAAGGATCTTTTTAATAACTTGGAAATAGAAGAGAATATTTCACTTTTACGGCACACTAAGATTTTTTATATTAGGGAAGACAAAGCTCCTCATCTCATTCATTCTGTATTGAAGCTGGATTCTTAAGTTTCATCTGCACATGGCAAACTTTAAGTACTCCTGAAATTGTGTGCTTAACAGAAACTAACAAAAATTGGAATGAAGAACCTGATCTGTCAATTCAGATTTCACAGTGCGAAAAAGGCATTTTCCCAATACATTCAGTTCTTAAGAAAAGTTATACCATAGTGACAATATGACAATAATGACAAAAACTTGATGACAATATATAAACACGACAATTGGCAAACATTTACCTTGCTTTAGTGCATTACCTTCCCTATCCAAGCATGAAATCCTCTTGTATCTTCTACCAAGGGCTGCATCTCCCTCCCATTCCCAAACATCCTCCCTCCAGCTATATTTTTCCGAAAGAAAATCTGTTTTTCTATTATTCGTTTCATTAGCTTGAGAGTGAGAAGACAGTAACTTCTGTACAGAGATTTCAAATCACTAAAACTTCATCATAGAAATATGATATCTGTGATGCAGATATCACCCATATTCATATAACATCCAGAGTGCGAGGGGAGGGGAAAAAAGTAAAGAAAAAGGACAACTAAAATGTAATTATTTTTGCTATAGATTAACCCTATTATGCCAAAGGTCTACACAGCTACAACAGTGTGTACTTTTCTAGCACAGACAAACACTTAAGACAGAAAACAACAACCAATGGGACATTTAGCAATAAAAACAAAACCCAATGAAGTTAAAACACCCATAACATGAACCAATCCAACAAATATCACAAAACTTCATGGAGGTTAAAGATGTTTAAAAAAAAAAAAAAAAAGAAACGAAAAGTAGAGTAGCTATTTACTGAAGCAGTATTCCAGTAGTTTGAGCATGCATTCAATAATACATTTATATTTCTAAAATACTGCTTCTGTTTCTCCAGAGAGGAGTTGCTCTGCAAAAAACAACAGTCCATCAAAGTGACTGGCACTAAATATCTGTGTCCTCCTTCACTACTATCTTTAAAAGACCAGCAGACTGTATTCCACAGGGGACTATCCTGGTAACCTTCTTTGTTCTACGTAACTTCAATCCAGCATTTTGCACAGCAGTTCCTGCACCAAGCAGCCTCCATAAACCTAGGACAACAATAAGCCTCTGCCTTGACAGACATTCAGCAATGAAGAATTTCCCAGATCTTCTGGTAAACCCTTAGACTTCCCACGGAGGTAATGATCTCCACGTTACTTCCAGATGAAGTCAGCCACCTTTAACTTCCTCCTTGTGGAGCTTTTCATGTTTTGGGTGCACTGTGCAACTATGGCAGGTTCCTAGGATAAAATGATCCTTCTGACTCTTCCAAATTACAGCCACTTGCAACCACACACTTACAGCCAACTGTGTTTCCCCGAGCAAGGGACATCCCTGCATACTGGTGCAAACACAAATACCTGTATCAGAAAACGTCTGTCTCTGTAGCAGTTCATGTGCTAAGCTTTCTTTCCTGCAAGTAAGTCAGCCAGAGCTCTTAGCGTATAGCAGGTCTTCTAGACCTCAAAACTCTATAGTTAGCATCTCAGAAGGGAGCTACAACATGCCCACATCACTTTGTGAACACTAATATGAGAACTTGACGAGCTTTAGTAACACACTCAGTAATTCCCCCAGCAGGGACTCTGCTACCTTTTAACTCCATGTTCTCACTTACAAATCTAAGAGCCATGGATCGCTGGGGACTCTCCTTCAATTAAGATACAGCTGTACTTTCAAAAACATCATTTCTCATGAAAGGTTTTTCTCTCTAACATAAATGATGTTTGCAAGTGTTGTATTTAAACTTTTTTCATATTAGATCTTAGGGCGATGGGGAATGCTATCAACCCTCCTTATCAAAGGATGCAAAAGGAATTAAAAAAAACCCACAACTGATTTAAAAGGAAAAAAAAAAAAAAAAAAAGAAAAAGAAAAGAAGCCTTTCTGTTCCTCAGGAGTTCCCGCTACTTAAACCACCCAACACACACTTTGACGTGTGACCTGAAAGCAAGCCTGCCTGCTAACGCAGGCTCCTTCGGGTGACATTTCCACGGGGGGCTCTCGGGAGCGGCTCCCGCCGCCCGCTGATGCCGGCTCTGCGGCCACCCGCGCGGGACGAGCACCGAGGCTGCCGGCGGGGCTCCCGCTTCCGGCGCCAGTTTAACTCCGAGGCCGCTCCCGGGAGGCCGGTACGGCCTAACGCGACTTCGCTGGAGCGGCGCAGCCCGGGAGGGACAGGAGGCCCCGGCCGGGAGGCCGCCGTGGCGGAGCGGGCTGGGTGGGCTCCGCCAGCCCGGGGGGGGGAGTCACTCACCCGGGGCCCCAGGGCCCTCGCCGCCGGCCCGCCGGCCGCCCGCCGGCCCCAGGCTGTTCACGATGTAGTGCGAGACGCGGGAGCTCTCGGACACCGAGAGCACGAAGTCGCCGGGGATGGTGCCCGAGTCGCGCACCAGGAAGGTGCCGTGGCGCTGCCCCTGCAGCATCGACACCGCCTCGGCCCGGCTCAGCCGCCCCCAGTACCAGCTCGCCTGGTCCTCGGAGTCGAACTGCCCGGCCATGGGGGCCGCAGGCCGCGCTCGCTGCCCGCCCCCCCCACCGCGGCCGCCGGTGGCCCCGCTCCGCGCCCAGCCCTGCCACCCAAAATGGCGGCCCCTGGCCTGACCTCACCTACCGGATGTGACCGCACGCGGGAGACGCGGGCGCGGCGGCGCCGTCATCTTCCCGCGCGGCTCCGCCGGGCGGGAGACGGGGGGCGTGCGCATGCGCAGTCGCGGCGGGCGGGAGCGCGCTGAGGCGAAGCGTGGACGGTCATGGAGGCGGCCGCTCTCCCTCGGGGCGCGGCCACCGCCGAGGGAGAGCGCGGGGCCGGCCTCTCCTCACGGCCCCGTCTCTGTAGCAACCGGTGGTTGAATTTCAGTTCTATTTCCCCGGGTTTAAAGGGTAAATTCAGCCAGATCATCTCACCCTGCTACCGCGGGGATTTAGACAGCGGAGGGCACAGGATCCAGTGGTGCCTCGGGGAAATGCGTGTGGGGCATCTGGGGTATCTAAGGTTGGAGCAAGAGTACCTGCTTCTGATTATTCTCCAGGGTCTTCCTTAAGATCCAGGTGAATGTAGAGCCTGGATAAAAGTATGTTGAATTATTTTCCAGCTCCAGTTCTGTGAGCTTTATCCAGAAAGGAATGTGCTTTTTCAATGGTGTGGCCTCCATGTGGCAGCATGTGAATAAATGTAATGTTTATTACATTTATTACCTTATAATCTTACCTTACTTTATTATCTTATAACCTTAACTGTGCTGTCCTCATGCCTGCCTGCCCGAATCTCTTCTTCCTTGCACGGCACTTTGAAGCCTTGTAACTATCCTAACATATAGGCCTTTGACAGGAATTAGGATCATATTAACCCTCCAAACATCCTAGTGAGAAAATAATACCCATCTCACAGGTGGGGAACTGCTGTTCAGTAAGTCCGTGAGAAAACAAGGTGTTGAATATGAGCTTTCCCAATGCTATGACAGAAACATCCTGCCCTGCTGATCCTGTGCTCTCTCCGGGTAGGTAGGAGACGACCACAGTGTAGTTAGAGCCCAGAGCCCCGTTCCAGCTGCTGACATGTTCACCGGCCAGCTGCAGGATTACGTGCCTGGCACAGTTCCATGCCCGAGGTTTGCACAGATTTGAAAAGCTGCAGCTGCGGATTCTTGCTGAGAGCCCAAGAATCTAGAAGAGTTAAATCACTGTGGCAAGAAAATGTGTCTATTCTGTTCAGCGGCTCACAGCAAACGCCACTTACAAAGGCAAACTTCATTTTTGATACAGACTCCTGCCAGACCACTGTACAAAAAGGCTGCTTTGACTGCGGGTTCACAAACTGCTGCTTTTTCTCTCTTCCCAGTCCCACCCTTGTACCCCATCTCCTTCTTTTTTTGAGTTGAACCACAAAACTACAAGAGATGATGGAGTTTGCTATCAGCTTTAGCTTTCTGTGCTGCAAGCACATGGGAATCTTACTACAAGAGTTCCCTCTGGTGGTCAGCAATGGGGAGATGAATAAAACGATCCCGGTGTAAAAAGCTTTTGCTGTTTTTAGGATGGAATGCTTTCTAGTTCGAAGACAATGTCTGACCTTCATTATTTGTAACTTTGCCTTTACTTATAGTTTCTCCAGGCAACGATTGGTAATCTTTTCCAAATTCCTCTTCCTCCACCTTTTCAGCGCTCAGGCAATGCCTCCACTGTGCAGTATTTTGCTACTGCTGACACATTCTTTCTGCACAAGAGCTGCAATAAAGGTGGAGCCCTTCTGCCCAAACTTGCATGTCTGTGCTGGCCTCTCAAAGGCAGAGAATTGCAGCCTGAGATGAATGGGAAGGAACAGCAGAATTTTCAGCCACACCTTCAGAGGAATAAAACTAGGTTACTCTATAATTCTGATTATTTCACTGTCAAAAGCTTAAACAAGATTCTGAAATCAGTTGTAAGATACCAAGAAAAGGCACCATTGACCTACCTGAGAATAAAAGCCCCAGCAGTTCAAGCTCTTCTTCACCGCCAGGTTTTCCTCTCTTGATACAGCTGAAGTTGATCTGTCCCTGACAGTGAGCCTAAAAATGAATTTTCCTAAGAAGCACTAAAACTTTGGCAACTGATCTAAAACCATAGTTAATCAGTAGAAGGTTTCTTGCTGAGGTCATTGATCAAGACAAAATCCTGCTGAGCAGAGAGGGATGTAATATGGTTCTGTAGTATTGCTTTGTCTTAGACAACACTCAAGGATGTTAAAATTAAGGAAAAAATCCGGATTAATTGAAGGCTTCGTCTGCTCTCTAGTAACTGCCGTTTTAAAGAACTTGGTGTCACATAACCCTGTCCTAACTATTACTTCGATGGAGTTGCTTTCTTAAATCTGCTGTAGATCATGAATGTGAATGATACTTCTGCTTACCGAGTGAAAACTAAAAGGAGGAAGCGGTTCATCGTTTGGTTTCTCTTCTCCATGATCCTGAAAAAAAACATCTGTGAGAGTTGTGCTTCTTTCTGCAGTCATTTCAGACTCTCTCTGTGTGTCCCACAACCACTCATGTATTCATGTTAGGTGTATTCGAACACGTTGAAATGGCCTCTGCCACAACCATTCCCATGTGGCTTGGAGGCACCGCGCGTATCTGTGGCTCCTGCCAGACACTGGCTACTTGACATTAGCCCTTGTGTAAAGACCTCTGCTCGGAGGCTGTTAAATATAAGCTTGGAAAGAGCAACAGTGTGACCACGAAGGTCACACTTCATGCAAGAGGGTGTATTAGTCCTGCTGGCAACACAAAGGCTCCTCCGGTTACAAGGTTTCTCCATGCCAAGCTGGAAAAGTCAATATTTGCTACTGAAATTTCCTGGGAAGCACTATCAGCTCCAAGGAAAGCTGACATATCACAGCCCAAGAACAACAGAACACAGAATATAATTTGCCATGAATAACCTAAATCTGGAGAATAGATTTATCAGATGTGTAAAAAGCCCAGAAGGACCTTCTTTTAGATCAGAGGGGGAAAAATAACTTAAGGCATCTGAACGTGCTAGATGTCATTGCAGGAAGCAGCACCTGCGCCAGGAGGCCTGGGACTTGACAACCCTCTGCCATTTCAGTCTGTGTTTCTGTGCGCATGTGCATTTAGTTGGACTTGATGATCCTGAAGCTCTTTTCCAACCATAACGATTCTATTTTTTCCACTATAACTTTCCTGCTTTGCTGTAACTAATTTCCAGGCACGGGGGAGCCCACGGCGGCTCTCGTGAAAGGCGCCGTGGCTCCAAGGCCGGCGGCTCCTCCCTGGACGCTCCAGACTGCCCACAATTTCCCCAGACGCAGGAAACGCACCCAGAGAAACCCTTGCGGGCATCGGGCGGCCCCGCGCGAGGAAAATGGCCGCCTCGCCCCTCTGCCGACCCGTAGCCTTGGAGGACCGGCGGGACGGCACTCCAAGCGCGTCTCTATGGCCGCGGGCGCCGCTCCCGCAGCCGGCCGGTAGGGGCGCTCTCTCCGCCGCCGCGCCTCTATGGTGGCGGCTGCGGCGCGCGGCCCGTCTCGCTGGGCGGGCCTGGCGGAGCCATGGCGGCCGTGCGGGGCCTGCGGATCTCGGTGAAGGCGGAGGCCACGGCCGTAACGGCGGAGCCGCGCGGCGCGGAGCCCGAGCCTATGGAGGTGGAAGAGGGCGAGCTGGAGACCATCCCCGTGAGGCGCTCGCTCCGGGAGCTCCTCCCGGTGAGGGCGCGCGGAGGAGGGACGAGCCCCGCGGGGGCCCGGCAGGAGGGCCCGGATGGGGTTCGGGGCGCGGGTACCCGAGGGGCATGAGGGGGGAGCGGCCGGGACCGGGGCGGGGCTCGTGGGGGGCGCGGGGAGCGGCGGCGGCCCCGAGGGGGCCCTGGGCAGCGCGGGGCTCCAAGGATCCCCCCGCGTTTACGCTGCTTCCCTCTGGATAAACCTAGCGAGGGCAGCGCTAATACCCGAAAAACTGGGTCAGAGCTGGGCTAAACCCTTAAGGGGCCTTTTTTGTTTGTGTGTTTTTCTGCTCTGAAAGCTTCTCTGCAAATTCTCATAGGAGTAAATCTCTAATTAGCTGATCTGCCAATATGCTCCAGCTGCCAACCCTGCGCCGCTTCGTTATGCCCCATGAGTCAAACCCCGTCAGTGTTTTTTCCACTTCCAAATAACCTTTCATTTTCCCCCTCCGTGGCAGTACCTCTCCACACTTCGCCAATTCTAACCCTCTTGCTAAGAAGTGGAGTTAGATTTTGTGTGCTTTGCTGTTTCCAAACTGAGCTCGAATTCCTTCGCCCCTCACCCCATCCCCTGTCCAATAAAAAGTACTTTAAGCCAAAATAGTTACTTCAACATGAGCATAAACAACATGTTTGCACCCACCTGATGATGGTCTTGAGGCTACAGGAGTCAGAATGAAAAAGTGCCTTTTTACATAAAACAAACAGTGGAATACATTGAGCTGAGTGACCCATCCAGAATATGTGGGGCTTAGCACAGTCTTGCAAATTCAGCAGACCTGGCTGATTGAAATGAAACTTGTGTGTTTTCTTTTTCTACATTGTTCTCAGTATTTACTCTATCAATAGGTTTCTATTTAAAAAAAAAAAAAAAAGTTTAACGTGGTTTTGGGAAATAGGTTGTGAAATAATGCATGGAAGAGGGACAAGAGTTGTTTGTTTAACTGTAGAAAATGGTTTGGTGTCCTGGCTTTGGTTGTGACTTAAAGTTGTAAATTGAAACTCTATGAATCTAATATCTTTAATTTGACTGTTAAATCTGTTCATGTCTTGAGAGGAGATTATAGCTAAAATCACAATTGTAGAGATTTTCATTAAAAAGGTGTTTTGATCACTTCCAGTGCTTTGCTGAGACAGAGCAAGTAAAAGCTTTAGTGGATGCAAATGCAGAAAATAAGTATTGCTAAAGAAGAGAGTTCTCATCCTAAAGGAAGTTTGGTTCATTTGATGCGCTTTTAACATCGCTCATGTCAGTAAGAATTAAGTTGATATACCTATTTATACTTGGAGTAACTTGAAGTGCGAATCACGGACAAGAGACAGGATTTCTCATGGGACTAGCTTCTCCTCCCCGCCCCAATGGCAAGTTTATTGATTTCAGTGTTTATCAAGATATCATCCCTATTTTGATTTATTTCAGGACACCAGTAGAAGATATGAAAACAAAGCTGGAAGTTTCATCACTGGAATAGATGTAACCTCCAAGGTAATTTTTGAATTTTGTTTTTTCAAAGTGCTCTAATTGCTGTTGCCATGTAGGAGGAAACACTTTTTTTTCTTTCGTTCTAAGATGCAACAGAAGTTTAACCTTTTGTTCAGATAGCTGGTATTTTTCAACAACTAAATAAAACTTCTTTTGTTGGTTATGCTTTGTTTCATGATGTGATGTTTCCTGCAAGCTGTAAAAACACCAGCATTCTTAAGTCACAAAATTATTATTCATAATTATTCATGTATACAAAAAGCTTCCGGACTTCCCCAAGAATTTACAGTCCTGTTAATTGGGCTTTGGTACACAGCTTTAAAAAGGTTTGCATTGAAGTTGCATTAGTATCATTAAAAACTGCAAAACAAAGCCCTTTGAGTCATGTCAGCTGACTTTTTTTCCTCCTCTTATGGGAGGAGGAAGAACAAGCCCTTAGCAGGAAAATCTAGTTTCATTGTCTTGTGTTGCTTAAGGACATCGCATTATTTAAGACTGCCATGAATCCTCATGGCAACAGTGTTTTGATAAAAGGAATGTATTCCCATTTTGTATTAGTGAAACTCATAGAAAAAACTTGCCAAAGAATAAAAAAGAATTCCTGATGAAGATTGCAAATCTGATATTTTGGTTTAAATATTTAGCTTCTGTATATTGTAAATCAGTAAAGAATAGAGTTATAATAGCCAGGAGAAAATGGTAATCTTTGGAAAAGTGTCATTTTTGTTTTGACTGCGCTGTTCTACACTTTGCAGGAAGCAATAGAGAAAAAGGAACAAAGAGCAAAACGTTTTCATTTTCGAGCTGAAGTGAATCTTGCCCAAAGAAATGTGGCACTGGATCGGGACATGATGAAGAAAGGTATGAGTTTATCAAACAGTCAAGAAGAAAGGATGCCCTTATTTAGTTACTGACAGTTTCTTTGTTCACTGTGCAGTATACTACTTAATAAGTTTCACAGTGTAGGCTAATAATTCAAATTCTAGTCTTGTAGAAGAGTGTATGTCACATTGTTGTGAGCACCCCCTTAGCTTAGTTAAAATGTTTGTTTAATAAACATGCATGTTACTAACATAAAAACTTAATTCTATAGAAATAAGGACTATTTTTACATTTATTTCTCTCATAGCAATTCCTAAAGTGAGACTGGATACAATTTACATTTGTGGGGTTGATGAGATGAGTACACAGGACATCTTTGCCTACTTCAAAGAGTATCCTCCTGCTCATATTGAGTGGTTAGATGACACATCCTGTAAGTAAACAGAGTGGTTTTTTTTCTTTTTTCTTTCTTTTGTAGCTCCTAGCCTCTTTTTTTATATTACTCTTAGCTCTGCCTGTCACTTTTTTTAGTGGCTTTTAAAGGCATTGACATTTATCTGTCTCAGTTTCCCAATAGTGAAAAGAGATTTGGAAGGAAATAATAACAAATAGTGAAAATGAAGTGCATTACTTAGCTGAGTACTTAGAAGAAAAATGTTTCACTTCTAAATGATAGAACATCATTTTAATTGAGACATTGTATTTGTACTGGATAGATAAAGCTTTTGTTTAATTTTTTTCTGAACTCCCGTTAGCATCTTCTCTCCACTAAGGAAGTGTGTGTAACTACTTATTTTACAAACTTTTTATGTGTATGTCATAGGTAACGTGGTCTGGCTTGATGAAGTAACAGCATCACGAGCCCTTATAAATATGAGTTCACTGCCTGATCAAGAGAAGCCAAAGAGCAAGGAAAACAGTGAAGAGAAAGCAGCTGAAAAAAACAAGAAAGGTAGATGAGATATGCATATATAGAGATGATCTAGTAAAATCGATGAAACTTTAATCTTATGCTTGGGTACTGCATAATCTAAGTTACTGAAGGAGCTTCTATCATATAGTTTCAGGTAAATGTATTCTGCCACTTTAAAAAAGGCTTTCATCTTGGAAACCTTTTGAAGAAGCTGCTTCTTAAAAGGTGGGTTGGAGCTAGACCAAAACCAATAATTCAGTCCATACTGAGCATGTTAGGTGCAGGATGATGTTGAGGTGCGCTATTTATAGCGTTATAGGTCACACAGAAATAAGTCATGCATGCAAAGGAGTCAGAGGGATGGATTATAAGTATGTGGGGAAAAATAGGTGTAAGGAGTTGGCATGTCAGTGTTGACAGTACACATGATAAAGGATGGCATTGTATCAAGCAAAGAAATCAACTACTCTATTTCAGAAAATACGACAATGTGTCCCTCCTTCCCTGTGCATATCACCTCTAAATATGGCCCTTATACTTTTAGAGAGGAAGCACACTGAAAGGTCAGTTATAATGGAGAAAAGCAGCCAAACGCTTGGATGTTTTGATGAATCTGGTACCTGCATGCCCTTACTTTAAATCTGTTTTACTTCTGTGGATATAAATGGAGAATCAGGCTTTTGCTTCCTTATGATTGTATAGAACTGTTTTGCCATTAGGCTGATACGATTAATTGCTGTGGTAAAAGCACTGTGCCATACAGTGCTAACAGACAGTAATGTGTTAACCCTGTTATGTAGTATATTTAAATAAAGTCTATCAAAAATGCAAATGAACAATCTTCACACTTTGTTTTTGCACTGCTACTCAAAACCTTTCTGTGAAGTCTGTTTTTAGGCCTTTCTTGATCTTATGGATCCTTCTTATTCATCTCCTTTTCTTGTTACTCTTCTGCACAAGGCAGTGGCTGCTCAACAATCCACAAAATTTCAGATGTTGGGCAAATATTGATAGTGATTGCTGTGATGTTTTTAGACGTTAGGGAATCTTTTGTTTAAACAGGTGTTAATATTTGTATATTAATCTTGCTGTCCACAAATTAAATATTACACCATCATTACACATCGTATAATAAAGTGTTGTCGTTTAAATTCCTCTGACATACTTACTCACTTGCTTATCTGGCAAAGTGCAATATTAACTAAAGTTTAGACTCTTCAATTATATCTTAAAGTGTGAGATGCATACAGATACACTGAAGTTTTTTTTGGTAGTTACATTTCATTTTTAAATACAAATTTGGGGGTTATTTAGATGCCTAGGGAAGCAAGAGTGGCTGAATGCTCTCCCTGATACAATTTAGTTATCTGTCTGTGTCGCCTTAGGCACTTATCTGCACAGGGGCTGTCTGGTTACAGTTACTCTGTACACATGCATATTTCAGATTTCTCTAGACATTTACTGTTTTGATTATTCTCTAGGCTACACAGAATGGGTAACACGTCAGTTTGATTTTGAAGAATGTAGGTAATGTTCTCAAAATGCTACCGACATACTAAAATGGAGACTTTTTTCCCATTTTCTTTTCTTTTTAGGAAAAACAGAGGAAAGTTCTGATGATGAGACAGAAGAAGGCGAGGTTGAAGATGACAATCCAAGTGATGTTGAGGTCAGTATAGAAAGAAGGAAAGCTCTAATGTTTAAGTTTTTCGGTGATTTTGAATAGGACTTTAAAAGTGACTTAATAATCAGTTGATTACTTCTCCTTGAGTGATCCCTTTTCATTCAACAGTAATTTTGAGTCCCAAATGCCTTTTTTGCCCCCAAAGTTGGATGCCCTCTCCCAGGTAGAAGAGGATTCTCTCCTGCGTAATGATCTTCGCCCTGCCAATAAACTGGCTAAAGGAAACAAGCTATTCATGAGATTTGCTACTAAAGGTAAATGAACAGCTTAACAAGCATAATGAATCGATTGCTTGTTGCAGTTTTATTTGTTGACTAATTAATGACTGGAATGTTCTAATTTTTATTTGAAAAACTTTTAGTTTTTGCTAAGTGTTAGGTGTTAAGATATTACAATAAATAATATGCTTAGTTGGTGAAATCAAGTTCAAGATGTATAAAGAGTATTGTTTATACAATTATATTTTGGGCTAAATATGAGGCATTCTTCCTGATACTGTAAAACAGATCTTATGATATTCTTCTCCACAAATGTTAACTTCACATTTTATAAATATGAAAATCATTTGAGATGTTTGCGAGGTATTAGTGGAAATTGCTCCTGAATACAGCTGAGATGGTAAATCATTTTTCTGAGTAAAATGAACATACTTGTTATTTCTGGGCTGTGTGGAAAGTGTCAAATCCATAGAGAATAAAAAAAAAAGTCAGAAAAAGGTAAGTACAGCCTCTAGCAGTTACTGGGATACAGGTTGTATCAGCAGTCACAGTGGGATGTAACACACTATAAATACGTAAGTCTGAGTGTCCACTGACTTAAATTTCTGAACACAAATAAAACTGCGGTGGAAGGACAATTTCAGAGGTGATGTCAGCAAAATCCTCCAAAATCTCTGCCTTCTCTATGAGGGAGATTGAAGTAATATTGATGTGTAAGATGCATTCAATCTTTCATTCATTTTCTGTGTCTTTGGCTGGATGGTTATTTATTTTTACTTTAGTACAGTAAGATAGTCTACAGAGGAAGATTCCTGTAATTTTATGTTTTTTCAGATGATAAGAAAGAGCTGGGAGCTGCAAGGCGAAGCCAGTACTACATGAAATATGGCAATCCCAACTATGGAGGCATGAAGGGCATTCTTAGCAATTCTTGGTGAGTATTTTCAGCAATTCTTTATGTGTAAGCTAGAAGAATTGCAATGTTGAAAGTACTCAGCATAATCTAAAACTGTTTAATTTGTACGTTTTTGTTTTCTTTGAGATAAAGATGTTTAAGTGTGAACCATATTTTAGCAAAGTGACAATGGATTTGCAAGGCAAATGTTTTCTCTTGAAATTAATGAACTTTATATTCAAAACATTCTGCCAGAACAGACTTCTGGCATAAATGTGTTTGTCTGCTATTAAAGGGAGTGTTAATTGCACTTGCTTAATGTAGGATTGCCTATGGCTCATTCATTATGCCTTTCTGTGACAGAAATATGCTGCTCTTTATGGTGTTTCAGGAAACGAAGATACCATTCGCGTCGAATCCATCGGGATGTGATAAAGAAAAGGACCCTCATTGGGGATGATGTTGGCTTGACTCCTCCTTATAAGCATCGTCATTCAGGTAATTGGTGCCAATATGTAGAACTGGAGGACAAAAATTGGGAAATGGAAAGCTGGAAAGGACCTTAACCCATGTCTTATCCGATGAAAGTCTTGTCTCCATGAAAGTGAGGTATCCTTCTTAAAAACAGATAAAGTCTCTAAGGTACGTTTTAAGGTCTTAAGAGAACAGATGAGGTATGAACTTCGTGCTGATCACTGCCTTATCAAATAGCTGCTACTTTAAAAAAAAAAATTACAAATTTAAGAAAATAAATTCAGACTAGCGATATATATGTTTTCCTTGGCGTTGCTGCCAGTGATTCAGAGGGATTGTGTAGCATGCACAGCCAGCAATTGTCATGTTAAGCCCTTAACATGTTAAGCCCTGTTAAGCATTCTTCTTTTTTTAATCGGTTTCAAGGTACTTTATATGAACGATAAACTTCAGTTTATCGGAATATGTTTTGCTACAGGCCTAGTAAATGTTCCTGAGGAGCCTATTGAGGAGGAGGAAGAGGAGGAAGAAGATCAGGATATGGATGAAGATGATAGAGTTGTAGTTGAGTACCGTGATGAACTGCAAGCTTTCAAACAGTCTCGAGATCGCAGCGCAGCCAGGCGATCAAGTGCTAGTGCTTCTGATTCTGATGAGATGGACTATGATCTGGAACTGAAAATGATATCGACCCCCTCTCCCAAAAAAAGCATGAAAATGACAATGTATGCAGACGAGGTGGAATCACAACTGAAAAACATTAGGTAAAAAGTTTCTTAAAGTATAAATGAAAAATCATTCTAAATTTTCAAAATATTAATCTGACTAAGGTATAAACTTGGTTCTATTCAGGTAATTATGTCCGTATTTGAGAAGGTGATTTTGAACTCTGATGAAGTGAAATGGAACAAATTACCAGTGTGACTGAAGATATCCAGGGTCCACAATGCCAAGAGCTGACAGTACTTTAGGGAAGAAAACTGTACATCACTTCACTGTTGTGCATATGAAGAGTTCTCAGTGGTAGATGATAACTCTCCTTGAAATCTTTTCTTAGATGACTCTTCCCTTAAGATCGATTAGAGCAGGTCTTAGCAACAGAACTGTAACAGCATACAGATAACTACACTAAGAATTTAAACTATAGCCATTTGTATAGTAGATATTTTAATGAAAATATACAATAATGAAAATGCTGATACAAGCTTTCAGTTCCTTTTTTTAATATTGCTACCTTTAGAGATTTCTGTAATCCAGCATTATGTTGTTAATGTTGCTAATGTTAACAAGGAAGCTGAAAGTGGAATCAATTGAAACTGATGAAAAGAAGTACAATATACATGTTGGCATCATAGCTGGACCAAGAAGAATGTTTTTACTTCTGTTTCTCAGTAGAGAAAACTTGATTTTAATGTTTCAGTAGTGTAATTTTGCATACACAATTCTTAAGAAGTATGCTATATTTAATGTAAGGGACTCTTGAATCTCTTGTTATTTTATTTAGGAACTCTATGCGAGCAGATAGTATAGCAACCAGTAACATCAAAAATCGGATTGGCAGTAAAGGCTCGTTGGAGAAGGTTGCAGATGTGAGACTTCTATTGGAAGAAAAACGCCAGAACAACAGTGGGCCACGTCAGCAAAACAGCATCGTAAAATCAGGTAACTTGAAATTTCCACGTTGTGCAGAGTTATGACTGGCTCATAAAAATGATTATATTCATTTCACATCAATCCTCCACTGTACCTTACAGATGTGAGAGAATTCTGTTCAGCAGCTCTTTCTGCATTCGTACAGTTAATTTTCCTCACTGAGAGCCAGAGCTGGGGATTGCTTTTGGGGAAAAAATTTTTGCTTGTGTGTCTATTTCCTTCACTCTGTCTTTTTGGATTTAGTTGCTCCTTGAGACACAGAGTCTGTACCTCTAGGGGAAAATACACAGCACTTACAGGGGCTCATGCACAAATCAAGCTTGAGACTTTAGTTTTGTATATTGTGAAAATGAAGCTTTTTTTTTGTTTGTCAGTTATTTCATTTTGCACTTAATTGACTGTTTATCTTTTGGACAAGAAAAGTATACATGTAATTTCAGCTGCTGCAAAGGTTGTGTAAGTGACAGTATAAGATACTATGTTCCATTAGTATATTTTGCTACTTTTGTGCAATTTGAGACTATGATAACTTGCTACATCAATCTTTCAGTTTCCTTTGTACTCTTCTTTCTGTTTGAACCTTCTTTAAGACAAGGAACATCAGTTGGTTTCAGACAAAAGTCAAAATGCTTCTTTTGCATCATGGGTTAATTATCAATACATTTAGAGTTGTTGTGTTCTGTTTTTCATTTTATTCTGCAAGATCTTAAGCAGTATTAAAATTCTAAAGTAAGTTATTTATTATCTGAAAACAATAATTGAAGGCATAGCAATTTTCCTTTGGTCGTACTTCATGTTGGATATGTATCATTCTCTGCTGTTGTGCAGCTCAAGTAAATAATGCAGCAAGCTGTGCAGTAATTACTACTATTTTTTTTTTTTTTTTTAGTCCTTTGGACAGAACACAGCCTGAAGACATTTAATGTTAAACTTATTGGAGGAAAAAAAAAGGAGGAGGCAGAGGGAGGGAATGACTATTGAGCATAAAAGATTTAATGAAAGGAATTCAGAAAAGATTTTTTAAAAAGGTCACCTCTCCAGTTGGAAGTTTTGGAAAGTGAAGGACATAAAATTAGCTGGCAGAACTAAACTAAATGCAATAGGTGATTTTTTTTGTTTGTTTGTTTTTGTCATTTTAATCACTGAAAATATCCATAGATGTACGGCAGAGACTGGGAAAAAGACCCCATTCTCCAGAAATAAAACCTCCAAATACTACCTCTGCTCCTCGTCGAGAACCAGTATCAGATGTACACAGCCGCTTAGGAATACCCAAACAAGACGTGAAAGGCCTCTACTCAGATACCAGAGAGAAGAAATCAGGTTAGTTTTGTACAGAAAATGTGGTAATGCAATCCCTTTGTTCTTAGAGTGTAAGAGGAATTTCAAATGAAAATTATGCAGAATGTTTTGTTGAGTGTTAATGAATGTCAATGAATAAATGTTTGTACAGATCTTACAAGTCTACAAAAGCTTAAACATGCATTGCAAATCAAAAGGGTCAGGCTCTACCCCAAGAGATACTGATGCAGCTCACATAAAACATGATAGACTATATACAATATTTTTATATAGTATGTGTAAAACTTGAAAACTGTGGTCAAAAAAGACAGTAAAATAAGTGTGATACTGGCATTTCAGACACATGTGTGGCATTCTCAGTAAATGAGGCTTTACTGAGCCTGCCATATTTTGACTTTGACTGCTGTTTCAAATGTATTTCAATTCATACATTAAGTAGGGATAAATTGTACCAGGAATTTGAGGAGAGGCATCAAATTTAGTACTGGATTCTTTATACTTCTGGAACTCTTTAGTCTTATCATTTTATGTTTTTTCTTTTGTTAATTATTCATTTTCCCCCCACATCTAATTAGGTAATTTATGGACTCGCTTAGGATCTGCTCCGAAGACGCAAGAAAAGACTTCAGATAAACCTGAAAATTCTGTGGCATCTACAGAGGAAGATGATTCGGAGCTCCAGCGGGTTTGGGGTGCTCTCATTAAGGAAAAAGAACAGTCTCGACAAAAAAAGAGTCGATTGGATAATTTGCCATCTCTACAAATTGAAATCAGCCGAGAAAGCAGTTCTGGATCAGACACTGAATCATGATGGTTTTTACTTAAGATCCTCAAGATTATGACTCTGCAATATGGCAAGATTTCCTTTGCCCAAAAGCTGGACATTGGCAAAGACTCTGCAGTGAAGGTTCCAGAAGTGTGTGCATTCCTTTTATATGCAAATAGAGATGCATCACCACTTAAAACCTAAAGCAATCACATTTGTCTGCAGTCGGTGGTTGGCCCTGTCATACCTGTTTATTACAGCAAACTTGTAATTAATTCTAGCAAAACACATTTCCTCAAGCTTTGAACTTAGAAGATGCAGAAATACTCTGTGTTTTTAAGAAGACCTTTTCATTCTTACTATTTGTACCATAGAGTCTTTTAACACAATGTTTTACACAGTTCATCCAAAGAACGGAGCATTTCATAGTGAACAACATTGCCTTGCCCTTCTAGCTGTTACCAGCACCTTTTCTTTCCTCATAAGTAATAAAAATAATGCTTCCTGGTTGGGCAGTCGACAAGGATAAAGCATAAAGGGACTATTACATCCTTTTCCTCCAAAATACTGAATGTAAATCTTTTCTTTTTTTTTTTTTTTTTTTTTAATATGATAAAGTTTCAAATAGTACCTGAATAGTGTCATTGCTCTCAAAGAGTTCCACTTGTTTGTTTTGGTGATACTGTGTTCTGCTGTAGTAGAGATTGAGGTTCCAGCCTGCAAGGTTTGATATTTGAGAATTGTGCAAATTCCAGGGACTTTTTTTTCCCCTTTGGTTATATGCTGAAAAAAAAAAAAATTCTTTCAATTTAGTGTTATTATGCTTTGAAGAAATCTAACAATTTAAAAACTTACATTTTTATATTTGTGAGAATTTTCATGTTGGCCACGGTGAAAGCTATAGTGGTGTTTTCCTATGTGCTGTTTAACTATATATGTGTATATATAATTGAAAGAGAAAAAGAGGACTATAGGATCACTGTCTCCTGTCAATATCTTTCAATGTTCTCATTGTATATTACATGTGGATGTGCACATGGTTGACTTGTTACATTCGGCTTTTTTACCCCTGTGCCCTAAGTAGGTAAGAGATTGATGAGTGTACAGTTACATTTTTTTTTCTTCTTGTTACCTGTGTCTTTTATTTTGATTGCAACTAGTTCTCAGTAAGGAATAATGATAGCATATCATGTCCTGGTAAATTGAACGTGTAATGAGAACATTGCCTGCTCCATCCAGAAATTCTGGAAAATTGTCTGCATTGTCCTAATTTTCTATCACCCCCAAATGTCTGTGTATCTCCCTTCCCCTTTCTGCCTGTCTAACAAATCCTTTCTTCTTTTTCTTCTACTTTTATACTAAGTTGAAGTTGGTTTGAGGCCTCTCAAAAGCAGGGAATCTGCAGTTAACTTTGTTGCTTCATTATGAGAATAATGAAGAATGAGAATTGTGAGAATAGCAGCATGTTAAGCGAAAGGTGCCGTGCCTAGAAAGGCCTTCTGAGGAGTGACGGCGCTTCAAGCCTTATTTTCTTGTGATATCCTTGATTTTTTTTTTGTATTTAATTATTGAATCTATAACTATGACTCAAAATACTGTTAAGAGTAAATGACTGCACTGTCTGATCACTGTAATAATTCATTTTAATGTGTGTTTTCATTAATATCCCTTCTAAAGCTTTAAAATAGAACCATACTTATACCGAACCTGTTTTTATCAGGATCCTGATATAAATTTATTTAACAGGTGTCTTTTTTTTTTCTTTTTTTGTCACTAAACTTTTGTGGTCCTGCCTGGGCCTGTTCCTGAAAGGGGAAGGTCGATGTGAAGCACAGCCCTGTGCTCTGGGGAAGGGGGTTGTGTTTTTGAACCTTTGTGGGGGTTGAGCTCAACAGACCCCAGTGCTCTGCTCTACATGTTGTAAGTGTTGCTGATAACTGTGTTTTTGTGTAAATAATTGGGGTCTGGTGAAGGACAAAGTGGTGTAAAAGGCCCCTCTAAGCCCTTGTCCTGGGTCCCTTCCAAGGCTTGAAAGCTGAGCTTTTCCTTTGAAAATGAATATACCAGTTACGTTACTGAAGGGGAAGGAAAGCAGAAAAAAACCAAAATACATTCAATTGTAGATGAAGTTTTAACAGGAAAAATATAAACTCTCACATTGAAAGGTAGGATGATGATGCTGACTGCTCCGGCCCCTCCTGCGGCCCAGCCTTAACAGCGGTGCCTTGGCCAAGCAGGGCGCTGCATGGGGCCCTTTTTAACCCGCGGGGCCGGGTGCCGCCCGCCCGGCTCCCCTCCGAGCTCGCGGAACGGGAGCGGGCCCGCGGGGACGGCGACAAAATGGAAGCGCCATCCCCCGCACCCCTTTCATAGACAATGGCACGTTCCGCTCCGCGCATGCGCACTGCTCCACCCCCCCCGCCTCAGTGGTGGTACAGCCCAAGGCTTTATAAGCGGCCGCCAGGCATTTCCCGCCCTTTCTCGGCGGGGCTGAGGCGGCGGCTGGGCGCAGGTAGGCGGCGAGGGGCGGAGGAGGCCGCGGCCGCGGCGGGACCGGGCGCCGCCGCCCTGGCGCTGCCGAGCGGCGGCCCGGGAGGCCGTCGGGACTCGAGCCGCGAGGTTTCGTGCTGCGCGGCCCGCAGGCCCTGCGCCCCACAGCGCCCGGCGCCCCTGGGCCTGGACGACTCGTTACTCCACAGGCTGGAAATGGCCTTGGGCCGTGGAGAGCTGCCCAAGGGAGACTTGTAGATTCCTAAGCTGAAAATTAATTGCAGGGAATTGCTGGATCTACTAAAAAGTATTACAATAATGCCTTTTTTTTTTTTTTTTCTTCCCAGAAGAATGTTGTCTTGAAGTAAAAAGCTTATTTTGTACTAAGCTGCACAAAGTCATTAAGAAAGTTGCAGGCTTTACTTAGGATATAGTTAAAAGCAGGGCTTTAAAAAGAAACAAAAATACTTACATCATCTGAAAACTAATTTTACCTACCATCAACTTAATATAAACAAATGGGAAAGTCTTCCCAAACTCAATCGTGGTTTAGTTTTGAACCAAGTGATCAAATATGAGCGTTGTTGGCTGTTGATGATGATACCCCTGAATAGGAAGTGCCGTCAGATGCGAGAACTGACGATAACTTTCTTGCTTATCTGAAACACAGCTGCTTGCATGCAGAGTTTGGGTTGTCCAGAGGCTTGCATGCTACAACTAGCTCTTAATCAGTGCAGTATCTGCAGTATCTTAATATCCTTCTCTCTCATTTATGCTGCAGAGTTTAATATTTCCAGAGAAATGTGACCTCTTCAGTACAGGGAGCAGACAGCTCTCTGAAAGTGACACTAATGTGAAGGTAAGTGATGAATTATACTGGGCAATGCAGCCTTTATACAGGACGGAATCCAATCTAAGAATAAATGAGGCTTTTGGGGTTGCCCAAAACTTCAGAAGGGAGTTTTGTAGATCCATTTTAATAGTTTGAAGCAATCTTTCCCCTCCTCTGTACCTCATAATTCAAGGCTTCAGGATCTGTATATTTACATGGAGCTTGTAGGTCTCTGCTGCCGCATATTAATTGCTGTTAATGCCTGTTAATAGATGTGACGGCTGTACACAAGTCATGTGGAAGGAAGCGAGACTGCAGGAGCAGGAGGTTCTTCCAGGTGAGTTTAGAATTCTGTGCTCTCTTAGTTCACGTCAATAATTTTTGGCCACATTCTCAAAACATGACCTTTCAGCAGCCGTATTTCTGTATAATCGTGACGTTAGAGGTGCAATAAATGAAGTCACCGGCCAAATGTACTTTGTTAGGCCAACTCCAAACAAGTGTGTAAACGTGGCTGTCTTCTGTGCTACGGTTTTGCTAATGCTAATGTAGAATGGGAAGAGGGATAATGTATCATTTCTGTTGAAAATAACAGTTCATCTGAAGATATCATATGATGAAATTAACCAAAAATTGCTGGAATTACCGGCAGATTGACTGGTGGTGAGGCAAGGTTTTTCTGATGATATCTCTTATTATTAACAAAGAGCTTAATATCTAGTGTTTTGCTGATAACTTATTCGTGCTGTTATTGTATTACAGGTGTATACATGGTGGAAATGTGATGTCTGAGGAAGAAGAAATCTGTTAAAATAGGGAAGTGAGCAGAGCAGTAGTCACCAAAAACTGATGTGTTTTACTGTATTAAGATTTTGAGAAACATTAAAAATGATGCTGTTGTGCATCTATTAAAGTTATCCAAACAAGTTGCAATGGTGTCTGTCTTTTTTACTGTATGAAGGGATGTTTTTATAGACTGATGGGATTGTTATTGTGTAATGGAGTAAAAAACATGCTCAACATTCATGATTTGCTGTAACATGATAAATGTATACACAGGGCAGTATAATTACTGCAGATAATGTAAATAGATTTTTAGCTGTGTAAGCATTCCATCTGATGTGATAATTTCTGGCATTAATTAAAACAAATGGTGCCAATACTGCTGCAATTATCAAGAGATTAGGCCCTAAGTACCATTAAGAGAGAACATATAGGACAAATAAAACTAGCTTTCGTTTTAAAACGTGGCTACAATTACAAAGCTGAAGAATACAAGATAATGTTTTTTTTTGTGAGAGAAAAGCACTGGAGATGCTTGAGGAATATGGTACCTTGAGGCTGAAACTCTCCAGTGATGTTGATTATACCAATGTAACTGGCAAGCTTTGATGGGCTTTTTAGATTTGCAGGAGGGCTGGACTACTGCAAGGTTTTGGCAAACCTGGAGGCACTGAGTGTGTCCAACGTGGCAGAGGCTCCTGGTGGTTCTGCCCACTTGGGGGCATTGCATGAGAGCACTGAGTCTTTGAAGCACAATTTTTGAGAAAGACAAAAATTCTGAACTATTTGGTGAGTGCAGGTGGTGCTGCTCAGGTAAATGAATCTGTACCCTTCCAAAGGGCATCCCTGCAACACGTGGGGCTTCCCATAATCACCCGACCTGGTTGATGGTGTAGGCAGAACTTGCTTGGAATTAATTAGCTTTTTCCTGCTATGCAAACACATTCAGATAGGAATGGGTTGCTCCTGGGATGTTTATTTTAATTAAAGTTTTAAATAGTTACATTCTGTTCCAATCGTTCTTGAAACAAAACTATTTTTGTCCGGTTTGCAGAGCTTCTTGCGTTAGAATTTGTTGACAAAAGACATTTTTTAGCTCATGTGATATGCAAAAGAAATGGGTTTATAGGGCCCAGAAAGCCCAAGGAACCAAGTTCTTTCTAAATGTGATTCTGCCTGCTATTAATGAGTGGAGCCAAGGGTGGTCTCAAACTCCATTAAATAGAAGAAACTCAGCAGATTTTTGCTCAGTTGTTTAATGTGCTGTTTAATTTGCTCAGGATAGCTTTGCTGCAGCTTGTTTTTCTAATTGTTTCTTCCTAATATGTATGGGATTAACTCATTAAAAGAGGGAATGGCTGATTTGGGAATACTTAGGTAAACAGGAAACAGTTTATCTGGGTTTATTGAAGTTGCAAGTTGGCGGAATCTGTTATAGTAAATTATTAATAAGTTCCATTTTGATATTACTTATTTTCATCAAAAAGAGGATTCCTCAGCAGGGATCAGCCAAAAGGCTGTTTTTGTCCAAGATGAACAGAAAGTTTTATTCCTATTAGAACATGGAGTCTCTGGAACAAATTAGGTGCCCTGAACATAAAATACTACAATGTATCTTCAACGAGAACGCACCTTATCTTACAGTGTTCTGGCGAAGGGAAATAAAATTGTTATTTTTTCTTATTATGTTTGAACCACGTGGGTTTTCCAGCTTCCATCTTTCCATGAAAAATCCTGATTCAAAATACAGTTATTTTGAATTTTCTGAAGATTTTGAGAGAATCGCTAATTGGTAGGAATCCCCAGTATTTAACAACAGCTAAAGTTGAGATAAACCTAAACTAGATGGAAGGATTAAAGCTGCAAGAGAAGAAAAAGCCTTAAGCAGAGAAGCTAAAAGTGGCCGAACGCCAGTTTGGCAATGAGAAAAATGGGAATGTGGGAATGTCGTGGGAATTCCTTTGTGAGAAACAAACTAAAGTCACTTGTGGCTGTGAATACTCATTTAATAGTAACTAGACTCAAACACTCAGGCTCCTCTCAGCCCAGGGAATTTGTCCATGACTGGGGCGAAAGGCAGGGAGTGAGCAGAGCACACGGGAAACCCCTTCTGAAGTGGGGGGAATTAGAGGGGAAAGAAAAAGATCTGAGGAGATACAGCGGTCCGGATGGGTTTAAACAAAGCAACTATTAAATGTGCTTTGTGCATGTGGATGCCTGGCGTGTATGGGTGAGAGTTCACTTGTTTCCTCCCTTGCTTGTTCCACCGTTGCACAAAAAGAGATGGGAACAGAAGTGTAGGACAGACAGTGTCACATCGGGATGCGGAGCTGGCATTTTGAGGGCTCCCCTTTCCTTTCTGCAAACCACGAGCAGCACGGTTGATATAAATGCTAGTTATCACCATCTCTTGATTTGTTATTGTAAAGCAATCACATGTCCATCAGCATTAAAATAATCTCTGTTGCAAAAATACAAATTATTATAATTACTGCACTGCAGCTATTAAATTGAAAAATGTGCTCGGGTTTTTGGCTTGGGGGCCACTATTTCAGTTAAATTAAGCTTAGCTGCTGCATCCACTCACAGAGCAGAGGCAGGCTCGTTCCCAGCATGTCACCGGTGCAGAGTGAAGAATGTCCTTCAATGTGACACCCGAGTTCTCTTCATCTTGAAGGTACTTGCAAGAGCTGTTCAATTTTCAACCCTTCTCTCCGTCAGCTCCTCAAACGAGGGGGGCCAAAGCGCTGTCGAAGGAATAGCTTTTCCAGCGCCGCATGACTAAGATGAGAGTGTCATGCAAAGAAAATTTAGGGGCTTGTTTTCTTCCGGCTGCCACGTTAGCAAATGCTTTGTTATAATCCCTCCGGTGCTGAGGCCGGCGCTGAATCATCTGCACGAAGCCAAGAGAGCTGCCGGCCGAGTACGGGCCCAAAATAGCTGTGGCCGGCAGAGCTCCTAGCGCCCAACTCTGCTCTGCAAAGTCCCCTCAAGCTTCGTGGGTGCCTTCAGGGAAGGACAAGGTTGACGTGTCATTGAAGTGCTCTGGTAGGACCTCTCTGCCCCGTCTTTTGACAGTCTGTGTGTGCGAGTGGTCTGGTTTTCGTGCTTAAAATGGTTGGAGATAAATACGATGAACTGATCTTGGCCCCCTGCTCAAGACTGTGAGAAACGACTCGGTGGAATTTGGCTTGCATTGCTTTGCCTATTGATGTGGACATGCAAGAAAACATAAATATAATAAAAAAGAATATGCACTTTATGCTCCAGGAGGGTAAGGTCTGCCCTGTTTTGCCACCAGGTGCTGGAGACCACAAGATGGGGCAGTGATTGAGTTCAGAGCATCTCTGGTAGGGAAAGGGATTTTTGAAGCCCTAGGAGACTCTTTTTTGGCCATTCTGCTGCTAGTTCATGTTCGGCTGGCACCTGAGATTTGCAGCTTTTATTGATAAGCGGGAATCCCCCGCACAGTGAAATATCACTCTCTAATTGGCTGTTAATCACATCTCTTATGGCAGGACTAGCAAAGGCTGTGGCTCCCTTTTCCTTAGCGAGAACAGCTGATGCTTCCAGCCCTGCTTTGTTTATGCGTGTGCACACAGAGAGCATAATCAGGAGAAAAAACTGTGTTTATGGCCACAAAAGTCTTCATTTTGGGAGATGGAAACACTTAGTGTAGGGGGAACTCAAAAGAATTAAATCTCATTTTTTTTTTAACCCAGGCACATGGCAATTGAGCAGCTTCACAGCCCAGTGGCTCCACCTGTAGCTGTAAAACCTGAGCAAAACACAGAAAAGTAAATTATTTATGCTGTGGGGACTGAAGCAGAAATCCCTGCTGTTTCCATCAGCTTGATGTGTTACTGCTTTATCTACAGGGCTGTGGCATCTTTCTGGCATCTGCTTGTTTTGCTTGGAGCGGCTGTTTGAGTTCATGCTGCATTAGTTAGGTTTTTCATAACACTATTTTTAATAGTTTGTAGGAAAATGGCTCTATACAAGAGCTGTAGCACCAGGTCTCTCCACGAACCCAGCCGTGATGAGTTTGCCTGATGCCTCCTATGGCTGCCTGGTGGGATGTTGCTGTTTCTTTTCTCAGATCTCACAGTAAATATCTCACAGATATTTATTAGTAAATATCTGTGTTGAGATGCAGGTGATTTGTGCAGCATCAGGTTATGGGTGCATTTAGCTGACAGCAAATGTCACGTCAGCGCTGTGGCCTGGGACAAGTCATGGTCATCCAGCGAGGCCCACGAGGGCCGGGGGCGGTGGCTGAGGGCAGAGCGCTTGTCCCCGCCGTTCCTCCATCGAACAACCTCAAAATGAGTGTCCCAGTGACACCCGGTTGCTCCGTGAGCTCCCAGTTACGGAGCAAAGAGTCGGAGAGCAGCAGCTGACCCTGGTGAGCCAGGAAATCCACAGCAGTTGGCCAGCTCTCCAAGTGCTTTTACTTAACTGTGTCAAATCGGTACTTACTGCTTTCCACCGTAGTAGCGAATAAGTGAAATCCTGGCGCCGGGCGCTGCTGGGCTGTGAGATGCACAGGGCACCTGCTGTGAGGAAGATGAAAGTCGTTTCCAAGCAAGGTGGGAGCCGGGCAATTAAAGGAGGAAGCTGCACGGAGGTGCCTGCCTTTGGAATTGGATTTTACGCTTCTCCAGTCCCCTCTGCCAGCCCGTGTCCTGGTAGCAGCATCCTGGTAGCAGCCAGGGCGAAGGATGCTCTGTTTGCAGGAAAGCGAGAAGGTTTTTCAGAGCTGAACCTGCAAAACAGTGGCCCTGCTCCTGCAGGGAGCTCTTGAGAGGGTGTTTGAGAGCCCGGTGCTTCATCGGGACCTATTTATCATATTTGGGCTGAGTCACACGTGCAAACTAAGATTTAAGCTGTGGGACAGATGCTGCACAGACTTTCTCCACTGGCCACAATCCCACACAGTTGAGTCTTGTTTCCCACTAGAAGGGCTTCAAAGTGCTGTTTATCAGCCTGGCAATTTCCCTAATCCCCTCTCCAGCCTCTGATGAGCTGATTCACGTTAGAAAGCAGCGGCTTCGGCAAGCCAGGGAGGCACAATCTGCCTTGAGCAATGGTAGCCCCCCAGTAATGTCATTAAAACCCAGTGTCCGGGACAGGGATGGGGCAGCAGGTAGCACCGGAGCCCATGCGGCTGCACATCCTGCTCCGGACACCCCTTTAGCTTGGACTGTTGCACACGACCAGTCCCTGCATCTCCAGAGGTTTATACCCCTCGGACACATGGGCCCATAACGGGATGCTTTGGCCTATAGTCACTTCAATACGATTTTTATATCACTATAATTTCACCTATCGTGCAAGCAAACAGACCGCACAGCTAAGCAAACCCTCCCCGCATGACCATGTGGGCACCACGGGGTTATTTTGTCCTCTGAGTGAATTAATAAGATGGAAAACATGGATGAACGAACATGGATGACCCTACTGAATCAATAAGCGCTTAGTGGGCGGGAAGACTTGGGGAACCAATTGAGACCATTGCACAAGCAAGCAAAGGGCGAGGGGGAGCAGACCACCTCTTTCCTAGCTGCATTTAATTTGGGTTTCCATTAGATGTAAAACCCTAAGCTAAGCTTCAGGTGAAAGAGATCTCTGCTACAGAGTTATGGAAGAGAGGAGAGAAAATGCAGCGCTCGAGACTGCCTAAAGGGGCTGTAAACAGCAGCTGTGAGATGTCTCCAAAACTGGTATCGATCTTGCAGTGCGGGCAACCATCCTTTGAAGGCGCCTTACGCGGAGGAGCCACCTCTGAGGACCCTGACCCACCAAGGCTGTGCGTGACACCCACTGACTAGCGGGAGGAATGGCAGCTGTGCGGTACACTCATTCCTGTGTTCTTAATCCTTTGCTTTTATATAATGCTGCGTCTGGAAACGTCTTCAAGTCCTCTGCAAATACTGCCAGCCCTGGGCAGCTTTCCCATTTTACCTGTTGGAAAGACGGAGGGGTAATTTATGTTGCAGAGGACAGATTCGTGTCTCCCAGCCGCTACTCTGGCACTGGTGTCAGGGACCTGGCAGATGGAGAGGATGGGGCATCTCGGGCTAAGATGCTCTGAAATCGTTCTTACTGTGATACATGCTTAAAAGTGCCCTTCCAAGTCCATGGTAGGGAGTTAAAGCAATATTTTCTGTAAGAAAACTGCCAAGAGACTTTTCCTGAAACAGCAAAACCTTCCTACCCCAAAACTGGATATTCACCTAAACACTTTCTGCCTTAATTTTTTTTTCTCTTAAGACCTGTCAGAGAAGCTTCCTAATTAGCAATCCCCCAGATGATATTAGAGGAGATTTAATGCTAAAGTCATTTAATGCAGCCTGTGTACTCACCACGTACGACCTCCTGGTGGAAGACACCCCGTCGGGCTGATGCCAGCTCCAACGCAGCAGGCGCAAGGGAGGCATTTGCAGCCGTGCTGCCTTTCTGGCTATGGCTGCTGCCGCACACCCGGCGCTTGGATTTGTTGTTTTTCCCATCCTAATAAGCAGTGGGTCGTGTCCGCTACGGCCAGCCAGTTTCCTTGGCAATAGTGTCGAGTGCCGATGCGCTTCCAGCTAATGGAAACCTGGAGCTCTCGTGGCACCAACGAGGCCACGCAGCAAAGGCCAAGCGTTTTCTGGGGTGCTGAATGGGAGGAAATCACGGAGATGTGAGAGCCTGGGTGCAAAAGGCATCGTGGCGCGTGAACACGGTGTGTGTTATCAGCTGCAGGAAAAGTATGGGAGCAAAGGCATGGCCCTTCCTGGGCAACAGAAAAGCTCCTGGTCCTTCCATAACCAAGCAAAAAGCGCCACTATACGGGGGAGTGCCAGGCTCCTTTTGATGCCGATGGGCTGGAGAGGGAAGCAGGCTCCTGCTGCTTTCTTTTTTTCTTTTTTTTTGCAAATAAATAAATAAATAACAATTAAAAAAGCGCTTTTTACTGAGCCTGCAGCATCATCGCTGCTCTGAAGTGCAATAACTGGCTAATTGACCTAATCTGCACTGCAAGGAAAAGAGCCTGATGAGCTAAAGCCCTAGTGCTTTTATAACTGCATCTACTGGCGCCGTGTTGGGGTGGATTTTTTTTTTTTTTTGAAAGTCATTTATTTGGTGCATGCTTCAGTGTGCATGAATATATATATTGCTTATGAGGCCCTTGCTGGTCGTTTTCCTTTCTGAGCTGGGAAAACTCATCTCTGCGCTTTCCAACAGCCTCCCTCTGAGCTTTGGAAAGTTTGGAGCCCTGGTGACAATTAAAAACTTAAAATAAATAAAAAAAAAATTAAGAAATGATGCTTCTATGATGCTTCTGCATGTGTCTTGTGTCCATCCTGCAGACTCCAGCCAATAATCCGGGTGTTTTATTCCTCTGGACAGCTGGTGTCCCATGCAGAAAACCCTCGTAGCTCTACATCCACTTCCTCCTCCTCGTGCAGGTTTGGCTGGGCAAGTAGCCCAACATGCAAATTCAACACCAAATCTGTATTAAACATCCCTATTTATTTCCATTATGGGTAACTCTCTCATTTCAAACAGACTCCTTTATTCACTGCAATTTTTTTTTTCATGCCTGTTGGAAAGAATTAGCCTTAAAAAATAAACACAAAGCCTTGGCTACATGCAAATCATATTGAACCTTGCTGAATGTATTAGATCAAGTAGCAGAGTTTCTTCTAAGTTTCCTACTTGCACAGGGAAAAGAAGCAGCCCACAGGGCACGCGGCTTCCTGTGCACGAGTGGGAAACAAAGGGAGGACCAAAAAGCCTGCGTTTACACCCAGAAAAAGCAAAGCCCATGGTTCACTAAAAGCTGGGAGCACGAGGCTGTAACCTTGCCGAGGGAGGGATGCGGATGGAGACGAAGCAGCTCCCTCGCAAGGGGAGCGGGTTTGGTCCTCGGCTAGGGGGAAGTCCTCAACCTGTGGCTGGGCAGCCCCTGGGACTGTTCCAGCACTGGAGCAAGTCATTTGCTGTCAAAAAAATCCCCTATCCATGTCTCTCAAATAATAATAATAATAATAAAAAAAAGAACAAACCCCACAATGTTTCAGAAACTAAGCACTTCTGGGCCCTGGGAAATGGACACAATCACTTTTTCCAAGGCTTTAAAACTCCAGTCAACTGGTGCCCCCCAACCCAGAGCAATGATAGACGAAAACAAAAAGATTTTCTTTCTTTTTTACGCATTTCTCACAGGTTTTTGTCAGTAGGAGCAATGAACTGTAGCTGATCCCCACACCAGAGCGGGGTCCCCAAGAGCGGCTCAAGATCTGAGGCAACGTGGGCCGGGATGTGAGAGCAAGGGCTCGACCTCCTCCTCGGCCTCCTCAAAGACGGCCGTGGGTGAGTCCTGACCTCGGTACAGGCTTCATCCTGGCGGCTGTCCCCTTTAGAGGACGTTTGTCCATCCGTCATGCGCTGCTCCTTGATGTCCTTCACACCACTGCAAGGACGGGTGGTGACACGGGCGTTTGCACAGCACGTCTAGAAAAGATCAGTCCAGCTTTTATAAAATATAAACTATTCAACGCGATCACATCTATGTGTCTTTTAACATGAAAAATATGGTCGGCAGTCGTGGTTTGGAAGCCGTCGGCGTGTCCGGATCCCAACGCACCCCATGTGCGTCCCGGCCGCGCCGCTGAGGCCTCGTCTCTCATCCACCCCGCGCGGGTGCCCGTGGCGGCCATCACGTCTGCGCAGCCGCAGCCCCCTGCCCCGCGCCGCGGTGCTGCGGCAGCGCAGGCTCCCTTGACCGCGAGCCGAGGCGCTCGAGCCCTTGCGGCTCCTCGGGGCTCTCAGCGGAGCCTTCGTGTCCCTCGGGCTCGCCGGGCTGGCCCTCGCCGAACTCCAAGATGGTGGGCAGGTTGCCTTGCTTGGGGCAGCGCTTCTTGAGGCCCACCAGGAAGGGCTGCGGCAGGGAGAAGATGTCCACGTTGTTGCCCAGGTCGATCCACGTGACGCTGGGGAACCTGGCGGGGTCCTTGAGGGCCTCAGTGAGGTCGCGCAGCACGGCCTTGGTGAGGCGGTTGCCGTTGAGGGAGAGCGTGGTGAGCCGGGGCAGGGCGCCGAGCGCGGGCAGCAGCTGCAGCAGCATCTCGTCCGTGAGCTCGGTGAAGCAGAGCTCCACGGCGTCCACGTGCGCCGCGCTGCGCTCCAGGTAGGCCGCCACGCGCTCCAGCTCCTTGGGCGACAGCGGGATGCCCGACAGGTCCACCGTGTTGTCCGGTGGCTTGCCCATGAGCGCGGCCTTCAGGCTGCAGAGAAAGCAGGCGAGTGGCGGGGACACGGCAGCGCCCGGTCCCCAGCCCTGAATCGGGCCTCGAAACCTGCAAGCTGGGCTTGTTGGAAAGCTTTATCTTTCTCCTTTTAATAGGAATTGTGAGGTGTGTGCCCACGGTGGAGCGTGGGCTAGGGGGGATGTCAAATAAGAGCCCCTACTCCTAACTACTATTTCTGTCAAAATTTCAGCTACAAGGTTTTCCTGGGATAGATTATTCATGTGTGCTGCTTAGCAAAAGGCTGGCAACCAACCATATGGATTTGTAGTATAATACAATATATCATATCATACCTAATACATTATAATACATTATATTATATATTATATCTCATATAATTTACGTTACTTTATGTTATATTATATTATTATAATATATTATATTAAATATAAATTTTGGGTTTTTTTTAGTGCAAGAGTACACTAAGCAGCATTTTCCTCCTTGTTTTTCCCCCCAGCCACAAGCCAGGAGGGATCCTCAGACACCTCTTTTACACTCCTTTTCCTTGCTGTAAATCGAGGTCTGCTACCGAGCTTTCCCAAGAGATCAGCACAATGGATGATGTTGCACCAGCCGCCTTCACGAGCTGCTGCCAAACCACGAGGAAGCCTCTGAAAGTGCTGGGTCAGAGCAACCCTGCTCGGGTGAAGGTATCAGGGGGGCTTCTTACCGCCTTGCTGCGCTCAATCTGTCCCCCAGAAAATAAAAACTCAACAACCCCAAACTGTGATCTAATGAAAACCTTTCTGTGCTGAACCATCCTGTGGAAATGAGTAGGATACTGTGCTGACAAAGAGCTGCAAAAAAAAAATGTTATCCCTGACATCAATTTTTCCATAGAATGGCCCCAAATCTCAATAGGAAGATCTTACCCTGAAACAAATCCCGAGGACTTTCAGTCAGGAATCGGTTACACCCACTTGGTTCAGCCTCAAATGCTCTAAGCCTGTTTGTACGGGAAGGCACAGACTCGTTCCCAGCTGCAAGCAGCCAATTGCTTCTGATAAGTGTAAAAGCAGGACCATGTATGAAACCATGCACCAACTCACTGGCAGATGCCACCCCGTGCAAACATTTGTTCCACATTCGGGGAAATTGAGCTCGTTGGCTGTTTTCTCCTTATCCTGATAGATGAAGCCGTTCAAACACCCCACGCTACAGCACGGTGATAGCTCCCAACAGCGCTCGCTTGGGGAATCCCTGATCCCTGTTGGGGTTTTGCTCCTGGGCTGCACAGAACTGGTGTCAAGACCGTCCTGTGACTCTAAATGCTTTGCAGGCATGGGGAAAGATCCAATATACAGTCACCGCTTGGTTTGGGGGGGTTAAAGAAAAATAAAGGATTGGGATAAAAGGCTTATCCTGCAGTCCTGGCTGTCTCGGTGCAGAGAAGGTTTCTCAGAGCTTCCGCTCCTGTTTTAAAGGCTGCATGTCCAACACCAGAATAGATATTTTGGAGGAAGAGGGAAGGAAGATAAACGTATCTAGCAAGCAAATGTGCTCTGGTAGCAGTGATGTTGGCAAAAGGAAGAAGCTCCCACAGCCTAAAAGCAGGAACTGAGCCAAGAAAAAGTTCTTCTTTAGCTTAAAGGAGGCATACAAATAGTAATGTGTATACGTAGTAATTAGAGGTGTATATGTAGTAATTAGATTAGTAGAGATTAGATGGCTCTTTCTTATTGTCTCTAAACATATGATCCAAGGGACACCCACAGGCACCAAAAGCCCCAGCTCCCCAGGGAGCAAAGCAGGGTGGTGCTTGTGCAGGGCTGGCTGAACCGCCAGCTTCCCACCGTGGGATGGGAATGGGACCATGAGCTTTTCCCCAAGCAGTTCCAAAAATCTCTTTATTGGTTTTGTGATCCCCTGCTGGCTATTTCCTTCCAGGCTATTCAGCTCCAAGGCGGGCACTGAGGAGGACAGGCAGAGCCTGGAGCCTGTCCTGAGTCAGGATTTGCTCCTAAGCTTGGCAGCTGTACCTGGGACTAAGATTTTGCCAGAAAAATTCCCTTAACTTCAACAAGTCTAAAAGGTTGCAGCATCATTTCCTTGCATCTCTGTGGCATTGAGGAAAAGGACCCAGTTAAACCATAAAGTAACGTGACTTTTGAAAAATAAAATAGCTCTGTCCAAAGAAGCAACTTGATAAATATCACCAGCAGGGATAACGAAGGAGAAGAGCTGCTTGAGAAGTTGCTTGCACCACTTTCATGAAAGTCTGTTTTCCCAGAGATTCTTCTAACTTGTTTTTAATTTCCTGCTACACAAAATTCAAAGAAGTAAGCACTTGGGATCCATCAAAATGCTTTGCATTAATTAGAATTCTTTGACTTATTAAGAAAATTCAAATATCCTGCTATTGGCGTACTCTATTTTCTCCTCTCAATTCCTCCCCCAAATAAAACATATTTATATGCTCCTCCTTATGAAATATTTTCCTCTTGAGGAACCTGCATCATCCTATAGAGAAACCATGCTGGAACATTTCCAGCTAACTCTGCTCCAGCGTAATAAAAAACTGCAGCTGAGGCCCATTAATAACATGCATTTGCAAAAAAGGCAATTTGTACCAGTGCCAACAGAAAACCAATCAAGATTTTTTTTTTTTTTTTTTTTTTTAAAGAAAAACCGCTTCAGTATTGCTGCTGCTGTAAATGACTTCCTGGAAGTCAATTTGACCTGAATAAGAATTGGTTCAAGTTTGCATAAAAACAAACAATAGGGACATTTTCTTTAAACTCTACCACAGAAAAATAATAATAATAATAATAATAATAATAATAATAATAATAATAATAATAATAATAATAATAATAATAAAGGAAATGCTCTGAGAAATGGACTCTTATGTCCAAGTAACTATCGGCTCTCAGCTCTATGAGGAAAGGAAATAATTGTCTTTGCCGTTGGGCAGCCCTTGGCGTTTTATTCTGCCCACCAGTCACTTCTTGGTGACCGCTGAGGCTGCAGATCTGGCCCTTGGGTAGCCAAGAGCCAGGAAAGCTTAGGGAAAAAAAGATAAAAAGAAAGAGATCTTCCATATCTTCCATGTTTGTGGAAAATGGCAAACATGAAACCACTGAGGGTCTGAGTTCCGCATGCTGTGGAGTCTGTTTGCTTGTTACTTTAAATAGATTAAATTCCATTGATGCAAAGGGAAAGAAAATAGCATTTTTGTTTTTCAGGGGGGAAGGGAGACAGATAAACTTCAAGTCTGATCTTCCAGCCCTGTTTTCTCATCAAAAACCAGCCCAAGGAAAAAATAAATAAATAAAAATAAATAAATAAATAAAGCTTCTCCCCACTGTTTTTTTCTAGCAATTAGGCAGTGATCAGCTGCCAAATTATGTGCCCAGGGCTTTGCTTTCCCTAAACTGTTTATTTTATCAGAGCACGGATCCCGTTCGGGAGCAGTGCAGCAGGCGGCAGCTCCCTGCTGCCATGCAGCTTCCCGGCAGCCTGGCTTTTTGCTGGGATGGTCGTGGGAACATGTCCTGCCTGCTCCCCTCAGGCTTTGCTATCCATCTGGGGCCAGGAATGTCCCCATCCCACTTTTCATATCCCATCCCGTGGTGCAGATGCAAGAGCATCCCCGGCCCTCTCTGCTTTTGGAGCTGCTCTCTGTGTCCCTGCAGCCCTGCAAATCCCACAGGATCGTCCGGAAAACCACAAAAACCTGCCCTGTTTTTTTCTTTTTCTCCCAAACAGCTGCTTAACCTGCTTTCTGACAGAAGACATGAGCAGGAAAAGGCAACACAGAATACCACAAAATCTCTCTCCCCGTCCATCTTTCCAAGTGCAGAGAATTTGCCGTTTTCTTATACCCACGAGTGGTGCCATTTCACATGTCCAGCTTGGACCTTGTGGGACAGCAAGGGATGCTGCAGAGCCTGGCACAAGTTATCCCACCACCTTCAACATGAGCCACTTTCACCCATTGGATTAGGAAAGAAACCCCTTGCCGGAGAAGAGAGATCCCCGTCAGGTCCCAGTGCTGTCTTCCTCCGGGACAGGGGTTGGAAGCCAAAACTGCTCCTAGGAAGGATGAGCGGGATCTGAGTCGGGGTTTGGAGAGCATGAGTGATCTTGGAAAAAAGCATAAGGGGAAAGAGAGGTCCCATTCCTATGAAGCAGCTTCTTCCACCCTCACTGCCAGGGCAGGATTCTTTCCTTGAGGATATTTTCTAGTGCTTCTGGCTGCCAGTTCATTTGTTCAGCAGCAAAACCAACAATTTGAACATTTTGTCAGAATCGGTGTTCATCAGTGGGGCAAAAACCTTCCTCCGCCTCTGGGCTGAATTGCTTGGAAGCCTGGACTGAGCCAGCGGCTTGCAGGGGAGGGATTATTTTCCCGAGGGGTTCCACGAGAAGCCGTTGCCCCTTCCAAACCATGGCGTGTCCGCGAGCACGCGCGCCAGCGGTGTTTACACTCGATTTATGGTTCGGCTCCCTTAGGCAGCCGACTGAAGAGGCATCTGCCAACGCAGGCGCCCCACGAGCGCCAAGAGCGACGCTGCAAGCAGGGGTTTTAACAAAGGAGCAAGAGGAGGATTGCACTGAAGCAGCCGACTCGAAGGCACATCAGGCTCTGCTCCTCATCGCCAGGATAATTAAGCTCTAATTCCCTCCCCGAACCCTTCAAACATGCCCAGAGCAGCTGCAGGGAAGGAGAAGTGCTGTGTGGTGGGAGACGGGCAGAGCCAGGGGCCCAGGGAAATTACCCAGCTTAATGAAGCCATGCCACAGATTGCAACGCGTGCGCTACCTGGCTCGTTAGGAGCCGGCGCGCTAATGAGCATGGCTCCAGCAGACGGGACCCAGGAGCGCAATGCATCGCAAAGCCACAGATTTCAAATTAAGAACGTGCTTTCCAGCAACACCCCAGCTCCAGCCCAGGAGTTCTCCATCAGGACCTAAACACCCGTGCAGTTGGGTTGAGATCCGTAATTATCAGCAGGGAACCAGCGGACAGAGCCAAAATACTCATTAAAAGGAGAAGAAGCAGAAGTCTGTGCAGGAGGCTGGTGCACCCGGAGCTCACAGCTACATGAGCCTTCTCCAAGGCTCCTGCTAGCAGACACTCTGGGCACCGCACGGGCTCCAAACCTTCCCCTGCTGACCCCAAATTTTCTTATCAGAGGGGAGAAATCTTCTCCATTGAGAAAAGAAGTGAAAAGGAAACACAACAAAAGGAGGAGAGTGAAGAAAAAGGAGACAAGATGGCATAAGGAAGCATCACGGGCATAGCAGCAGTCTGCCGGTCTGTATGCTGTGGAAGGAACAACCCCCTTTTTTGCGCCTAGTTTGAGGGGATGTGAAGCTTAATAAAATTTCTGACTGCTGATGGGAACAGACTTTGGATTCGCCTTCTCTGAAGAGGCGGACAAAGACGCAGTAGCTGGGGAAGTGCCCCTAGGACGGGCAAACTGACAGCCTTTCCCAGCACTGAGAAGTGCTCATACGGTATTAAGAAAAATAACAAAAAGGAAAGAAAAGCCCACAGACATATACAGCAAGTGGTGTCCCTTTCCTGGACAGATATGGGAAAGGAGAAGCTGCTGTTCTCCTGCTGCATCCAAAAGCAGCCAGCGTGCTGGGCACTGCATCCCGATCCCACACTGGGGCAGGAGCAGCAGTGCCAGGGAAGGCTTCAGCTTCCACTGGGGTCATGGCTCTTCCCAGGAATCCTGCAGGGAACTACACATCTTATTGCCAAGGCCCCGCTTATTCCTGGGAATTACCCTCCCATTAATAAGCATCTCACCACCCAACGTGAAGAGAAAGGAGCCTGGGCTCCCATCGCGCGATGCCAGGAGGGCGGCCGAGCCAGGGACTCACCAGGCCTGGGGCTTCCTGCGGACGAGGCCGTGGCGCCGCCACTGCGAGTGGGGGCTCAGGTGGTAGGTGAGCTGCCGGCAGAGCTTCTCCATGGCCCCCAGCGCCTCCCCCTCCTGCGGAGACAAGTGGGGACCCGGTGAGGGGCCTGTGGCCACCCCGGCCCCAGCAGGACACAAGGGGATGCAGACAAGGCTCCTCAGGAGCAGTTTGGTCCCATGGGTGCATCACCGGCCCCCCGTGTTTGGTCACTGCTCGCCCACGTAGGAGCATCGCGGGGGCATCGGCGCCGGCCCCTGTGCAAAGGAGGTCAACGCTAACGATGCAGGAGGCAGAAGGGGGGTTCCCGCGGCAGCGTGGCAGGCGCTGACCCAAATGAGAGCAATTAGCCGCTGTCCCAGGCCGGCGGAGGGGACAGGGTCTTGCTTGTGTTCTTACAGGGTCTCATGTTGCTGTCACTCGCAATCAGACTCTGGGCTGAAAAATCTGCTCTGTATTGCAAGTCTTAACACACAAATATCCGAAACCAGCCCTCCAACACTGCACTTTTCACTTAATTAACCTTGCTTTTGTTTTGTCTTTTTTTTTTTTTTCCTCCTTTCCAAGCTCCTATCTTCTCTTTCTGGCTGCTGCAGCACTAGCAGGAACACGAGAGCACACAAAGCTTAAAGCCCGTGACCATAAGGGCATTGGTCATTCTGTCCCCAGGGAGCTGCTGCCAGGAATATCTGAATGAGGAGGAATAGCTGAAACACGGGATCGCGGTGAGCCCTGACCCTGCACACCGGCCACCTCGGGCATGTGCAGACCCTGCAAGCAACAGGTTCTCTCTCCATGTGGCTCAGGGGACATGGACTCCTAAAACACAATCCACTTTGTGCCCATAAACCAAACTGGAGGTAAAGCCCCCAGTGCTCCCGCCAATGATGGGCTCTAATGCTGCAATGTGAAGATGTGACGCAGTGGGAAATGCTCCAGGAGGCCCTAAGCCCCATCACCAAAGATGTTTCTTCATGTGCCTCAACTCAGCTACTACAAATTACCAACAAGCACAGGAAAATAAACGCACATGGCTCCGCCGTTGTCCCCGCGCCTGGCCCTGTGGCGGCCAGCCGGCGTCCTGCTCACTGGGGGCTTGGAGGAGTCGGCGCTGCCAAAGTAACGATTCCTTCCCTTCCGATGCAGTCATGAGGAGTGAAGTCATCTAATGGCTTTCTGCTTTTCTCACTTGAGTTTTTCTTTGTGTTTTTCTTTCCTTTCGGTTGCTGCACTCAGAGCCCATCACTGCCTGCAGACATCGGCGCCACAGCACCCCGGCCCGGTGCTGCTCAAGCCCTAACGGGGTTTTCTCCAGCCCACAGCAATCCCTGCCCATGGGAGCTGCAGCCAAGGCCTGGGGAGAGCTTTAAACCCCACTTTAAACAGCCCAAAGGCCAGGGTGACGGCTCATGGGGAATCGCAGTCAAGAGCTCCCCGTGCTGCCTTTGCTGCCAGGTGGAAAGCAGAACTAGCTGATTTGGTTATTTGTGTTGCAGACGCAGGGCAACATGTAGGATTTTCCCAGCCTAACCAGGCTCTAACGGAGTCTGCAGCTCTGCTGCACTGCACCACATCCCATGGGAATTCCCATGGGAACATAGAGCTCCATCCAGCTCTGTGTCTGCTGGAGCAGAGCAGGAACAACACAGGACGCTCCTGCAAATACTTGCCCAACACAATGTGGGCTCTCAGACCCTCGCCATGACCTGCAGGACTCCTGTGCCACATAGGAGAGCCTGGGAATGGGAGATGGTGGCACGAGCTCTGTCCTGCCACCATGCATGGAAAACAGATGGGGATATCTCTCAATTAACTAAAGAGCGAAGAACCTGGTGACAGCAAAACTTGTCAAAGAGGATGGGACAAAACTCCAGCCCTCTGCCGGGAATGGCAGCAGAGCTTGGGCAGTGGGAGAAAAGGGAGAAACATCTGCTTGGTGCAAGCAACAGCTCGGGGTCTGCAGCAAGACAGACTGCAAATGTGTATTAAAAACACCCATCCAAGTGCACAAGTTGCCCAGGCAAAACCCGCCTTGCACCTACTTCTCAGGTGTTCCTCAGGACCAAAGGAGAGTGAACAGTGGTGCCAAGAACAGGCAAGAGTCCTTACTCCTCCTTGCTAGGCAGGGAATTATGTTCTCATTAAAAGCTAAATGAGCTGAACTCCAATGTCAATTATCATCTGCAAGCATCAATAAAACACGGTGCTGCTGCTTAATGAGGGACCTGCTTCCTGGTCCATCCTTTTCTTAAGCAACACTTTCTTGGCTTCACTGAGGGAATGGGGGAACAAAAGCTGCCCCTCTGCAGCCGGTCACATGGTTCTGGGACCCTTGTGCTCCTGCCCTTCCCATGGACAAGATGGATTAATCAGCAGCCATCCGGACACCCCGGATACTCAGTGCCCTCGGGAGAGGCACCATCCGTGTCTCCACCGCTTTCCTCCCCTCCTCCCCCGTGGCTCTCCAGCTGCAAACTTGCCAGTGGTGATATCATCGCAGCAACTCCAGACCTCGCCGTTATTCAATTTTAACCTCAATTTTCAAAAGAGCTGCAAAGAAGAAACCCTCAGTGCAATTTCCCCCGTCTGCAAGGCACGCTCTGTTCAGCTCTGGCTCGCACACGCTCGTGCTTGAAAGGGAGCCCCTCTCCCTCTGCAAAGAAAACACGGGCAGAGGGCACAACACAGCAAGCTCAGAAGCAACCAGAGTCGTCATTAGTGCAGCTCGAGCTTCACAGCATCCTGCAGGATGCATTAACGTATTGCAGAGGTCTTAAACACCCATAAAGAGCGATCATCACACTCGGAGCAAGACTGGCAGAAAAAAAAAAAGGAGCATTAATAGAGAATGTAATTGATTTAGACGGTTGGAAACACCGTTATCCTCTTTGCTCTCATATCAAGTATTGGGGGTTTTAGAGGACTTTTTTTCTTTTGTGCATTCATAAACCAGCTTCCATTTATGATGTTTCTCACAGGGAAGAACAAATAACACTTAGCGCTCCTGTGGCGCTCCCTGTCTGAAATCCGCGGAGCGTTTGGCAAGAGGAGGCTGCTTTCCTTGTGTGCCCAAGAGCTGGGAAGCTCCATGAGGTGACGGGCTCACCCCGGGTGGCACCTGAGCATACAAACGTCACCGCGCATGGGAACCACCAGCCTCACTCTGCAACGCGATGGGAGGATGATGGAGGATGATGGTTCCTGGCCAGCGACCAGGAAATAAGAGGAAAAATGTTAATTTGAGTTTCCTCCATCAGAAACAGCAGCCTTTAAAAAGACACGGGACATAAAAACCTGGCAGCTGCCAGGCAAATCTTCCTACCACAGAGCTGAGAAAAGCTGAGAAGAACATTATTTCATCCAGGTCACAACAGCTAGTTTTTCTTTATATGCTCCCTCTTGCCTTTGTGGCTGACAATTTATAGACCCAAAATCACACTACAAACCTGATCGAAGCAGAGCCAGAGAGAAAAAGGCCACAGCTACACATATATTTCTTAAATGACTCAAAATTGAACAAGAAGATAGATCTTCACCAAGAGCTACCCGGGCAAAACCAAATCTGCTCCCAAAATCATGGGAAAATGCAGCTCCCACATAGGCAGCCATTCCCATGCAAAGGCAGTTTTTATTTGACCCCAAAAAATCTTCAGTAGGAAACAACTCCCTTTCCCTTGCGGGAGGAGGAAGACAAGAGACCCCAGGGCCTTCCTGGAACACAAACCGGGCACAGAGAAAATGCAGCTCAGCTGCTGGGACATGGTTCCTGCAAAATTTCCCCCCAACAGGCTTTTTACCCCAGAAAAGCAGAAAAATGCTCTGTTCCGGGGCTGCCCACTCACCTCAACATGGAGGAGAGACCTACATGGTCACCCCAGTTTGGGGACAGCAACTTCCATGGGAGAGCATCACGCTGGAAAGATGCCTCTCAAAATAGTTTACTCCTGTTCCCCATTCCAGTACCCCACGGGGGAGGAGAAAGGGAAGAATTTGTTCTCCATAAGGAAAGAACAAGAAAGGCATGGATAGTTGTGTGGTCAAGGGACAGACCAGGCTTGAGGTGAACCCTCCTTGGCCAACACGTGGCCTCAAAAGCTGCTCCTGATGGCCTTCAAGTGGAGTCAGGCAAGTCAGCGAGTAGGGTCAGAGCCGCGCGCGGGCTACGTGACTTTCTGCTGTCATATGAGCCCCAGGCAAGTTCAAGGGATGCCATGGAGCTTCCCACAGCAAAGGGGTTGTTGTGATGGAGATGTCCCACCTGGCAGCTCCGTGAAACTTCAACCGGGCTTTCCACAAAGCAAGATCCTGCTTCTCCCGAAAATCCCTGCTTGTTTATGAATGCAGCTTCAGCTCCGGATGAGCAATGTGCAAAGGAAAAGAAAAACGCAGCCTTGACATGTGAACCTCCAGCTCCTTTGTGCTCTGCTCCAGCCCAGACAAGGCAAAATGCTGATAGGCACGTCCCTTGGGAAGGACAGCACGGTACCGGGGAAGGAGGCCGCCTCCTCCGCATAGGAATACTACAGATTCAAGCTACCTGCTCGGAGCTCTGCGCGCCCATGGAGCGGAGCTCTGCTCTGCTCCTACAATTACAAGTGGGAACAGCAGTACAGGACAATGAGGAGGTCAAAACTACCCCGGGAAGTGATGCCAACTCGCCCACAGGGAAACCTGCTCCCAACGGAGCCCAAGCTCCGAGGAGGACACGCACTTTGGGGACTCCGGCCTTGAAGGCACCACCAAGGACTCTCAGGTGGCCTGGGGAGGCAATAAATATTGCACAAAGCGGAGGGGCAGCCGTTATCCTGGCAAGGCAGGGACTGTTCCTGGTGGTGCAACTTCTTTTACACTGCGGATGGGGGAGGAAACGAAAAGCAGCCGAAAGCAGAAGTAATTTGCAAAACACCAAGACTCAAAGTGCTAACATTAGGTGAATGTCACTAGGGCAGCTGGAAACCCTGTGATTGAACCACTCAAGGGCACACAACCACCACGCCGACCCGGCTGTGTTTTCTCCAGTGCTCCAAAGGATGCTCCCCATCCCCATCCCCATGGAGCTCTTCTTCCCACACCAGGCCCATTCTGGAGGTGTAATGGGGTGATGGTACCTACCGGCTTGGGGCAGTGGACGTATCTCGCAAGGCTGATGATCAGGTCGTGGGTGATGGGATCCACGAGGTTGCGAAAGCTGGCGTACCGATAGAGGACATCATCCAGAGAGGTCGATTCCATTCCCAAGTCCTGCGGAAAACAGGGCAGAGGGGGCAATGTTAGACGGCGTAAAACCCAGCCTCTCGCGTGGCTCTTCAGGCATTGGTGGCCTCTACGGGGAAGCCAAGAAGAAAAGGGATCCACATTCCACCCAAGAACAGGGAAACCTGCTTTCCTTTGCTTTGTCTGCTCTGCAAAGGGGTGTCTGGGGAAAGGCCCAGAGCTATCACAAGTCTCAAACCAGTTCTCTTGCTTGCACTAAGGTAAAAGTCAAAGCAAACGTGGCTAGCGTGAGGCTGGGCCTGGATGGGCTCTGTGTTGGGAAGGAGAGCCTAAAACCACAGCCAGGAGGACAAAACGGGGGTCACAGGGACAGCAAAGTGCGGGAGTCACCTGGCTGGGGACGGGCTGCAGGTTCTGCTGCTGGAGGCTGGACAAGGACATGTTGGGAACAGCTTAGACTGAGCTCATTTTTTTTAACCAGGTAACCCAGTGGTTACGCAAAATAAAGTTCAGATGTTTCAGTCAGCAAAAAATAACAATTTATGACCTCCCCGCATAAGACCCAGCTCACAGCCTCGCATGCAATTTGCTGATCATTAACACTAAAAGGTCCCTTTCTCCCGCCCTCAGTGCTTAATTCAAGCAAATAGATCCATGGGGCTCTGCAGCAACCACAGCTGGTCCTGTGTGCAGAGTTGCTCTGGGGCTAATAAACTGCTTGCAGAAAAGCAAATCCTTTGTGAGTACTGATGCTTTGGGAGCTTGGAAATGCAGAAAATGATCATCTTTCCTTAAAAGAAATAATTAAAAGTCCTCCTCCTTAAAGAGAAGTCTTGCAACAAAACCAAGCAGTGCTTTGAGTGTAAAACACGCCCTAGAAGGACAGCTCCGGCCTGGAACTCGGCAGAAATCGCTTTACCTCAAAACAGGGACGAGGTACTTTTATATAAAATAAAGGAAAAATAAAAGAAAAAAAAAATGCATGGGGCTGTTTTCCTTTGATGGGAACATCAATAAATAAACAAATAAATAAAATCCCTAGAACAGCCAGCCCCAGAAACCAACCCGGCAGCGCTGCAGCCACTTGCAAACACACCTAGCCTCAAACATAAAGCAGCTCTGCCCATTTACGATCTATCCCACGGCACCTGCCAAGCTGGCATGGAGAAATAAATAAGAAGATGATAATCTGGGACTCAGCGGGCTGTGCATGCGGCGGGCCCTGGGAGTGGCGCGGGAGCCCATCAGCGCTGCTTTAATTAGCTGGGAAGCAGCAGCTCGTCACGCGCTAACGACCAAGGCTTTCAGCACGGCAATGATCTTGGGTAGACCCTGGTGTGCGCTGCAGCTCCAGCTCTGGTGCAAGAGGGGAGAAATAAATAAAAAAGAATAAAACAAATGGAGAAATGGAAAGAATTGGAAACCCATCGCACTCTGGGAGCCAGCGGCACCATCCCAGGAGCAACGTCTTGGGGCTTCCCGCAGTAGGACCCGTGGGATCACTCAGGCTGGGAGCTGGTTTCAGGGCAAGGGAGGAGCAATCCCGCACATGTGGCTTTGAATCCTCTGGGATCCTTCAGGAACAAGCCAATCTTAATACCTTGCCTCTCCCCTTTAAGCACGTCAAAAAGGTGAGCGTTTTCTTTCATGCTAAAACTAAAAGGTAGAACCAATAAACCTGAGGCTTCCTCTCCCTCCTGGGGTGCTCCGCGTGTTTCACGTGAGCCTTTCCCGCCTCCCTCCTGCCGCGTGTGCCCAAATGTCCTTCCCGGCCTGGGCTGCTCCAGCGCCAGTCCCTACAGAGCCCTGGAGCCGCTCAGCGCCCGAGGCCAAGGGATGAGCCCACGGGCTCCAAGGATGCCCACGGGCTCCAAGAGCATCGCCCCGAGCGCTGCAAATCCCACATCTCCGGAGGAGATGCCCAGCACCAGGCTGGGCTCCCTGCTTCCTCGCAGCCCCTTCCCGCGCCCCAAGGAAAGTCGCCCATGTCTTTCCTGCGCTCCCAGGAGGTTCCCGGCCTCTGCAGAGCTGGGGAGAAGTTGTGGACGTTCCTGTCGGACGCATCGTTATTCTTTGCCTGGATTCGCTCCCGGAGAATGGGAGAGGAAGCCAAAGGCGGCAAATGCCTTTGTGATGCTGGGATGCCAAAGCCTGGCGGTGACAACCCCAGCGTCTGCATGTGCAAAGACTGGGAAACAACAGGGCTGACACCGAGGACGGATGTCCAGGGGAAAACACAAGGACTTTTTTTTTAAATCCCTATTATTATTTCATGAGCATGCAGCCATCACCTGTGATGGGCAGAGAGGGGCAACCCCCCCATGCCACTGCACTTAAACAAAACAGCAGCTGGGGTGAAAGAAAAGGAGGGGACACCAAGGACCGCGCAGGCCGAGGCAGCAGCTCAGCACAGCTAGTTAGCAGGGACACCAGGAAACTCGGCTCCTCCCGAGCCAAAACATGCCTTCTGCATCAAAAAAAAAAAAATCCCAAATTCATCATTTTCCCCCATTAGGGGAGCATCCCAAGCCAGCGGCGCAGCCACATGCTGTTCCTGGCTCCAGGAAGGAAGTTTCAGATTACACCAAGTGGCTTTTAAAACCAAACAGGGAAATACCCTCTCTTTCCGGAAAGCCGCGGGATGCACGGCAGCGTGCAGGAATTCCCTCCTTCCCACCTTCCCCTTTGGTGCAACGCTGGAGGGATGGAGCGGGATGCAACAGGAGGACATGGAGCACTGGCCGCCTGTACATCCAGCGGCTCAAGGGTTACCAGAATTTGGGGGGAAACGTTAAAAGTTTCGTCAGAGGAAACCAGCTGCTGGTGCCACCAAGATGCTCGCGGGGCTAACGGGCACCTGCATTTTCCAATGTCCAGCATCCTGCCTCTGCAGCCAGGATGTGCCAGGGATTACAGCTCATCCCGTGGACTGCACCGCACAGCTGGGAAGCCTCCCCGAGCACCACAGGAACACGCTGCCTTTTCTCCACCATATACACACATGTATGTATATATACATATATATACATGCATGCGTGTGTGTATACGTTTTTTTTTTTTTTTGATTATCGGCACCGGGGGCTCCGCCACCGGCCCGAGCCAGCAGCGAATTCCTGGAGCGCGACGTAATGTGGGAAGGCCATGGGGAGGAGCGGAGCTGCCGCGGGGCTCCCGGACCCGGGCTCGCTGGCGGCACCGCGCTGCTCTGCCTGCTGAAGCTCCGGAGTGCTCCAAAGAAACGACAGTAATAAAAAATGGGGGGGGGGGGAAGTAAAAAAATTAAGAAAAAAAAAAAAAAAAAAGAAAAGCCTGTAAATGCGAGCTCCAGGGACTGGGCTCTTTAAGGGCAAACTCCATGAAATTGGGGCTCTTTGAGGGCATTCCCACTTTTCCCCTGAAGCAGCTCATGGTGAAACGCTACTGAATCTCCACAGCAGCCACAGAGGTGACGGCATCGGTCCTGCTCCCCCGGGGAGAGCCGGATGCTTCAGGATGCGAGAGGCCGAGGGGAGGCTGGAAGCGCAGGAAGTGCCCCTGCTCCCACGCTGTTTGCATCCCGGTTTTTGCATAAATGCTGCCAGCTCCTCATGGCCCCCATGAAGCCCCCGCACTCCCAAAACGTGGCCCCAAAGCGGAGCGGGCTCAGCAGGACACCCATGCGCAGCCATCTCACCTCCGAACCACCGGCTCCATCCCCGAGTCGGGGACAAAGCGGTTCCTTGTGCTTGCCGGGCGCTTCCCACAACAGGTCCCCGTCCCCTCCCAGCTGCGATGGGCACTGATCCCGGCGAGGCCGGGCGCGTTCGCGTTCTGTGCAGAAAACTTGCCGTTTTCCAGGCATCCCCTGGAGCCTTGGGAATTCCCAGTCTCTTTTCTATCGCCTCCCAGCAGGAGAAGAGCGGAAGGGATAACTTGCCCGAGGGTTCAGGGATAACTGCGTGGGGAGGTGTCCCATGCAATGGGACACTTCCGCGGTCCCAGCTCCAGCACGGGAACAGTCACCAGCCCCAGGACAGCAAGATAAGCTGCAGAACAGCCAAGGGCAGGAAGCAGCCGGGTCTGCAAAGCTTCCAACTCGCGGCTTTCCCCCGCTATGGCCACGACCCCCCCCCAGCAACCTCCAGGGAGCGAGGGGCCGCGGGCGCAGCCTCACCTGGCGCAGGTGCCTCAGCAGCTCCGTGGCCTCCTCCTGGCGGCCCTGCTTGGCCAGCAGCAGCATGTCCTGGATGAGGCAGACGCGGCGGTGGTAGGGGGCCAGGCTGCTGCCCCCCCGCACCAACTTCTCGCCCGACTTGGCCACGAGGGAGGCGAGGAAGTCGCTGCGGTCGCGGGGCGCCGGGCGCTTGCGGGGCGCCGCCGGGGGGGCCTCGCCGGGCGGGCAGCCCTTGGTCTGGCGGGTGCCCATGGCCAGCGGCCCCCCCGCATGCAGGGGGCTGGGGGAGCTCCAGGGGATGCGCTAAGGGATGGGGGGTGGGTTGGGGGGTGCACAAGGTGGGATGCAGAGAGGAGACAGAGGGATGCAGGAGGGGACCGGGGGAGAAGAGGGGTGAGCGAGGGAGGCACAAGGGAATTTGAGGATGCCCAGGAAGCTGTGGGGGATGCACAGGGGGATTTGGGGAGGAACAGG